GCACACCTGAAAGTACGCAGGTGGCTGACCTATGTGCCCCATCTTGATCTGGCCCGAGGCATCGTCAGGATGTCGCTGGTCAAATGGCACCCACAACGGGGAGTCAAGGTCCGGCGCTACTACGGATTGGTACTTCTCCAGGAAAGTCCTGTTGACTATTGGTGCATCCTTGTTCTGCTCCCAGGAAAGGTAAAAGGGGCGGTACTTCTCTGGCACGCGTGAATGAGGAAGGAAGCCTCCTGCACTGAGGAATTGGCCTGTCAACGGCGGGCAGAGGCTGTTGGATTGGGCGAGATGCGAGACGACGCAAGCCATATGTGCGCCCGAGGATGTTCCGCCGATGATGAACCCTGTTTTTGGATCGGCTTGCGGTGGGAATAGAGTGGATTCGGGATCGTGAGGTGAGACGAGCTCTGCCGCGATGTATTTTAGAGCAGCCCAGCCGTCTTTCATTGGCGTGGGAAAAGGGTATTCAGGGGCCAGGCGGAAGGAAGGACACACAACAACGGCCGAGTGCGCCTTGACGAGCTCCCGGGCGAGTTCGACTTCTATCTCGGGAAAGGCAAGACAATAGCCCCCTCCATGGAAGAGAACTATGATGGGACAGGAAGCGGATGGCGCCGAAGGCTGGCAGACGAGGGTTCGGGAGTGGAAGCCCGTGTCGAGAGGGATGGTGTGCTCCGTCTCGATGACACCTTCGGGCCGATCGGCTGCGAGCTTGGCCTGTAGGATAGGCAGATGTTTGTGGACCATTTCCTTTAGCTCATCGACCTCCAGTCCTGGAAATCCAGGAGGGCGGCCTTTCTTGGAATAAGCCTCCTCGAAAGAGGGGTCCATTGCGGCAGTAGCGAGGATCTCCTCCACCGTCGAGGGGATGTTTGGGCTTGACGGAGTCATCGTTGGCAAACGATATGAACTATAAAATCCAAGAGGGATGGATTAATGATCGTTTCGGGAATACTTTTAGGTCTATTTATTGTCCCATCTTAGATGACTTGAGGCTGGTTCTCTGGCCTTGAAATGGGGTAGGTTTTGGTTATGTGGGAGGCTTCGTTACGCTAAGCCAGAATCGTCTCGCCGAATCACGACAATGCCCTCACCAGCCACATGGTAAGATAAAATCTCCGTGTTACCCCAAAATTCCGAGATTCCGTGACAAACTGCAGACGTCTGACGCTCGAGGTCGAAAGAAGGAGGTTGATTAGTGACTCATACCGATTGCTTACGCACAAATCAACTGTCGCTGGCCCCCGAGTCTTGGTGGCTTATTTCTTCTCGTACCCACCCATTGTAGCTGGCCCACTCGATGCAATTTTGGGCGCGCTTCATCGCTGACATTCTTGCGCAATTAGCGAGATGAATATAAGAAACAGAAGAAAAGCCTTTTCCTTCCTTTCACGATATATCTATAACCGCATAAATTAGAGTTTTATTTCTCCCAGGTTATAAGGCTCCGCATTACAGCTACATATTCCCATCCTTTGCTGCTAATTTATATGATCTCGACCTGGGTCGTGCCTGATTGGCTGTGTTGCATTGGGCTATTATGATTGGCTGAGGAGATGTAATCCCTGCAACCAATGATCTAGAGAACATCGGCTAGGCAAGGGATGAACGGAATACAGGAATAGGATACCTGTAAGGGTGCTAATAGAAGGTGGATTGCAAGGCATGATGCCACTGTAAGAGCCTTCTATAGAGCCCTAGCTAGCCAGCCTACCCTAGAAGTCCAGAAGGAACCTCTAGTGGATAAGGCAATTAGCCTACGGGCTGACCTAGCTGTAACCCTTGGAACCAGCCGCTATTACTATGATATTCAAATCGTAGCTATTTCAAAGGAATCAGCCCAGTCAGACCCCTATGAGACCCTCAGGGAGGCTGCAGAGGAAAAGCACCGGAAATATAAGTCCTTAGGGGCCTTTTTTCAGCCTATTATTATCTCTGCAGGGGGTCTTATGGACCTGGAGACTGCTAAGACCTACCGTAAGTTACAAGACCTTATAGGGCTTGTAGCAGCGGCACAGCTTGACTCCTCTATAGGGATAACCCTTACAAGGACCCGGGCAGTCTCAGCAGCCTCTATTAGCAGAGATACCCCTACAGGGATAGCTAGCTCCCGCTGGAACCTCTCTAGAAGGTCTCCCTAAGGCTTCTATAACCCCTACCTACCTTCTCTACCTTTTCTTATTTCTATTTTTTATTTTTTCCTATTTCTTATTACCTACTTTTCCTACTCTATAGCTTATTTTCTTACTCTTTTTACCTTATAGCTATCTCTCTTTTTCCTCCTTTTCCTATAGGCCTCTTATCTCTCTTTTCTATTTTTCCTTATATCTTTAGACCTCTCCACTCACGCTTACTTGCTAGTCTGTAGCTAGAGCAAAGCAACTGGGCAAAGATAGCTTAGGTAGTGAATACTAACCCTATCCTAACCCTAACCCTAAAATGAGAAGGCGCATAGGCTAAATATTTTTTATATTCCGACTTAGACCCAAATCCCTCAGAAAAACCAAAGGAGGGAGGTATACGGGCCGCAAAAAATGGTATTGAGTGCCATTACCAGTGGTAATTGGTACAGTAGGCACCCCAGACTTATCTACGGTGTAAATTCCCTCCGATCCGCAGGAGTTAAAGCCCGTAACTTGTTAAAGGCTTAATTTGCTTACGATATCGGCAAGATGAGTTATACCGTCTTCGTCGTCACGTATCCCATCTTCGGCAGGTACTCGAATGCCAAACTCTGCACCCTTAGGCTGTAAAAATTGGCCTATCGAGGCGCTATTACCCCGCCCACGACTGACCAGAAGTATGCACGGAACTTTACATCTCGAACTCTGATTGGTCATATCAAGAGCAATACCAGATAGTACCACCCACGTGCCCTGTGATAGCTCCACGTGTGTCCATATAAAATGATGTGCTTGTCCAGGAGACGATAGGATCTCGCTCTGAAAGTCTAACCCGATTCACGTGTCAGAAAAATGGTTCGCGTCCTCCTCACGGGTGGCAATGGCTTTGTTGCCAGCCACATTCTTGATGCCCTCCTGAGTAATGGACATTCCATAACGATTACGGTTCGCAGCAAGGAGAAAGGTGACCAAGTACTCGCACGATACAAAAATACTACTAAAGCCGAAATCGCCGTTTGTGTCATCCCCGACTTCACCGCACATGGAGCCTTCGATGAATGCCTTCAATCAAGCACAAGCTTGGACGTCGTCATGCATGTCGCCTCACCTTTCTATTATTCGGCGACTGACATCAAGCGAGAATTGCTGGACCCGTCCATTGTCGGCACCACATCCTTACTAACAGCGGTTTGCGACCACGCCCCATCAGTCAAAACCGTGATCCTCACCTCCTCCTTTGCTGCAATCCTGAACAGCTACAAGCCCAACACTATTCCACAGCACACGTACACCGAGTCAGACTGGAACCCGCTTACCATGGATGACGCCTTTCAAAATACATTGAACGGGTACCGGGCCAGTAAGCTCTTCGCCGAGCGTGCTGCCTGGGACTTGATGGATGCTCGGAAGCCCGCTTTCTCCCTCACAACAATCTGCCCAACGCTAGCGTTTGGTCCCGTCATTCAACCTCTCTCTTGTCTGGACGAGATAAATATATCAAGTCAGCGCATCTATAACTTCATCTCGGGGGCCTACAAATCGCAGATTCCAGACACAGGCGTGTCTTTCTTCCTCTGGATCGACGTGCGGGATTTGGCTGTGGCGCACGTGAAAGCCATGGAAGCTCAGCTTACCGCGCGAGGGAACAGAAGGTACCTTTTGACAGAGGGATACTTCACCAACCAAGACATCTGTAAGATCATTGGAAGGTTGTTCCCGGAGTATCAAGATGCGCTGCCGAGCTGCGAGGGAGAGGCTGGTGGGTACCCGAAGGAGGGTGTTTATGGGTTTAACAATAGTCGGGCGACGGAGGAGTTGGGATTGAGGTACAGGACACTGGAGGAAAGTGTAGTTGATACCGTGAGATCGTTTAAGGATGTGCAGCGAGAGTTGACCCGATTGGTCAGGAACTGATGTGATGGCCCCTGCCTTTGGCAGGCAACGAGTGTGGTTATCATTCTAACTAAAGATATAGCTTATGAGATAAAAGAGAGGGGATTTTCTTCTTACTCAAGGATTCCAGTTGGTAATGGGGCCCATTACGACTTTTAGACCAATCAAGACTCTAGAAATTGACATGGATTTTCGACACTCGTAACGGGCCATAGTTGGTAATTTACGCGACGCGTCCTGTCGTGTTCTGCGCTAACCCCGGTTTCGATCAGCTTAATGATTTCTGTATATGGAATAATGCAAAATCAACTCTACACCCTGGCATTAATCAACTCTACTAGGTTTAAAGTGAGTCAGTAAAATCAACTCTAGTAGAGTTGATTTAGTCATTAGCTACTGGGAGGCTTTAAACTATAGCAGGCCGACTTAGGTATATAATACTTATCGCCTAGGTAATACAGCGCATGCATAGGGTTAATAGCAAAGCCGCATTTCTAGCGGAGATTGTGGATGCCAGTATCGCCCCTCTTTGAAAGACGTCTCAGCTAGTTGCAGTCCTTGCTCGGCGTCTAGTAATGTGAAAGTGCTTTCCGCCGATGTAATACTAATATTCAAATTTATCCTAAGTTTAATATTACATATCGAAAGACAAAACGGAAACATCTTGTTAAAAAACAAGAGGGGTCTCTACCGAGGAGGAAGCTAACCTGTACTAATTGCACTGATTGGAACGTCGCAAGCTAAATCGTAGAAATGCGCCGCATTTCTAGTATACATGTGTTGCACTGAGCGTGCTTAAAGGGTTAAAGTGAATATGATGAGCAGCGGCGAATATGTTGATTTATTGTTGTTTTTAAGTTATTTATTGTGCGGGGTATTCCATCCCGCAGAGTTACTTAAAGCATATTAGCTAGATTACTAATGCAGTTGTTTCCTGAGGCCGTGAAGATCATGCCTACCCTGCGACAACATGCTTGATTAGGCGTATACGATGACTCGCCCGTTGTTGTGCTGATGCAACCAATCCCGTACCGTCTTGACCGTCTGGATATCCTCTGCCTCTTCCTCGGGCCCTGCTTGCTGGCTGTTATTGTCCTGATGCTGATGCCTCGGCGGTGTTGGCTGTACTTCGATTACCCTGTACCGGATGTTTGACCTCGACGTTCGCGATCGGTATATCTTGACACGGTTAACTGGCAACTTGACGACCTCACAAAACCTCTCGACCTCGCTGGGCGGTAATGCTGCCGTCAAAAATACCTTCTGAACGCCCCATTCGTTTAACACCTGGCCCAACTCCATCATCTGCGGCCGGAATCGGTGCGTGCTGTCCAACATCGTGTGGCACTCGTCTATCACAACCCGATCTAATGCACTTCGCGCCTGCAACCGATTAACGAAATCGCTAAATCCCTTTGTCACGGCTGACTCGGGCGTCACAAACACGATCGGGGCCATCTGGTGCCCTTCGCGGCTGTTCCAAATGTACGTCCCGATTTCGCTCTTCTCGCAACGCCCATGCAAATCATCCCGCAACGATATCAACGGTACAATCACAATCGTCGTCCCGCCGTTGTCGTTGGCGCAATACGCAGGCAATAAAAACGACATGCTCTTGCCCTCGCCTGTGCCCGCGACCTGGATGATGGGACTCTCACCCCGTATGATGGCCCGGATCACCGCCTCCTGCTGTCCCCGGAATGTCGCCGACGGCCCCATCATCTGCCGTAACTGACCGGCGATGTCGACCTGCTGCAACCGTCTGAACCGCTGCATCTGGTTGTGCTCTCGCTCCGTGTCATACGGCGCCCGCTTCCGCCGAATTGCCGCCATCACCCCACCCTCCTCGCTGTCCTGGAACTCCAACAAACGATGCCACTGACGGCTAACCGCTCGAAACTTGTCCCGCATCGACGCCGTGCTGAACAACCCCTGCTGCAACTCGCGGGCGTACACCATCCCGGCCACGTGTGTTCCGTGCCCGGCCTGCAAATCGACCGGGCTGTCATCTAAATCGTCATCCTCGTCTTCATCCAATGTCGATTCCTTGAATACCCCATTTAAATATCGCCGGGCTATGGCGATGGCTATCTGTCTCCACGAACTGATGTTTAATACCACACCTAACAACCGTCTACTGTATCGCTGTATCACTCGACGGGCCCGGTCTGATGTTCACTTCCGTTCCTGCACCCAACTATGGAATCCAACGTCATCGGGGACATCGACATTATCCGTTGTGGCCATATCATGCACAACCCTGGGGCTGGGGCTTGGTGGATCGTTTCCCCTGGCACTGTCGTTGTCGTCGTCGTCGTCGTCGTCGTCGTCGTTACTTTTGCCGCTATTATTGTTCTGCCTCTCCAACTCGGCCTGCCTCCTCTCCCTCTCTTCCACTATGCTGTCTTCTGCCTTACGCACCACTTCGTCTGGCCACATAAATGCGCTCCGGATGGCGGCGTCCTTTACGATACCTTGCACCTGCTGCCAAAACGGCAAAACCAACCACATATACCACACTAATAACTCGCCTAATGCCCGTGGTAAATACCGGTGGATTACCTTGGCCTGACCTGTCGATCGGAATCCCTTGTGATATGACGTGACGAAACACATCATGCCGTTGTGTGCAAATATGTTGCGCACCTCCCCGTTCATCGTATTTTGGTGCCGGATGCCTAAAATCTCGGTCGCCCTTGCGGGCTGGCCGCCGACCATATGCATCAACATGAATAACCGCTCCATAAACTGGTTGACCGTCTGTCCGTATGATTGTACTGCCCTAGCCTGGAATGGCTTTCTGTCCTTTCTCTCATTATCAATCCAAACCTTGCGTCGTGCCTGGCCCTGCCCATGGGGTTGGGTATCGCCGATCTGGTTCATCACCCAATTCTTACCCTTCTTTACCCACTCGCGGTTGCGATCATCAGCTAAAAACGAATATCCCATCCGATCCTCACTGTGGTCGTCTTCCACCGCTAACCACGGGATCCGCGGCAACTGGTCCACGTCATCCACCATCGTCAATGTTGCTAAATGCTCTCTCGCCTCCCTTGTCAATGCGTGCAACATCTCCGTCAACTCGCCCATCCGGAACCGTATCTTTCGGTACTTGATGCGGTCGCCGTCCCAATCGACGGTCCCGCCTGCTGGCGTGTTGAACCGAATATACATGCCGTATGTGCGTGCCTCGTATATCCAATCCATCGGCGTCGACTCGGCGTATGCCTCCTTGGATGTCACCGTCATGAACCTCTGCACCTTTTCGCGCACAATGCGGAACATGCTGGTCGCCTCCTCCTCGGCGTCCTCCTCGTCCAAATGCTCATCCTGCTTTAACCGTGCTACCTCGGCCTGCCTCTCCTGATACGACTGGTATATGACCATCGCCCGTGCCACCTTGATTATGGCCGAATACATGGGCGTGTAATCCATTACATCCACCCAACCGCCGTCTTTACGGATCCCCAAAACGGCCAACCCGCTGATAATGGCGCTGCGATACTCACCTACCGTTAACTTATGGTCTAACAATGCAATAACCACCTGCAATGTCAATTTGTCCACCTGATCCTCGTCTAACGGGTTGGCTTCGGGATCTTCGATATGCTCCTTAATTACATCTTCCAACGTATCTATGCGATCACTCTGCTGCCTTGTTAACTTGAACCCGGGCCGCTCATCGTCGGCCATCTCCTCCGCGCGGTAAATATAACATATCAACTTGGACCATACCGCCGTGTACCGGGCCCATGTATCTTCTTCGACTCGATTATCAAATGGCCGCCGCGGCTTCTTGTTGACCTCTTTTCGCTGCACCTCGAATAATGCCTGGCTGCCGACGGTGCTGGGTGTGGCTATCATCCGTGCCTTTAACATGACGCGCATTAAACTGTCGTGGATTAACTGTAAAACGTGCTCTTGCTCGCCAACTGGGTCCGTCAACTGTCTCATGGCTTCTGGATCTAAACCCTGCAAATGGCCGGCCCACCCTACGCGCTCTAACCATACATTGGCGTCTATCTTTGCATCGGCGGCTTTGATGCACTCTTTGTCCTCTCGCTCGAACTGGCGTTGCTTCTGCTCCATGGCATGCATCGCCCGCTCCATCATGGCGGCCTCATCGGGCGTTTGGGTGGCCGGCGCTCTGAAACCGACCTCGAACCAACCGCTGCCCGGCCCGTTGCTAAAAAACCGCTGGCTTTGGACGCCGGTGCGCCACGGCACTTCGCTTGGGTCTATGGGCTGGTGCATTATCCTCCTTCCTCTCCCTCGCGGATTGCTCCATCTGTGCTCGTTGCGGTAATGCTCCTGCATACCTCGCGGGGTGCCAACCACAAATAAACACCCTTCCTCACTACAACCCAAATTGTCGGCTACGGGCGGTTGGATATGTGGGATCGGGTCGGTCGTCGGCGGTGGCTTTTGCCACGTTAATAACCCTCTTCGGTCTTCAATCATGCCGGGTAAATCCTCGACTTGCTGGGCGATCTCTCTCCTAGCGGCTGCTTTGATGCCTTTGTGATGCTTCTTTAAATGCGGCTCGACCTCCTTGGTGACATATGCATAACGGCATACTGTACAAATCACAAATGGAAACTCGGTTAATTTAATAAATGGTAACATCATGGCTTCTTTAATTTTCCTTAAATGTGAATAAATGGTTGTTTTTATGACTACCCGTTGGCTCGAGCCGGGGGGGGGGGGGGCCAACTAAGCAAGCTTAGTTGGGCACAAAACCGTGAGACATGCACAAAAGGGTGAGACAGGAGGACCTGATAAGATAAGAGATAATAAACTTAAAAAATGATATAAAAGAGGAAATAAGATAGCTAATAAATATTTAAAAATTATATTAATATAATATAAAGCTTATAGAAAAATTAGAATTTTAGTTTAGAATTTTATTAGCTTATAACGTGTATGATAAGCGAGTGGGCCAGACAAGCGAGTGGGCCAGAAATCTTACCCTTCAAAAGATAAACTATCATAAAAACATAATAAACTATCTAATCAATTAAACCTACTCATTATTCTCTTCCCTAGATATCTCAGTTACTACCTGACAGGTTCTTGCATTATGCCCAGTCTTGCCGCATATTCCACAATGCCTTTCCCTCGGTCGCGCCGAACTTCCCTGACCACCACTTCTCGACGATTCGGCCACTACCTGCGTATTAACATCTATCTGATCAATTAGTTCCTGACCTCCCCCTACTGTTAGTACCCCTCCTTTCTGTAATCGGGTTCTTTTTGCCCTGCGGCGTCGGCTTAGTGCCTCATTTGCCTGTCGAAGTTCTCGGTTCTCTGCAGATAATAAGGTAACCTTGTGATATATTCTGGTTGCTGCCTTTGCAAGAGACTTTGAAGCCTCTATAATTGACTCTGGGGAGCTACTTTTATGTCCTCTGATTCGCCTTTCGAGGTATTCAGATTGAGATTTTACCTCGCGGACTGTATTTGGGGTCTTTGGAACCCAAGAGGTGGATGCGCTAGCCTCCTCCTCAATAGGTGTTGGAGTCCGTAGCTTTACATCAAGTTTTGAGATCACATTTTCTGGGTTAAGAGGAACAAGCCCGGCTCCTCTAAAACCCCCTTTGATATTGCTCTCCGTCATAGTGGCTTGAAAGGCGGCATAAAAGGCCGGGAGGAACTCGGTCTTCGAAATATAGGTTATAGAGCTTTTCATCATATGCTCTATTTCTCGACTATAAGCCCTCTTAAGGGGCCCAAAGCACCCGACGTCAAGAGGCTGAAGTAGATGAGACCCATGAGCCGGCATACAAAGCGTAATAATATTGTTCTCCTTGCAATATAGCTCAAAGTCGACGGAATGGTGACTTTCGTGGCCATCGAGGATCAGAAGACGATAGGTACCAATTGTTCGCTTTAATGAACATCGGTTAAAGTGTTTTAGCCACTCGAGACCAGTTCCGTTATCTGTCCAGCCATTTTGGGTCGTGGCGATGGCCCAATCGCCCGGAATGTTGCATTCTTGATACCAATTCTGAAGGTGATTTTGGCCCGCAACCACGATGAACGGCTCGATCGCCCAGCCTGCTGCATTTATCGCTTGGATCACTGTAACCCATTCTCGGTTTCCAGGCTGTAATTTTTTAGGCCGTCCATGCCTCTCTATACATGTAATGACCATACTGGTTGAGAAAACGCCCATCATAAAGCCGGTCTCATCAAAGTTCCAGGTATCATCTGAGTGGATACCATACTTCGCGATCGTGTTCTGTACGAGCCTAAACCAGTTGCGAATAATAGTCGGATCTTCACATTTGGCCCTCTGATAGTCATATCTCCGCTGAAAACGTATCCTGAGTAGTGGTTGTCGCTTGACGAAATTCATAGCCCAGCGCGCGCCGACGCGTGGCGCGTCGCGGTCATCAAGCAGTCGATTAGCCATTTCTTCAACACCACGCAGTCGCGGGGGATATCCTCGCGAATCTAGGTCGATAATGAACTCAAGAAGAGTATCTTCTTCTAGTTCAGATAGCTTCCGTGAGTTAGGCATAGTATCGCGTCGAGATTGAACCCCTTGCTGGCGGCGGCGTAAGGTATTACGATTGACTGTGTAGATTTCTGCGGCGCGTCGGATACTTAGTTTTGGATTATCTTGAAGGGCCTGAAGTGCAAGATTAAGATTAGCCTCGTAGTTTGGTTGTGACATATCTGATTGTTGAGAACTAACTGATAAAGTAGAGAAGATGGAAGGTGAGGGATTTTTGGCCCACTCGCTTGTCTGGCCCACTCGCTTATCATACACGTTATAATAAATAGTATTTTAACATACTTATAAGTTAGTTAGAATTTTTAAAGAATTTTTATATATTATAAATATATTAATAAAATATAAATAAAGCTTAAAGTATATACTTAAAGCTAATATAAGCTATAAGATTAAGCTTTAAGTATTTTAAAATATTTATAATATAAATATATTATATAAAAATATATATAAATTCTATAAGCTATATATAAGCTTTAAACTTAAAGTATATTACTTAGTAAATCCTTAAAATTTAAAAAATAAAATTCTTAAGGAAAATATTATAAATTAAAATAATTAATTATAAAAAAATCCTATAAATATAAAAAAAAGTATCTCTAAATAGTCCTTTTTATAAAGAATATTTAAAATCTTTATATTAATTGCTAATTAAGCTAGATCTTATATAATAGCTATAATAAGAGGAATTTTCCCTGTCACGTGACTTTTCCACCCAAAATTTGGTGTGATCCGTCTGTCTCACCCTTTTGTGCGTGTCTCACCCTTTTGCGCCCAACTAAGCTTGCTTAGTTGGCCCCCCCCCCCGGCTCGAGCCAACGGGTATTTACTTAACGTGTTTGATAAGCGAGCGACGCACTGCACGGTACAGCTAAAAATAGCTTATCCTATAGTAATTTAAACCTTAAATAAAATAGCTAAAAATATAGAAAAAGTATTTTTAGTAATAGTATAGTAATAGCTATATTATATATTTTTCCTAGATTTTTAAAGAAATTCCTTTATAAAGAAAAGCTTACTTATACAGTGTACTTTACAGTGTAAATAGATTTTAAAGTTTATAGCTATATAGGATTTTCTTAGATTTTTTAAAAACATAAAATATCTTATTTTAAGACTTATATATATGCTATTAAAATTATAGCTATTTTAGGCTTAGCTTGGATTTTTAAAGAGTTTTTTAAGAACCGGATTTAAGGTGTATAGGGTAGTGCGTCGCTCGCTTGACTGCGTCGCTCGCTTATCAAACACGTTATCTTGATTTTACCCTTGTTAAACTTGCTTTTGTTGTTGCTATGATACGAAACCTTAAATGTTGTCTAACTCTTGAACCTGGGATCGAGCTGATGACTAATGTGACCCGCTTAACTCTGGTCTCTGTTAACTCCAATCGATCAATGTAATCGAACTTTGACCCGGTCCTAATGCCGCAATTATGATTATCTCGGGCTGAAACTTGAACTGTGAAGTGGGCTCAGTGTAATAAATTGATGCATCTACTTGAAATGCATTTTATCGACTAAAAGTTGGGGGTGACCTGAATCCGTTTGGGTTAAATGGATTCAGGTCGTCTGTTCATTAGCGCCGTTTTTTTTATTATGGGAGTTTAAATGGATTCAGACCTGAATCCGCCACGCAGCTAGGATAGGTTCTCGGCGTCGTTTGTCATACGGGTCACCATGTGGCGAATGTCCTCCATCAGGATCGGCTTGCCCATAAAATACATCATCTCGCCGTGTTTACTCCAGGACACCATTAGCCGGCTGCCCGTCTCTTGCGCGATCTTCCTTCCGTACAGCAGCAGGCTGAGCGTATAGCCCATGGGAGAGTATGTTGCTTTGCAAAGCCAGGCGTCTCGAACCTGGGCGAACCGTTGCGAGAGGTCCGTCATCCCGGCCCGCTCCCGGGTAGGTATAGCCCACTCCGCTCTTGTAGTGGTTCAAACAGCAATATCACCTAAACCCCCAGCCTTTCAGACCCCATCTCTAGATGAGGCTGTGACGCAGAAGTAATGGATAGCTGACCTGGGAGCCGTGAAGAAGGTCTGTATTTGGACGCTAGACCAGAGTCCTAAGCGGTGTCCTATCTCCTTTACTCCATGAACCTGATTGTGATGTACCTTTAGATACTTCCAGCTTTTAGTTAGGAATCCACATTGCATACATGCAAAGCCGGCATGTAGAGGTAGGCCCTTAATGGCTGGGATTGGGTTTAGTGGGCTATGTGGGAAACTATCCTTGGATGGTCCCTGTAGTTCAAGCCCGGTATAGTGGGACGAGATGGCACGCCGAGCCTTAGCATCAATATGGGCATGCTGAGCTTTTAAGTGACTGTCGAGGTTTGATACAGCATAGCCATGAGTCTTGCAGACTAAATATCGGTATTCTGGGTAGTAAAGCAGCTCGTCTGCCATGGCCTTAACCCAGTAGTCTGCGCTGAGTGCTAGGCCTGGGTCTGCAGTTGGTCCCTTATCAGATGGCGGCCATTGAATCAAGGTATTATCATGTCCCGGGTCCATTTCGTTGGCAACTTTTTCTATAGTCATAGTAGGGCTAAGAGATGGGCTGATGTTAGCTGCGTTGGCGTAGCTTCCACAAGAATCAGCCACTTTATTGCGCTTTGAAGCAATTTCAAGTACTTTAGTGGAATTTGGGGACCGTGGGCGCCTTCTTGGGTTAATTTCTTGCTGGTCCTTGGTATTTGTCCGATCTAAGATGACAGCATTACCACTGTATCCATCCCCTAGCCGCAGGAAATCATGCCACCTTTTCGAGACACGTAGATATAACTGCAGGAGAGCGGGTTGCAGTTGATTCGGAAACGCGCCATCGAGCCCATATGTGATTGACCTCTGTAGTTGCATATGACCGCTCTGCCACGCATATGCTGTATCCGCGTCTCCGTATACGGCATGCCTGCTGTGTCGGTTGAAACTTTCCGAAATATCCCGAACATGCCTCTCAGTAATAGCTATGGAGAGCTGCCGATATAATTGGACTCCAATTTTAATGGAAATGCCAGGGGTTGCTTGGCTAAGCTGCTGAAGCTCTCTGGTTAATACGGAGGTGGTCCATGCCGACTTGGTTCCAGCCGGAGTGAACAGTAATGGAGCTGTGGTGTGGTTCACGAAACAGACGCGCAGAAGCATATATGTTAACGGCCGTATATAGACGAGATACCGATACATAATATCCGTAACTTGATGAGGCAGAAAACGGACAACATAGAATTCGTTATTGGTGGTGATTCGAGTCTTATGATGCCTTGTGACTAGACAAAGTCGCCCACCATATAGGCAGATGCCACGGAGCTGTGAAGCTGTATTGCCATGCTGAATTGTTAAAAGCTCTGTTGCACGTGCACATTGTCCCGATGATAAGTGGCATAATAGTAGGATCATCCGGAGGAGATCGTTATGTGCATCGATATAGCTGCAGACTGCTTTCTTATCCCAGGAACTGCATTCATTCTTCCCAATAAGAGTAAGTAGATTGACAGGCGAGAGGCAGGCTTTCGTAAGGAGCTCTAAATAAGCATTTGATATCCCGTTGGCCGGGTCAGAGACAAAGGAATACCCAGCCGTAGCCGTCGAGAGTCGGTCCCGCAGCGTTCTGAGATCGCGGGTTGGAGGCACCCAGTCATACATCAACCGCTCACACTGGCGGGTTGCTGCCTGGATTGCGCTGTGGGCCAGGGTCCGAAACCCATCCATAGTAACTCGAAAGCACCCATCCCATGATATCTCCTCCCCATCGTCGCTCCATTCGAACTGGATTGTCGGGCCCTCCGATCGACGTAGGGACTGGCCGTAGGCAGCAAGACTGATGAACTCTCCGAGTGGCGATAGCGTTCCATCACACATCTTCTTCTTACGGACATTATTTAGTATATCTAGTTGCCCATAGCGAGGCCTTTCTGACAAACTAATGTAGTCATGTGAGAATCTTGGCAGCACTGATTCCATGATGAGAAGCCGAGTACAATAGATCAGGCTGGATAGGATGCTAGTGAATTGAGCTGGGCGGAGGAAGTTGGCCCCTGTAGGCAATGTAAGTCCGCATACAGCGCTGAAGTAAACAAGCATTGTCGACTTTGAGTTTCCATCTGCAAAATCCTCAGTTGCCATAAACAGGCAGAATTGTAAGACTAGGTCGGCCTTGGGGTCTTGTGGTGGTGGTGATGGTGGTAGTGGTGATTGTGTAAAATATGCATTGGCGTCTTTGTCCTCTTCCTTATCCTCGTCCTTCTTGTGTTCTTCTTCCTCCTCTTCCTCCTCCTCATTATCTTCATCATTCTCACCCTCATCCTCGTCCTCATCCTCGTCCTCATTAAGTAAGGGTACATTCTCAAAACTATCATATTGTTCCCATACAGAATCATCCCATAAAGTCTCCAATGCCATCCTCTGAGGCTTAGAGAGTGTTCTTTGACATAGATGTCTAGTAAGCGTTGGGGATAGACGCCAGAGTCGAAACCAGAAGCACAGACACTTTTTAAACCGTTGTCGGTATCTTCTCTCTGTACCAGGCTTAACAACTAGCTCAAATGGACGTTTATAGGGTCGGTCAGGATATATACCGCGAAGCCATCGCCGGAGAGAAATGTCAGTATGCTTGATGGTATCGTTTGAGCGTTCAAAGAGACGGTCAAGGGCGGCCATAATCCGAGCAAGCTTGTGCTCGTCCTCTTGACTGCTTATTAGAGCCTCATCCTTGTAATTGGCAAGCCATAGGGGCCCTGAGTTATCCTTGAGAGGGCACTGAGCCATCGCGATGATTAGGTCTCGTTGTGTGTTGCGGAAAGTCTCCTCCCAGCCAGTTCGGCGCATCCAGTTTGTCAAGAGGGTAGCATCAGTTGCGCTTGTTGGCTGGCCAGTAGGTTGCGGCAGATTACCTCCTACTTGTTGTTGGGAGAGATATTGCTGCTCTCTGGCATAGAGTTCTTTGGTAAAGATTTGTATAGCTTCTGGCGCCTGGTATATGGTGGCGGGCGTGTGTGGTCCCTGGGGCTGCCCGCCGTATAGATGAACCGTCCAGAACGCCCAATGTTGCTTACGGTCCAGGTCTGGAGGCTAAGTCGGTCCAGGATATGGTCCTGCAGCCAGTGACTCTTAAGGAAGCCGCATCCTCTGCTATGCTGGATATTCTGGGAGTGGACTTTCTTTAAGTGCCGAGTGAGAACCTCGAGGCTAGTCGATCGGAGCCCGCAATGTCTGCAGGCAGCGCCTTGCTGGATGCGGAGGTGAGGGTGGGGCGAAGAGCCATCTAACCGCACCGGCAATGTCTCTGGGTCTGGAAGACGAAAGGTCCGGATAAATGGGCCAAGCCCTCGGCGAGCCGGCTTGGAGATGCCATGCCGCTCTCCAAGGTGCCGCGAGATACAGTCCCCATCAGCCTTAAGGGCGAACTTGCATTGAATGCATATAATTGCTGGCTCTGGCTGATTGAGGTAAAGTCCAAGGTTTTCAAGCTGCTCAATCATAGCTTACTTTTAGCAAAAAATAAGATAGCTAATTAGGAAGGAGGGAGGAGAAAATTACTGACTGATATTAAGGCTTAGTAGAGTAGGAGGGGAGGAGAGGGAAAGCTCTTTTATCTCTCTCTCTCTTTACTTTAAACTTTACTCCTATAGAAGGAAAGGGAAAGAAAGGGTAAGGGGTATAGTTAATAGGTAGGGGTCCCTTAATGGTAATTGGCTGTATTGTTGAGAGGTGGAGAAAACGGGACCCATTCCCAGATGATCCCTATTTTACTTGGGAGATGAGATGGATTTTGGGAATGGGCCCCGTTCCCAGGCTGGTAGCAAACAAGGATGGTTGGGATAAGGTGATTGGTGCAGAAGCGGGAATGGGCCGCGTTCCTGATGGAAATACATGGTAGGTGTAAAGTCCAAGGATCTGCTGGACGAGATCAAGTGAGGAGGATGAAGATGATGATGAAGGCTCAGCTACCTCCTTCGACGCCTGTAGAAATATGTGATCAAGCGGAAGCAGAAAACGAGCCGCTTGTGTAGATACACATTTGACCACTGTCTCTGTTGGAAGCACCCAAAAAGGACAGTGTTGCTCACTGGTTGCGGAAGTGAAGGGAATATTCCAGCATATTGGGCCGGTATGAGGGTTTTGGTCAGGGTCTAGCATACCATCGGCCCACATGGCGAGGGTAACATCGAGACGGAGGGTGACCTCTTTCCGGATCCCAAAATTCGGATATCGTTTCAAAGTAGCAATAGCTCTCATATGCCGCTTATTGGCTTCCCAGGCATCTACAAGACGGGAGCGGTTGAGCTGCGATACGAAGGCACGCTGGCGGTTTTGATCCGTAGCCGCTAGATCTTTCAACATTGCCTCGTCAAAAGCCAGAAGCGGCAATAATCCTGAGCTGAAGAGCTGATAATCGCTAAACATGACCCCAAAGAGGTCTTTGCTACAGTTATATGCCTTGGCCCGAATGATGTCAGGTGCTCTAGCCTCAGGGTGGCCAGGGTTTGATGCCCGACTTGGCTTTGCCTTTGCATAGTATGTTCCCACGTCACGAAGAAGATATGACCGATACTGGTCAGCAACTAGAGAGGCTTCGGGGACTATACCACCCAGTTGGTCATGGAGGTGCTCGCAACAAGCGCTTTTCCACAGAAGTGTCCAAGGCTCGCCTCCATGATGGATCAGCGATGGAGACGATGGTTGACGAACGTGATCTCGCATACCTACATCAAGCCAGCAAGAGTGCATGTCAATCTGATTTGCACCAAGCCCAGCCAGGACGATGTCCCGAAATAGAGCCAAGCTTTCCCCAAGGGTCTGCGATGCAAACGTATTCTTCAGATCGTGTGCTTGGAAGAGTAGACGAGGGTTTCCGAAGTATGGAACAGCGTCTCCTCTCCTTGTTTGCACACGATGCATGTTCGCTTTCTCTACTACCGATACCCAGAAGTCTGCAAGGTTTCTGGCGGGGATGCTATAGGACAGGCGAAACGCTCGGCTCTCATCTTCGGCGCTCCAACGGCCAGCACCTGGTTTCTCCTGGTATGCACGAGACTTAGCATATAGGAGGTCGTACGAGCTGGGTATCTCTTGTTGCACATGATCAGGGACCGATTCAAAGATAGCCGGAAGGATAATCTCGTCGTATAAATCCTTAAATCGTGCTAAGGATAGGCTGTTAGCAGAAGCCTTTGTGCGCGATCGAGCTCCGTTGGGGAAAAACAGCAGAACGGAGAAACGAACGCCGGTGGTGGTAAAGGTGCCGATGGAGGTGTGTCGCGTATGTGCCAGGTCCAGACCGTGAGGCTGTATCACTTGAGCGGTGGATATGTTGCTTTTGTAAGCCGGGAAAAACGAGAGTCGAAAGTGACTGGGGGCTCGTATGGCGGACAGACTCTTCGCCCCGAGCCAGATGCTATCGACATCCCATTGTCGCGCGACTGTCACGGAGCCGTGGGGCAGCGAAGCCTGTGTCTTGTGCAACGATAAGGGTTCGGCCGGTTGGTCAGAGAGGAAGCTTCGCCACTGTGGAAAGGAAGCACGCGGATCACAAGCACTATCGCGTTCTGCAAAGATAGTCGGCAAAGGAGGGAGAGTATGGCTGATATATTCGGTATATTCCTGTAGTGTTTGGGCATTTTCTGGCTCGGCATGCTCGTGCGAACTCGGGCCTGTTTGAGATATATATCAGTAAGTTCTAATAATCTTGGGGCAGATAGATGATGAATCTGTGACATACAGTTGCATTGATGGCTAAAGAATGTTCGAAGTACACGATCATATATGTCGCCCTGCTGGCGTAGGAAATCAGGACCACCAGCCGTATCTTGTTCATTAATCGCTTGAAGATAACCGCTGAGGATGGATTCATCTCTACCCACTGACGGTATTGAAGATGGACTGGACAACGGCGAAGGTAATGAGGCTGGGGGGCTTGGCGTTGACGAAGAAGTAGAGCCTCTTCGCTCAGGTAATTGACTGCTGTGCCGAGTAAAGTCAGGCAATGAGGGTCGTGTTGAGATCGATAGGTCTGATATGGCATCGTTGTCGAACCCGAAGCTCTCGGATATGCCACCATCATTGCCATCCTCTATATTATAAGCAGTAAGATGGCTTGGGGATGGTGGAAATAGTATTGGTTCAACCTCGGACTCAGGGTCAGGCTCGCCATCTGGTCTGCATTCCGGTCCAGGCTGAGCCTCATTGGCAGAAATGGATAAGGCTGGGCCATCATGCAAGGTAAGGCCTGAGAATTCGACCGTAGGCGGGAGTTCTTGAGTGATGCCGAATTGTTGGACGATTTGTTGTGCCTTTGTAAGGTACTGTTGGTCGCGGTGTTGTTGGACACGGAGACGCGTTCGCGCACGCGGCGACAGGGCAGGGTCCTTCTGAGGACGACCAGGTCTATAAATGGCCTGTCGTTCGACTTGAATAGGAAGATATAGGCTTGAGGGTTCGGCAGCCGAGGTAGATTCTGCCTCATCCTCTATAGTTGCGGTTCCAGGATATTGTGCCGCAATGCAGACGGCATGGGAATCTGCATATTGGCCGATCGACTGTGTAGATACATCCGGTTGCAGGGTTGTTTCGTCTACTTGTATTGTCGGCGGCTCGTGCGTCGTTGTGATCAACCGATTAGGGGATGGGGTTCGGCTTCTTCGGAGAATACCAGAGACTGGATGGTCGCCTACTTGGTGTAGGGTAATGTTATCGCGCTGTTCGTTACCATGTGCTGTTAAGTCAAAATGTCAGCCCGAAGTTGAATTTTAGACAGAAAAGATGCATACTGAACAGAGAGCTTTCTTCTTGAGCTGTTTCCATGAGTGGGTTTTCCGGAAAATTCGATGGGTGGCTGCTTATGACATGAGGATGAGAACCGCCCGAAAGTGTATCATTGTTCTGACGGGCTGCTGAACGATATCGCCTCGACCGGTCTCGCTCCCGGGCAGCCTTATCTGCCCTTTCTTGCGCTGATAGTGCACGACGACCCATGGTGGCGTGTATACAACGACTTTCTGTGAAGCTGATAACTATGCTCCTGGGCTATATGAATAGCAACGGAAGCTTTGTTGGACTGCTTGCTTGCTTGTTTTGTTTTGGTTATATCTACATCTGCTTACAATGTTTACATTCGTATGGATAGAGTTTCATGGCAACTGATTTTACCTTTCCTGGTCTGTCAATGATAATGTGAAGAGAGCGTTATCACAGGTATCGGTTCTCATGATTGGCTGTTCTTGCAAGGGGATAATTAATGGAGATTACGAGGCGCGCAATGCAGGGGTGAAACAGCCAATATGACATCAACTGCCGGCATTATTGCGCTGACTTGGTAGAATGTCTTTCGTCTTTACGTCTGAGTCCAAGACTGGTGCAGTGAACAGTATTTCTGGAGAAGAAGAAGTCTAATATCTGACACTTGCTTCTATACTAAGAATAATAGTATTATATATGCTCTTTATAATCTGATAGTTGCGTTAAGAAGATAATGACTACTGTATCCTAACAACTAGACTTGCTGTCTCTTCATGGAATTGACTTAGCTTGTTTTAGCTACAGACTGCTGATACATTTGGGGGGCATCTTTATGATTGGGAATGATTTTCTCCCAACCCTGAGCATCACGTGCTTTCGTGTCACCTCTCGGGTTAAAACATTAAAGTGAAATCATCGTACGCGTTTATTCTTCATCGCATTGGCTCCAGGAGACTGACAAGGGTACCGTACGCGTTTAAACGCAACGACATTGGTCGCCGCTGTGAGCCATGAACAAGGGTGTAATGTTATTTCGTAAGCAGCATTTTGACAGGCCTGAGTCTCGAACTGGATTGATGATGGAATATGGCAGAGAAAAGAAGATAGAAGGCGCGAATCAAAATTAAAATGGATTTGATACTTGCTAGTTATTCAATTACGCCTTGGACTACGGTTTTATCTACTTTTTATATGCTTGTCCATTATGGTTGATTTTTGGCGGATTTTAATTGTCATTTTCTGGTCGACGCTCGAATTTGACAGACATTCACGATCCTACCAACCCTGGCCCTACTTACTTAACTGATATATAGATATATATATATATCTGACTTCGCCTTGGGCGGACAAATTGGACAACGAAACGATAATGGAGTATTACACCCAATTGCTTTCTATTCACACAAGATGCATGGGGAAGAACTCAATTACCCCATCTACGACAAAGAATTCTTAGCTATTGTCAATTGCTTCAAAGAATTCAGACACTATCTCAGAGGAAGCAAGCACCCTATCAAGGTTTTCACTGACCACAAAAATATCGCCTATTTCGCTACCACGCAAGAACTAGACTAACTCACCGCCACCCCACACACCCCCCGTCCCCGCACACCCGTGATAGCATCACAACCGAATCCGTAGATGACTTCAATTAATTCTACAATAACGAGTATTTATTCAATTTAACTGAGAGTTTGGAAACTGATTTATGAATATTGTATCTGCAGTCTGTGTTTTTGGCGGATTCTTTTTACGTTATTTTCTCTTACTTCCCTCGATCTGATGTAGTATGTTCTTTTCAGCCTGATCACGAGCCGAGATAATCTGTTCAATCTCAGGGAAAGCCTTATTGGGGTCAAATTAAACGGCGACTCGGCCAGTGGGCTCTCTTGCTGCTACTAACGCCTTCAGTACTGCTTTTTCCTCCTCTAGGCATTAAATTTAACTGTTCTTCTGGTCAATACATTTTATCGCCTTCTTTATAATATAATTAAAGTCGCGAATAAAGGTATTTCCTTGATGACCTATTTTTAAACAAGACAATAGACGCGGAAGGCTGGAATAGCTCTAGTGGTGTTGGGAACAGTATGTTTATATGAAAATTGCGTTTTTCTGTATTGAAAGGCACGATGTCGTGCCCCATTCTTGGCTCAATTTCAGGTCTTAAAGATCTCGCTGCTGTAGGCACTATATGCCTGCGTTCCTTCAAGTATTTAATCCACATTCATCAATTAAATTGAGAAGAATTTGTGTGGGGATTTGGTTGAAAATACTTTATGAAAATATTTAATCCGAAACGTGCTCCTCGTGTGCTGATATTATTACATGACACAAGCGGTGTGACTGGCTTTCCCAAAGGTTATGCCGCGTAAAGGAATAGAAAGAAGCGCCACATATTCAAATAAGAAAGAGAGTCGGATAAGACGGTAGCCTGGGCATTGCAGTGGTTAACAAAGAAATTCCATATCAGAGACGAGAAAACAAAGCTAAACGCCAGCCAGAACCACGTAGATATTGACTATTGGACTGGCTGGTCTGCTTACTGTCATCTGCGCATTATGTGGCTTAAGTTTATAAAAGTAACGACTTAATAACGAATGGAAAATAGGGAGAGAGGCAGAATTTCGGGGGGACGGCTATGTACTCCGGGATCTTTTTTTCTCCTTTCTTTTTTTTTCTTTCTCTAAGCGGGGAGGGGTCCTTCTTTATTGAATATTATCAGCCGCGGTAAATCCGTGCTGGCTGAAGAGGCGCTTTTCGCGTGTAGGTTATTTGCTTCTTCAATTCTTGATATTTCCGCGGACCCCTGTAAAGCTAGGCCACATTGGTAGTTGACAGATCGATTTGGTTGTCACGCCTAGCCAGTGACATCTATCTGATCTGAAGTCCAATATAAGAACTGCCGCAACATCCTCTCTTTATTGTGTCAGTCACGCCCATGATAACAATCAGTTCGCTCACAGAGCAGCCATTTTGCTACCATCTCTAGACAAACCGTCTTCCTCAACCATACCGGTACCCGTATCATCAATATCGCTAGTCCATCTCAAGCGACTTTTTCAGAAGACTTTATCAAGCACCCTCCTCCTACGGTTATAGCAACCCTTACTACACCGACCACTCACAATAAAACAGAACCAGTTTATATTCGGACTATTCTCATCCCTCGTCCCGTGCTCAGCTCTCCAGCATGACATCTTCTGTTGAGCCCCGAAAGCATGCCGACTACCATGTGTCTCCGAACCGGCAGTCACTGCCCTCCATCTCAGAGTTCATTCAAGATACTAAGCCAGCCGCTTATACTCATAGACCTCTCTCTAGCGTCCAGACTGACTCCAGACTTTCCCTGCCTCTCGCATCTGTCCGTCTACCGCTACCCAAGACAGGGAAGAACCCATCTTTGCATCAACTTCTCTCGACTTCATCCTTCCCTCCCCGACAACATACCCTATCTGCCTTTTCGGATCCTCTACCGCCACCTTTCACCAGCCTTCCATCACCTCTTCCTGTCTCTGACTGTTGCCAGAGTCCCTCAGTCAAGGCGGAGATTCCATCCCAGCATCGCCAACCCCAGCAGCAGAAGACGCAGGAGCCTCATCCTCCTTTCAGACAAGGACATTCTCACTCAGCTCCACCATCCCCCCCTCCAGATCCGGTTTCCTCTCAGCCCCGCTCACTACCTCCTGGCCAGATACCTCTTGCCCTTATCCGACCCCTCCCAGACACGACTTTGCTACTCAAGCCGGATATGATGCCTCAGTCAACAGACACCCTAGGAGCTGGAGCTACCGAGATTCATTAATCAAGTGAGTTAACATAAACCCCGATGCAAGGTCGGCAAAACTAACTATGTCTAGATTAGTTCCTCATCCCGCATCATTCTTGACTGTGCTGAAACGTATAATCGAATTGCTTGTGAGCAGCACGGGCTCACGTGATCCCGAAAGGCTGCCGACAGAATGGGAACTCAGCAACATGCTCAGTAACATGGAGCACATCAAGCGTTCTCTAGAACATATTGAGGACTTGGTGCAAACATCGATCAGAATGAGCGGGCTCGTGAAGGAGCCAAGATGAAGGAGGAGAACCATGCACCTGTTTCTGTATATGCTATGCAGCCCTCATCTGGCACGACAGGAACCACGAAGCGACTGGCAGTAAGTTTAGTTATTAGAGGGGGAAACATAAAACTGACGTATTGACAGTGTGCGTCCCAAACTGGCAGATGCCACAAATGCGGCCGGACTCAGACCCCTGAATGGCGCCGCGGACCCGATGGAATAAGGACACTGTGTAACGCATGCGGCTTACACTATGCCAAACTAAAAAGGAAGCATCAAATCAAAGCAAGTTCGATCCGTCCGGAACCCGAAAAAGCACTTCAGCTGCGAGGCTCAGAGTTGCTGCAGGATGGCTTAGGCCCAGGAGCCGCCATTCCGTGTCATTTCTCGACTACAGTACAGATATTCTCAAAATCATCTACCATTAAGAGATCATCCTAGGGCACTTTCCCGTTGATGTTTAATGGGTACTCGAGGCTAGCCTCGCTCATACCACAATCTTTCCAACAACACGTAATCCAGATGCGTATGAATACTTGATTTTTGGGCCGTCAACGTTGGCCGGTTTCTGTATATATGCTTGCAACACTATGGGTGCCTAGGATCTGGCGAGTAGGGCCGCAGCCTTTCTATCATTCATTAATTAACTTGTTTCTTATTACGAATCGGTAGGACTATTTTAAGCGGAGAAGATAGATTTCGGTTTACATAAAAGATCCTCTTGAGCCTCACATCAATAGAGCGATACCAGTAACCATGCCTTCATATATCCTTTGATAGGCTTATTCCTTTCGAGCTTAGCTACCCTTACTCACAATGACTAACGCAACGTAAGGAAATTCTTTACCTATTACTCCTTTCCCGCATATCAAGCCTAGTTAAAGTGATTTTTCACAAAAGTGACAATATTTGTCAAGACCTCAAGGCTGTAGATACGGTAGTTTTGACCACCTGCTAACACCAACATACAAACACAGACGTAAGTGCCCCACGAGCTTATCGTGCGCTGATATTGGGTGTAGTGAAGAACTTCTTCTGGTTAGTGAAAGGGGGCAAGTTAAGGGACTAGCAGAGCGTAATTACTATAACTTAGTTCAGAGACTCTGCTGTGCATGTTTGATGATGTTTGGTTATTGGGACAGTGAATACTTTGATGCAGTCGGCTGCTGGACACTGAAGCTTGGGGAAAACCTGTTACATCCTGGCAAAGGAGTCTGTAATTATGTTGAAGTTTCTTTACTTTGGACAACTAGAGTTAGAGCATTACACTACGGCATAGACTACTATTATTCAAGTTAAAAGCTTAATACTACATCTGCTTATATTATAATTCTATTAGGAGTATCATATATAGACTTTGCTGTGCTCTGAAAGCCTTGCTCATGCCTTATAGTCAAAGCTCTGAGTAACAGGCAGTGAGCTTAAAAGACACTACAAGCTTAGACCAGAGCAGGTGAATGACCCTATTCGGTGGTAAATTAATCAAAACAACATTTTCCCGCGTTTAAGCAGATTTGCGTGGGATGTCCTTGCTATTCCGCCCTTGGCAACCGGGTAAGAGAGCATTTGGTCTTATAAAGCCTACATTCATCTCAAAGCGGCATTCTCTGCTTGGATCGAGCATTAAGTCGGTCCAACTACTGAAGAGCTGGGTTAGGGAGGGTGTATTAGTCTAAGGGGGCCTATAAAGCAGCATCAGGGCTAGTCAGAACCTAAAGACTGGGCCACAAGGCTAAAGATAGCTTTGCATGACGTATGATATATTATGCATCAATCATATATTAACCATATCAGATACAGAAGGCAAATTGTCAGTTCATATCGGATTTAGGTCCTAATCTGATCAATTGACTTGACAGCAGCTTTGTGAAACTTATCTAAAACTGTATACATTATTTCAGTTCTGAAGCTGTCAATCGTGTGTCTTAACCTTCCAGATGAAATTGTACAACCCGTCGTACCTTGGGAAATGTTGCTACGCCGATGGATGAGGCCCAAACTTGACTGACCAAAGTCGCATAATCCACCCACGGCAACATGAACCAAAAATAACCATGTAAATTATCCGAAATGCCATCTGTATCAACCCAAGTATCATTAACAATATCCAAAACATCCACTTGCACATCCGTTGGCAGAGGAAGATGTCGCATGTCTTTGCTGTCGGCATCGCCAAGGCGAATATGATATTGACCCTCGAGCTCCTTTACTCCTGTACTCCAATCGTTAAGTACTCCAAGTTGCCAATCAAGGTTTCTTTCTCGACGAAAATCATTCTCAATAACATTCCAAGGAATGTCGCACTTTGGAAAACGGTTCCGTAATGCTAAAAACCAGACTACATCATTCTCCTTATCAAGATCTAAGACTAAAAAGTCGTTCTGGGTTCCGACCGAAAACCTAGAGATTGGGAGGTTGTATGATCGGCAAACGAGTTGTAGTTCTTTGACCTTTGATGAATATGATGTGCCCGATTCTGAGGAATAAGAATGAGATAGTGTTGTAGACCAGCGAGACAGTTCCTCTAGATGGAGCGCATTCCCGATGTTCTTTGGACAGAGAATTACAGTTTCAAAGACGTTCTCGATATAAGAAAAATGACCCTGGATGTCCCAATGGAGATCGATATAGATATAGAGTAAATCGCGTTTTGGATCAGCCCAGTCATATATGCGTTTGACATATTTCGAGTTACAGACGTCATACCTGCCCGATATGAGGGAAAGTTTTCGATTTCTGATGGTGATTTCCCGGACTTCGTTGCTCAAGACCATAAGTCCTGGCAAGTCGTGTCGATAGTGAGGATACTGCCTCCCACTTCCTTCTATTCGGCGTGCGTACGGAATGTATATTCGAGGTGAAGATAGAGAGAACGCCAGGTTCCAAATCTCGCTTCGGACTTCTGCGGGTAATTTTGCGAAGTAGTTGAATTCATAGAGATGTCTCGCTGAGTCGTCAGGCGGCGACGGTTGTCGGGCTGAGACATCAGCCGAAGTATGAGGAGGCTGACATGTTTTGTCACCTTTCCTGGAGAGTTGTCCGCGGCTTGGATCTGACGAAAGAGTAGTCGTCAGCACTGAAGATTCATCTTCCATTTTGGTCCACCGTGAAACGATGAACGAGGGCATGCAAAATTCCCAGTGTGAACAGGCGGTCAATAAATGCATAAATTCATTCCGCCCGGAAGGACTTGTATGGCCAAGTGCGCTAGGATGTTTACGGCGCTTTTGTTTATCTTCATCGGTTAACAGGCCGTCCAAAGTTAAATTACGTTTGTTTCATCGGGGGGCATAAGATTGCGCAAGGTACGGGGTGAGTGGTTTGTTGGATAGGAATAGCCGTGCATTCCCCTGGCTCTGTAGGGCACTGGGGCTTCCTACGATTGATATCTGTCTATTTATTAGACACGTTCTTATTTATAAACTTCTTGTTATTCGTATTTGGTCATAATTTGCTGGGTCTTCATTCCGTCAAGCTGGCCTCCACAACCATTTGCTGGTGCTTGATGGCCCTTCATGCAGCGCGGTCCATGTCACGCAGCTCCTGAATGACAAGCTGGATGTGATTCTTTGAACTGATTGGCATTCTTGGCTTAAGCACTGCTGGTTCAGGCTGGGTAATGTCTATATATCTTCAGTCCTGAAAGTATAACCCGTGACCGCTATACTGCCTGCCTTTGCGGTGACCATTATTGCACGCCTTCCAGGCTAGGGAACTTGATGCTCAAGGAGACCAAAGAGTGGGATGCATAGGATCTGGCCTAGAATAAAACAATCAGCAAAGTTAAAACTATGAGACTGTAATTACACTACTGTGAAGACGGTCAGTTGTCCTTGAAACTGGATTGTTCAAACTCTCCGTACCATGGCGATGTTCTAGACCGCGGGGTAATGGCGAAAGTACTCACGGTCTAAGCCCTTCCTTGTCTAGCCTGACACACAAGGTAACATCGCCTCGTTTCTTCGGTACGTAGTAAGTCCATCTCCTCGGAACTACAATCATCAAGGGGAAAATGAAATTTATCACAACAGGTGGTTCAATAACATCAACAAAGCACATGCAACCTAAAATCAAAGGGTAGATTTAAGTATAGTTAAAATTCCCAGGATTAAGGGCTAAAACTGGACCTTGACTAGGAGATTTATAAACATTTCTATTGACGGCCACAGACCAAGTATTCACCAAGAACCACGACTCATATGCACGCATTGCTTATCCTCGAATATGTACATTGGCTATATTACTATTACGATTACGATTAAGTAAGAGCCAGCTGTGGTCTTCCTGAGAATGTAATCAATAATAATTCCAGATTGAGGTTTCGAAAATACGCAAAAAAAACATATGAATATCTAGCATCCGTAGTCGCAACAAGTTATCAACTTCATCCAGACGGCGCGCGATATATCATCTTAGAATCCATGCCCCTAGCCGTTTTGGACTCGAAAGACTTGATATTAGATCTTGGAATAGCGGTGCATCGAGAGCCAAGCTGCACAGGGTTAGACAGACTTTTCAAGTATAGACGCGGGCAAAGACGCGCGGTGCAGGCACGCTCTTCTTCATAGCTTTCATCTAATGTTAGATGTAAAGGAGGAAGGTCTTCCTAGAAGTGTGAAGTTAGTGCCTTAAGAGTTCCCCTAGACCTTGGGTAGCATTTCCAATGAGATAAAATTGTAACATCAACCATCAGGAGTCATCTTTATGTCACTTGTCTCCTTTATGCCAAACATGACTTGTTAATATAACTGTCCATATGCTGTAGCTGTAATCTTCGACGGGGACAACATCCGGGGTCTTTGTTGATGGTCAAACTGCTACTCGGGTAGGGTCTAGAGACCGACCCCCCGTGCTTTCCTTTCCACCGTAGGTGCCCGTGCGTCAAGCACGGGGGGTAGGCTGACTAGGGAAAGGGGCGGGTGACTGGGGAATAAATTAGATACCTCATTTTTGTATGTAGCCCCACCAAAAAAATAAGTCACTCCTTTAGTTGAATTGTCCCTCTTTACTGCACTGATGATGCCCGCGATATGTCATTACCCCTCACAAACATCGCAACGAAATCACCACTCAACGTCCTCAACACCAACAAGGTAATTACTTTATTCAGTCATGATAATTGCAATTTCTATTCAATTGAGACGATGGATACATCAATCAAAAGCCCTGAACCGGCTCTTACTGCAGTACAAAAATATATCAATTCTGACACCGGAAACCCTAATGTCTTGCGATATACAGCTCATAACCTTGAGACGCGTACTGTCGCGGCTGTCGAGCTTCTAAGGGAAGGATATTACTCCTCAGCTGTTAAAGCTGCTAAGGCATGGAGGGTACCATATAAAAGGTTGCTTTCTCGACAAAAAGGAAAACATCCTGTCTCTCAAAATGGCGGCAACTTCACGCTTTTTTCGCCGGAAGAAGAGAAGGCGATCCTCGCTTGGTGCTGGCGCCGCGTCACTCAGGGACATCATATACAGATGCGTACTCTTCGACAGTATGCTAATTCAATTCTAAAAGCAACTGACCGACTTCCAACGGCTTCTAGATACTGGGCAAGACGTTTTCTAAGAAGATATTCCTCTATTCTTCATAGAAAGAAGAGTTCAACCATCGCAGTGCAAAGAAAGGCGATGGCAGACCGAGCCAACGTCGAAGAGTGGTTTCGCAAGTGGCATGATTACGCGGAAAAAGGCATAGATTACGAGGATGTGTGGAACATCGATGAGACAGGCTTCCAGATCGGTTATCTTAAAAATGGGATGTTCCTGTGGACTTTTGGGGAAATCGACAAGCCTATCTTGACTGATGCACACGAGACAATAAGCGTCACGATCATTGAGTCTATATCAGCAAAAGGACGGGTTATTCCATCGTTTATCATCATGCCGGGCGTACAGCTGCCGTCTCGGTGGGTTGACAACCGCCTTGAACCGGGCACAACGATCGTTACAACACCAAACGGCTATATCGATGATATCTCCGCGCTAGAATTCTTCGACCACTTTGAACGGCTTTCCCGGACTTCTTTGAGTCCGGGAAAAAGAACACTATTACTAGACGGTTGTGAGAATCATTTTACCAAAGAGCTTTTCCAAAAAGCCCAAGATGCAGGCGTGGTGTTGTTCCCTTTCCCGCCTCACTTGACACATATCCTTCAACCGCTAGATGTAGGGCTATTCTGTGTATACAAGCATTGGCATCAGGAAATCCTTCTTCGTGAGATTGCAGATGGCGCTACAGACTTCAATAAAGCTGACTTTTTGTTCCATTTACAGGAGGTACGCGCCCGTACTACTAAGAGAAGCACTATCATCTCATCTTGGCAAAAGACCGGCATCTATCCCTTCGATCCTGAGGTTGTACTAGCCCGTATGATAAATCCCTTATCATCACTATCTTTGGAGGTAGCTGAAGAGTCGTTACCCGGCTATATCTCACGAGGGTCCTCTTCCACCCACAGCAGCGATAGCAACTCCGAAATGAGTGAGGAAGACGGCGTTACGCCGCCTCATGAGATACACCATTCGAATCGTCACGACCAGGAGATTCGATTGATGTCAACGCCACCCCCGTGCGTCAACTGGATCGAAATGAACACGCCGGAGCTCAAGTTACGGCAGATCCGTCAGTACGAGGAATATGTGGCCCTCAGGATCGAATGCTCAATAACCTCGGGCACGCCTCTGACTCCCTCAGTGTCACATGTCAATGAGAAGCTGCAGAAAGCACATACAACTCTCGCAGTCAATGGGATTACTGCGACTCAGGAAATGCGCCGTCTCAAGGAGAAGAACCTTAGAAGGTCTGCCCGGGATCAGGGGACCACCATACTGGCAAATTACGGGCCAATTACTATATATGATGCCAGACTTCGCGTCGCAAAGGATCAGCACAACCGGCTGGCCGGTCAGGCGGCCGAGGAAGCTCGTATGCACACTAAAGAAGTTAGGGTTGAAGTCGGGTATTTACGACGATGGATTGCAGCGGTCAGGAAGATGCTCAGGGCTTCTTTAAAGGATCTACGGGTTGCTGATCTATACAGCAGCCAGCCGACTTATTCTCAGAAAAGGAAGCTATTCACAGCGGCCGAATTTTATATAAAAAAACAACACCAAGATTGTATACGGTCGACGGCGGTGATAGGGTCAAGATACCGGCTTCACCGCGAGCTTCTGGCTAAAAGCAAAGATTCCAAGGTGAAAGCGACTAATGCAAAGAAATCAGAAAGTCGGGAAGCCCCTAGAGTATTTATCTTTCACTGGAATCCCCAATTCCTTCTTCCATTTGACTATGACTTCAATATCGTGAAGGAGGCGTTGGAATTTATTGTCAGTGACGAGGAAAAACGCCGCTCTAATCGGAAGAAGATGTCGTTGGAAGCTGACGGCTTAGAAATCGTTGAAGATGATGAGGAAATGGATGAAGATGATGAATATGATGATGATAATGAAGAAATAGTCATTGGGGATACTATTGAAGTCAGTTAGGGCGAGTTCGTTATCCCAAAGGATGAAGAAAATACCGAATAGTCGTGATGGTTGCTTGGTGTTTTGGCAATATGCATTTTTGGTGGGGGTTGCAAATGGAGGGGTTGGTCCGGTCACAATCATGTAGTTATCCGTGGCAAAGGAAGTACATCTAATTTGGTGGGGCGCACATATAAAAATGAGGTAGCTTAATTTCCCTAGTCAACCGACCCTTTTCCTAGTCACCGTACCCCCCGTGCCTGACCCTCAGGCTCCACGTGTGGAATGGGTTAGGCTAAGGGGGGCCGGTCTCAAGGCCCTACCCGAGTAGAGCTGTCACTGTTAGCAAAAAGCAAGAAAAGTGGCTGCCTTCGCCTCCGGCCGACTCCGACCCTCCTACGGCAACCGCTAGGCGATCAAAGTTTAACAGTGATCGGCGGTAAGTGGCCATTTAATACCAGGACGCAACCAATGGCAATATGTCATATTTCAGACTAGCCCTAAACATTACACTTGCAGAAAACATGTCAATAACCTAATCCCAAATGGTTTATTCCTACTATCTCAGGAGGCCAAAGTTTGGACAGTTACATCACAGCTAGCCGGGAGTCTCTTGGTAATGTAACCCTAACCTTAGAGGTAGTTCATAGTAATATACTTCGTGGCTTGCAGCATCATATGGGGGTACGGATTAGAGCATAGGGAGCGGGGTTATACGTATCCCAGAATCTGGCAGGTCGTCGTAGCCTGGTCTCCTGGGTCTGCGGGCGTTAATTCTGGCCGAAGCTGACCAGAAGATCATCGACGCGACACGTCAAATGACATCCATGTGGATACACACCAGTTTCAACTGCCGAGGTAATTTAACGAACTAACGAAGATGGCTGAGTGTAGTATATTATTTACATGTTCCAGGCAGATAGCTACTGCTAGTGATACAGTACAGAGGGGTGGGAGTGAGGAGTGTTGAGATAAAACGGAGGAGTATTAACGTGGAGCTTGGCTTCTAGATATTTATTATGACTAATCTACTTGCCATACCTCATGTCAGGTTGATGAAGCGCTTGGGGTATTGCGCCGAAGTAGCCCGCCTCGATATACTCTATCTTGATGACATCCTTATCATACATAGTGCAAATGTTTGAGGAGCTGGTATTGCTGAAGGGAAGGACCGAGGTGGACATGCTGGTTTGGATATTTCCAGCACTATAGTCGCCTGGTGATGAGGGGGTCGAGATGTTGGAGGGGATGGCGCAGGAGATGGTGCTCACCAAGGATTCGCAGTTGTTAGACAGGATGTATTGTTGGTTATAGTCGTGGTGGCTGTTGTAGTCCCCCGAGAACGGTGCTCTGTGAGTGCTAGGAATGGCATCGCTACCAGTGCTTAGGTTGCCATTGCAAACTGTTGTTGTTGTTGTTGAGAACTTGTCGGGAAATAAAAGTTGTCGTGCAGTTGGACCTGGTTCATGGCAAGATAACGAGGCAGTTGGCGCGCCCATAATCTCCTTGAGTCGAATCAGCTCTCTCTCTATAGCCGTATTACGGCGTAATAAATCTTGGATGGTCTGATCATGACTTTGGTTGCTCTTGAGCTCCGCTAGCTCGCGCTCTAGCCGCTCTATATGCTCTTTGGTGCGGATACGTATCGCCCTCTGGGCCTCTCGATCGTTGGCTCTCTTGCGGGCGAGCTGTTTAGGAGTAAGGGTAGAAACCTTTCTGGTTTCTAAACAACGCTATATTAGTATGATAATAATAGGTTGCCCTGCTTTCCTTCGCTTTATTTCTGTTCAATACAATATACCGGAGATCCATAGCATCAGACTAAAAAACAAATAAAGAGAATAGGCAACTTACTCTTTTGCTTGGGTTTCGCGGGCACTGTTGATAATGATTGAATCATGTTCATTGTGTATGAAGAGGCAGAAAGTCGACTAAAAGATGATGGCAGGCGGGGCCAGCGGTATTAAATATCCTATTTCTTCTTGTTCTGTCTTTGTGCGAGTGTATCTCTCTTCTCCCAAACTTGTAAAGCCACCTGCATGGCGATGGTAGACCAGTAGTATCCTCCATGTCCCAAGCCTCCAAGAAAATCTACGCAAGGGAGGGTGTGTGAATTCGACGTGCCTCAAATCCCGTCCTTAAGCCCTTAGGGAGACTTCCAAAGGCCTCGACTCCAAACATCTACACCATCATTTTAATATTGTGTTCGTGGACGATCTATCGCAATCTTAGACGACTGGGGTTAAGACTAGCTTTAGCGAGATCTGCACTCTAAAAAACCGACATCTCATTAAGCTTTTATGACAGTCGGGATGTCTCAAATCGAAAACCGAGAATGCACGCCAGACCCGCAGAAACGGTGACAGGCATGTCAAATTTTGTCTGGCTAACGTCTCATCTAACAAGTCGCGATGACTGTGCATAAGGAATGAGACATGTGGGCATCAATTTTCGTAATCTCGGCGTAACTCAGAAATAACCAATCAGATTACTCCTGTGACAGGCTCCCGGTACAAGGGATGGACCAAACCCATTCAAAAACAAGAACTTACAGGTTACAAGGGTCGGAAATGTATGAATATGGTTCCGTACTGTACAACTAAGGAGGGAAAAGTCCCCCTGGTTATCCTGATGTGATGCTAGGGTTTCATGCAACTCAGGGGCCCAATCTTTATACGTCGGGTTTCTCCACTAGCTCTCTTTAGATGTTGTACATGAATAACCGTGTTTGGACTAGAGCAATGCCGTCTGGACACGGAGAATCACGTCCTAACAAGCAATCAGTTCCATTTAACCTATATTGATGCTGCTCACTCCCTAGGCTAAGCCAGCCCCCAGGCCCTCCACATTTACCCCATACCTCCACCAACTGGCTGGTACGCTACACATGCAAATGACCTACGTTGTTCTTGCTTCTGGAAACGATTGGCATGCCTCCCCGTTTTTTTTTCCACCTCGTTCCCATACTCATACTGGTTCGTTCTTTAAAACACCGCGCACGATGCTCGGACCGGACTCTCACGACTGTTTTTTCATTTATCGCCGCTATACCACTCACTATCTGAGTTGAACGCGTAGGTGGTACATGAACGTTTCAGCTGTCGATTGCAGTAACTTAGGGTTACCTCTATGCAGAACCATTAACTAGGCAAATAACAAAGAAGATTTCTATACGGCTCTATTCTCCTATTTCTATTTGAATTTATTAAGTCCTAGATTAATTATGGCTAGGGGATAATGTGGACGTACAACGGTACGAAAATCCATTCTCGGCGATTGGATAAAGATTGCCATATTTCTGTCCCTCGGCCACGGAAGTTTCCGTGTGGCAACCACGCTAGCACCAGACGGGATTTTGCGCAAATTAGCTCAGAAATAATGTCTCCGGTGACAGGGCGCCCCCGAAGCTAGGGCTGCACCAGACGAAATGGGGATAAGGGAGGAGGGACTGTGTCTCAACGGCCCAGTGCTGGGGAGCTGTAGTAAGAAGCTCGCGATAATGAAGACGTCCGGAATCACCTAATCGTACCACAATAATGGCATGTATCTCAGAACTTGGCCAGACGCCGACTCCGCTGATTATTATTGAATGGAAAACACTAAAACGATTGTGGTTTTCTGATGAACCTACCTTTCTTGATAAACAGGACTTTACGGCGAGTGGGAAAGGCTGGAATAATGCCAACATCGCGTAAGATGGCTGAAAACAATATTCATTCCGGAGACAAAACTAGCAAGGAGATAAAGTACTGTTATTATTGACGGTTGTGGGTGCCATGCTGGTGATGGCATTATGTTTAAATGCTGTGCTACCGATGGTTGTCTTCTTGTTCTAGTTCCTCACTCCTCTCTTGTCCTATAACCGCTCGACGTTGCCGTCTTTGAGCCTGTGGAGAATGAGGATCGCCGATTACGGTACACTAGGCAAGATCACGTTCTTACAATGCTATAGTGAAGTTAGGAAGGTCAGAATAACTTTAAAAAGACATCAAGACAGGTTGAGCAACGTCAGGTTATGGTCAATCAATATGGCAAAGCCTTTAATGAATCCGATGACGGGCAAGCCAGCATACCAGCCGCCCACGCTACCGAAGAAATGGTATGCCTGTCTAAGAACATTTTCTTAACCCCGTTTTTATTAAAGCTGCTACATCTCGCGGAAGTAATGTTACCTCCGCGCGGAAGCTGGGTCAATCACTTCGCCTATTCCTCACTAATATCGGCGAGGGATTAGACTGTCAAAAACCATGATGAGTAGTCACGATCTTGTACTAGGTCTTCTAGAGTATTAATTAGAGGAGCTACGCCCAAAAGCGGAAGAAGGTTGCCTATGGTAACAATGAGAAGATTGCTAAAGTCCCAGATATTCTAAAGGCACGTGAGGAGATGTAGAGGCATCTTGATCCGCCCAACGCCTCGAAACGGGCAAAAAAAACCAGGATATGTGCTTTGAATGGCAACTAGAACCTCCAAATGGCGCCAAAATGCCTACGTATTGAGTGATTGTGACCATGTAATCGAGATATGCTTAAAGCGATCTCTCTAAATGATGTTCTTGAATTGGGTGGCCAGCAAATAGGGGCGGTTAACTAATGGGGGTTGGGGGCTGTACGTTGCGGCAAGAAGGGAAAGGTCAGATCTAACACTAACTAGATCCTCAATTAACAATCTTGTCTTGGACAATTAAACAGGTGAATCCGTTCCCCAACCGGATTATTGCCGTTAGCATTATTAATAGTTTCCGGATAGCGGCTTAAAAATCCCATTTTAGATGTCAAATTTCCGTTACTTAGGTGATTTATATAGAGTACATGTAAGCAAAAAAGTGTTAGAAAAACAAGATACAGCAGCCTTACGGCAAGATCATGCCAGACTAATAGGTCAAGCGTAGCTTGACGAAGTGTACCAGTGGCCTTAGCACTCTTTTCTTTATCTTAGGAGAGAAAATCCAAGGCAGTTACACTCTTTGCATTCTTTAAATATGGGGAACACCGTGAGGTATGTAGATTTATTCCAAAACAGTGGTTCAAAGCTAGTAACAGTATCAAACCGCACTATCTGGCTTGTGGGGATATCCGAGTCATGCTAGCTGAGGTAGACCCGGCCTCTTTGTTCCGGAAGGCAGTCTTCGACCTATTAAGTCATAGGACTTGTAACGACTGGGTAGTAAAATTTACAGCTTGACAAGGCTTCTGTCACTCCTTGGTAAGCACAGACATTGCACCGTTTCCAATCTGTTACCCCTTCCACATATTTATAATATACTCAGCTAAAGATCTGTCAGGGTTGCTCCTCCCAAAACTGTGGTACTGCGTGTAGTACTGTCAGACAGCAATAAGCCTTTAAGGGCCTGTATTCCTACTTGGCAGGATAGAAGTTTCCACTTCAATCGTAAGCACCAGTATCTTACAGGCTGACAAAGAGACATACCTAATGTATTTGACAGATAATACAAGCAGTCGCACTTTTCTTGACGCTGCTAGTAACTATTTTACGTGGATGGGTTCGACTCGGCCTAGAGCAGCGCGCTCTTACGACTCCTGATTATCTGGTATGGTGTGGATGGATGTTTATTTTGGGGTGGTTTATTTGCTTAATTAAAGCTTTGAATTTTGGAATAGATCGTCCTTTCAAATTGGCAACAGGTTACACTGATTCTGTCGAATATTTAAAGGTACGTGCTGTAGGAGTGGTTATTTATATTATTTCATAAAAAGACGCTCAAATGATAAACAATGTGGATAATGACTAACTTATATCAGACTGTCTTTATACGATGCCATTTCTTTGATATAGGACTTTATTGGCCCGAGGCTTTAATTATTGTCTTCTATTGGTGGCTAATTCCACGAAGCTTCCGGCGTTTAAGGCTAGCACTATATTTTACCACAGGATTTGAGGCCGCGGCTTTCCTTACATCAGTATTGACTGATACTTTGCACACACGCCCTATATCGAACAATTGGTGAGGAGCCTGTTTCTATGGAGACAGCATGTCTATATGCTAACAGTTTAATATCTCAAGGTCACTCAAGAACCAGTTAGAATCTATTTAGAACCCCGTTGCTGACTTTACTGTAAACTAGGCATTAAATGTCTCTACTGATATATTACGTATGTTAATTATGATTTAGTTGCTGCACGGCCCCGACTAACTGATTATCTGACTATTAGTCTTCTGCCTCCCCTTCTTTGTCCTCAACTCTTTGAAACTTCACCGGCGGCAAAGGATAGACCTGGCCGGTATCTTCTCCTTAGGACTGATAATTGTTGAACAGGTGCTGGGGTCTCACGTGCAAGCAGGGATACTTTAAGATTGCAACCGAAATGGTAAAACCTCTAAGGGGCAGAATTCAACAGAACACAACATGAATATACCAATCTGGATCAATGGACCGAATACACGTAATGTCTGACAATAATAATGCTAATCAGCACTGCCCGCTTTGTTGCATATATTGTAACAGATTATGAATTAGATAACCCTTCAGGCAGTACGTCTCTAATTACTTTTCACTATTCTATTTTTAACAGCAAAAGAATTATCCTAACGTTTATATACTAACCATCCCTACAGATGTATGGTGCACTATCGAAATGTGTACTACAGTGATTGTTGTCTCTCTTCCTGGCCTGAAAAGCCTTTTCGTACAATCGAGGTCCCCCGGAAAAACATCAGACCGCAGTACCAACAGTTACATTCACATGTCCTCACGTCAACTATCTAGCAATAGGCCCTTTGCATCACGGGCCCGTATTGATGAGGAAGCATTGGATGGAGTCATGGACGAGAGTTCCATTTCTAATTCTCTCGACCCTTATCTTACACTCAGTCCAGTTACATGCTTTGACAAACGAACTCTAGAAGAGAAGAGCAAGTAAGAGCGGCACATGATTCTAGGTAACCTTCCTGGTAGATTACGCTTAGGAATATCTTGAAGAATAGTATGGCAAGAGGAGCCAGATAGGGGCAATACTGGAGACTGCAGGAGGGAACATGATTTATCTGCTTCTTGTAATAATGCACAGCGTGCTAACTGGCGGTGGTGTCTAGAATAGTAAGCTTAGGCGTCCGCATTTCTTTGTGTAACAGTCTGCCTAGTATGACACTTGGCTGATATTACACTTTGACACTGAGGAGCTTTTACATAACAAAGCAAAGTTACGCAAGTAAGATCAATAGAATAACCTAGTTCGAAGCGCCATCTCCTGCTTAGCCTCCATCGCCTACCATTATTAGGGGCAGGAAAGTTAGAATAAAGTGCCTAATACATTATATTCTGTAAATTTAGGTCACTTCCTCCTATTCATTTAACAATAGGCTGTAATTGTAATGTGACAGAGCATTTTAAGGCATTTGTCGGTGTGTTGTTGCGTTAAATGGTAGTACGAGGGGCGTTAATAACTAGTTCACCGACCAGCTATGCCAGGATAATAGCACCACAAGGCGTCAGTAATAATCACGTTCGTCCCTTTTCACGGGGCTGAAAACACCTACAGCCCCTCCAGCCGCCATCTTCCTGTGAAGCCCCCCACTTCTCCAGCTTCTCCTAGCGACGTCAGCTGCGGCTGTCGTGGGTCGAGTAAACTCGAACATCCTATTGCTGAGCGACCTTTCTTTTGTTGGGCCCCTAACATCACCTTTCTAAGCCTCTGCATCTTGCATGCAAATATTTGTTGACTTCAATCTGCGCTTGCACTAGTGACGGCTCTTGGAACGGTGTATTTCTTTGATTGCGGACACGCTGTTGCGATCAGAGCCCTACTTGAGAGAATTGTCAACTACAGACATCTACAATTTCAATAATCACCAGACTACAACGGCAGAGTGACATCCCCTGCCGCACTCTCATGTCATAAAGCGTCAATCGGTCTATAAATAACGTTCAGGACTCGTTCAAACAGACAACAATTATTAAGCTGCCCTTGCAAACTTGCAACTTATCACCTTAGCTTGATAAAGGCAATACAAAATACGGCTTTCAAAGTGCATAACTAGTTTATCATTATTAAAAGTTCGTGTTTTAGGTAGTATTAGTTTAAAAACAGTTAGGTAATATTAGTTAAGAAAATGTATTCTGTTGCTATTTTATTTATACTTTCTGTTATAAGATATAAAATAATAAATAGATATATATTATATAAGAAAAGAAACTAGACTTAGCTATGGCTAATATTAGTAATACAGCAAGAGGTTTCCTTCTCTAAGGGCAAGTTAGTAATATACTATCTGCCTATAATTAAAGGATCTCTGCGAAGTCAGCCAATCTACTGGAGGACAACTTAATACTAACAAAGTATACAAGGCCGACATACCACGTTACAGCTAATAACAGCCAATAATTGTCTATTCATTCCTACCGTTCAAATTACTAGTCTATAATACTAGTTTCTCATAAATGTAACTGTACAGCATACAGCGCTGAGCATCTATTAGGTAATTAGCTGCCTGCTTTCAAGCCTCTCTATGCAAAGTAATATTTATCGGATTCTGCCTTACTCACAATCTTAAAGGGGCTATTATGGCTGCTGCCGGTTAGCCCAGCTGTTTTCATGCCTTTGACAGGGCTTGCATTAAAACCGTAAACAGCAATAGATAGAGGTTCTTTTCTCTTTCCTTAAGAGCTTTATAAATTCTCTAAACTAGTTAGTAATACAGAGAGTTTCAGGCCTGCTATCATTAAGGCAGAGCTCCGTAACGCCTCCACAAGGGTGCATATTAGCTTTAATATCTAGACGTTACCGAATCGCTTTGTACTTATGGCTGTATTTACACACACTATCACTTAAATAGGGCATCAGCAATCCCGTCTTCTCCCTTTAAGTCTCCAATCTAGTGGTTATAGTGGCGAGAACCTTGCATTGCCTTTCTTACTCGCCACGAAATTTCTTATATTCCTAATCAATATTATGTAGTTTTGATGTCTAGTGATCAGAACACACTGCCACTCCAGGGCTGCTACGATCCCGATGTCGCCTTCGTTGGTGTTTTAAGCTAGAAGCATCAATAGTATCGGTTTCTTCTCCCTGTTAATTGTTCATTATTACTTTGGTGTCCCGAATTGCAATATGACTATCATCCAATATATAAACACACAAAGATTACTGCGTGTTTAGGTATTTCAAGCTGTTATCACCTAACTCATAACTAATCACCCTTCTTGAATAGGACCTTTCCTTCCATCTCACCAGTAGGTCGGTTGACCCAGTCCACCTGCAGTCCAACCACCTTTCCATTACTCCGGAACTTGAACTCCCCAGCTACAAACGCTACTATATACCCTGGATTCTCCAAAAAAAGGCAGGTAGATAATCCAATAGTCACCGGAAACGTGATGCAGCCTCATCTGGTACTTCCATGTCATGTCGTGGCGGTCTGCGACAAGAATTTTCTCATCTGATCTATCAGGGTGAGGTTCTTCCCGTAACGTAATTCGTCCATACCCTGGGTCGTAGTATATGCCCTGCAACTCCGTGATGTTCACAGTAGGGGGCAACGGCGGCTTAGGAAGCTTAGGGTAGAGAATATCAACAGACTCATCTGCAGTAAGGTCTAATTCCTTCATCATCTTTTGATATCTATCTTAGTTAGTAAATATTTCGTAGGACAATAGAAGGCGTGTCGAACTTAGACTCGACATCAGAACGCTCGTTCTCTGGGATTTTAAGTCGGTCCTGAATCAACTTCCATGCCAGGATATCCTCCACGACATTTGAAGTAAGGGCCGTGTTCGCGAACGCAACGACGCCATACCTGATGTTAGGTAACCAATAGACCTGGGCTCCATAGGCATGCACCCCTCCGCTGTGAGTATATATATCATTCCCCTTAAAGAGGCTGCGGTGCCAGCCGAGTCCATATGTGATCATGTCGCTGGAGCCATCCAGCTGCGTGGGTTCAATCATTCTTGGAGACTTTATATCCCTGTGTACCTCTTTGGAGAATGGAGCTGCCTCGTGAAGTAGGCATTTTAACCACTCAGCATAGTCGAGGACATTGGAGAAAACTGCCCCGGCGCCGCTGAGCTGGGTAATGTTCATGGCAGGAACCTCACCGTATTTTCCTTCCTTTTTGTCCCAGTAGTAACCCGAAGCAAGTTGATTAGGGGCATGATTTGCGTCCTGGAAGTCGAAAAAGGTCGAGTTCATATCTAGCGGCGCCCAGATCAGCTCTTTCATCACGTCTCCAAGCCATTTGCCTGTGATGGTCTCAATGACATGTGAGATTGTGGTATACATCAAATTCGTATAAGAGTACCATCCACAACCCCTCTTTCGGCATAACCCCTCTTTCGGCAAGCAAAATAAAAAAGCCACCACCAAAAATCAACAACTTCACTTACACAGAACTTGACCGAATTGATAGAAATCCGTGAAATTTTTCGTTTCATAAATCATAAATAGGGTTTATCTATTGTACTCTGGTTTTTTTCGCCACCCGCCGCGACCGCCTGGGTGGTTGGTGGGGTATGTTTTCCTCTCTGACTTCGATGACAGAACCAGCCTCCGATTCTGACTCTTGCTCGCTTGAAGAGACAAATTCCACCCCAACAGGCATATAACGAGTCGCCCCTTCTGGTATGCACTCTTTACTAGCTAGAGTCTCTCCAAGAGTCATAAAACGTTTGTTAGGATTCGGCACCGCCTTCCTCTTCTTCCCTCTTTTCAGCCGAGCCAATTCTTCTTCTAGGCTGGCAATCCTCTGCGTATGCGCCGCTACTGTCTGCTGTTGAGCTTCAAAGCCCTTGGCTATCACGTTATACCGTCTCCGCGTCTTTGGTGTTTTGTTCAACCCAAGGTCACGAATTTGACGGCTCGTCTGTGGCGTATCGTCCGAGCCAAGATACGGCCTGGGTTCAGGAGTCACTCTTGGGCTGCCGTTTGGCCCATCTTGTTGGATTTCAGGGTGCCGTAACGCTTTCGCACGTGAAATTGGCCAGTTCCCAGTGACCCTCCAGCCAGACAGTATGTTCTTCTTGGTCATTCCAACTCGGCGAGCCTTGGCGTAGGCCCTGATGAAATTGACCTTGTCCATTGGAGCGGAATCAGTCAACGAAGCGAACTTTTCCAACTCTCGTCGATATGCAGCCTTCGACGCATTAAATACTCCATTGTCCAGTGGCTGGAGTCCATGAGAGCAGTGTGCTGGTAGATAGCAGCAATAAACGTTGTTCAAAAAGCACGTGGCCATCCATTCATCCTTCCATCACTCAGCACTGATCTTGAGGTGGGGAAAATAGTGAACATATTGTTGCATGGCTTCCATGACCATCTAAAATGATCAGTCTCGCATCAGAGTCGTCGGCAGGCGTAGTCTGGGGCAGATAAACTCTTTCAAGCCATTCAATGCCTATGTGGTCATCAGTCCACCCGTTGGGCGATGTTATATAATACCAGTCTGCTATCTGCTTGAACTCATCAAGAAACCACTGTTTCTGGAGTTGTTTCCCCTTGAATATTATGCCAGGAACTAAAGCGCGGCCGTCAGCAGTGACGGCTTCGATGAATGAAGTCCAATTCCGAGTCTGTGGTCCCTTGAGGAAGGCCTTGCGCTTCGGGTCCGCGCTTCCAACAACTAAGCTATCTAGGCCTGAATGAAGATAATTAGTCGGTCAAAATGCAAGCACCGACAAGTAATAGAGGTGAATACTTGCCGAAACCAGTCATAATACCGCCTTCATCAACGTTGACGGTGTTTTCAGGCTTGATCCAACCATATTGGCCCTCCCTGATATCAAAGTACCAATGAACCGCTCTAGGTGTGAAAGAGTCGAACCTCTTGGCTTCTTGACGTCTGCCCATCTTGGTCTTTAGGTCTGCACGGCGATTGATAAACTTGTTCACCCAGTTGCGTCCTAAGTCGGGATGTTCGCCCTGCTGTCTCAGCAGGCCCATGACGCAAGCGCGGATCTGACTGTGGGACGGAGCATAGCCCAAAGACTGCTGACGGAGTATCCAGAAAGCGAGCCTATCCTCTTGGCTCTTGGACAAGCGTCGATAAGGGTGGACCTGCTCTTTCACGGCCCCGCGGCCGTTAAGTCTGTCGATTAGAGTGCTCCGAGGCACTCCCCGTCTCTGAGCGGCTTGAGGAGGTGAAAAACCATTATCAGTAACATCCAATATTGCCTCTGCCATGTCTTCCTCTGTGTATTTCCATCGAAGTCTTGACCTAGGCATTTTCATATGTTGTCGCAGATAAAGGCCAAAAAACACAGAAAAGAGCGGTGAAGAACTTGATGATCGAATTAACACTATTTCTATAGCACGGTATGCATACATCGCGTACCCCGCACAGCCTTAGAGGGCTACAATCGTTAACTCCAATCATTTCTATAATCAGCAAAGGCATTGTCCTCCAAGTAGCTATTTATTTTGGCCAATATTTGTGTAAGTGAAGTTGATGAGTTTTGGTGAAGCTTTTTTTATTTTGCTTGCCGAAAGAGGGGTTATGCCGAAAGAGGGGTTGTGGATGGTACTTGACCCGTGGTTCGGTGGTTAAAGGTAGATTCCTTAAGTTGCGGACAATATCTTTAGGTCTGGCTTCCTTTCCTTTCAAAAGCCCCGCGTAGGCTTTATCGTGAGCTGCCATCCCCATGCGATGGCTTATAGCATCGTCCAGTGTGATATGCTCCGTTGCCCACGAGTCCTGAAGCACGAAATCGTCATGAATGATAGAGGAGATTGTCGTCGACCAACCGTTGGCGAGAGCCGGGTACTTTCCAGAGTCGATCAGGTGTGCTAGGGTAGCGGCAGTCTGTGCCTTTGTAGTCGAAGCGGCGTACCAAAGCGTTTCCGGTGTGGCTGGCTTATCAGGCAATGCCGCAAAGCCGTATCCCTATATCGCATTAGTACCATTCTTACTCACGCAATCAAGCCGATGATGCAGAGCGTAGGGGAGTCAAGTGCATACCTTAGCGAAGACCTCGTTGCCATCGATCACAGCAATGGATAAGCCTGGGACTTTCCAACTATCCAATGTCTCTGTCGCAAAATTGTCGAACTCCTTGGTAAGCGGATTGCGAACGTTCGCCTGGGCAGTTACACCCATGAAGGTGAAGGAACCTATCGTGAGGCTTGCGATGAGATTCCGAAGTTGTAGCATGATGTATATTTATACACCACTAATTTCACTTATATGTTGATCGGATAAGTCGATTGTCTGGAGGCTAAAGTGAAGGATAACCGTGTTTGACTCCATGCCAGCATGATGGCTTGCGCCGCATATTTATAGGTAAGATAGAACTAGGTATAATACGCCTGAAATGGTTCTTGTTTGTGTGCAACCGTAATAATGGTTTATGTTCATGATTCGCAAGTATCGTGGCTGAGAGAGCCAGGATTATGGCATATTAAACTAGAACACGTTGTTGATATTAATACATGTGACTAATGAATTCCAGGATTAGTTTGCAAGTTATTTCGATAATTAGAGAAGAGATCCGGGGTAATCTCAAGGGCCACATAGGTTTTTCGGCTTTGCCATGTTCCTATAGAAGAAACGAAGAACCTCACTATAACAATTTACTTCACCGAGTGTGCTATTGGCATGTGTTAGGGGCCGCGCGTTCACAAAGCCGCAATTTAAACTAAGCCTTGAAGGACGCGATATGGGTACCTACAAGACTGTGGAAATGGAACGATGAGAGCGTGTTCTAAGCAGGTCTAGAAGGATCCGTCAACTTATCCCCAAAGAAGCAAGAAGCTCAGGAGAGCCTCATGGAGAATTCCCAGCTGAGAAAATATCCACAATAGAGCCGCCTATTACGCCTAAACCTTGCTTTCATTTTGGCCGCGAGCCACTTGTTTACAACAAGAGCCGTGCTTCAGGGAACTCAAGACTTTACTTTTTACATTGCTGCAATAGGGATGGGGCACGGACTCGTAAATGCGGCCATACTTATAAGACCACATGCACTAATCAGCTTGACGAAGGGGTCGGTTGCCTGTTGACTGGGCGGCTAAGAATGTCCATGAAGTAACCGTTAAGGTCGTACACTAGAAGGGCACATGGCGGCTCGAAGAATAAGCATAAAGATGCTATCAGGAGGCTGCTTCCATGGAACGGCGCTAGACCCACAGACATGAATCCCCCCTCGCGCAAATACGTAATCTAGCATGGTTGAGACCCGCCATTCAAATACGGTGTAATTCACCTATTACAACGAACCCCCCAGGTTGGCACGTCCCAGCTCTTTCCCAGAGCCTGGACCTTCTTGCGACTACAATCATGCGAACCAATTGTCAGCATAGCGTAGATGTGGATCGAGAGCACACTCCCGAGCAAGTTCCAGCGTTTGTTTCGCACGGAGCGCCTCCTGTCGTTGCCTCTGTCGCTCTGCCTTTTCCTGTGCGGTTAATGCTCGACGACCCATCTTAAGTGAGTATTGTTATATATGAATTGGCATGCATCACTACCTTCACGAACTTTCATTCTACTATTTCCTCCTGCATTAGTTTATTGTTGATCTAGTTCATATCATCCCCCCTTTTGCCCTTAATAGGCTACTAATTATCATTGGCTGTTACTTATATTAGTGTGACTTTCCGAAATGAATGTAAACACTATTTATAAGAAGGAAAGCGTTTTCATTTAAGAGCCCTGGCATTCTCTGGTCTTTAACTGGATAGGGAAGTAAGGAAGTCACGGTGATAGTGATAGAGCTAGCCAGGTTACTCAACAATTGAGACAAGTGATTGGTTCATGGTCAAGGTTTTGGTGATTGTGGCGGTGATAGTAGCAAGGGGGTGCGTCATGTTAAGCAACACAAAGTAATAAGATTCAGGTCAGCAAGCCATTTGTCTTGCGGTGACAATGATGATGATGATGACTAAGGTCCAGAGATTATGTTATGTTATGTTATGTTATGTATATTTTTCGTCCGGGGGGCCGTAGGCCCCGAAAGTCTCCTAATGGAGCACAGGACGTGCTGAGCTAGAGAAATTGGGACCTATCTACACACTAATTACAGAATACTATGACTTCCTCTCGAATTCCAATTCTGCAGACGCGTCGATAGACCTCACACTATCCAGCATATCAACGGCACAAATGGCGCATCTTATCTAGCCTGTTACCCGTCAGCGGGATGATCAGGCGCGGCTGATGAACGACAGCCGCAAGGTAAGCCCGTTGTTAGGCGATCGTGAGCCTCTGGGCGCGGTAGCCTCAGGGCTGCCTTCAAGTGGTCACGATCAGATAGAGGGCGTGCTAGCGCCCTTCATCTGGCCGAGAACAGGTAAGAGAGAAAGGTAAGAAAAAGGAAATGTATAAGGGTAAAAGAGGGGAGGAAGGATGCGAGTGCGTCCCGGGTCGTGCTCGTCTAATAACGAGGACAGATCTTTCCAAAGAAAACGCTGGCTTTAGACAGTTCGGTGAACTTGGTGAAGTCTCTTCCTGTTGCCAGGTTGACTGCTGCATTCGGTGAGGGTGCCAACCTCATCCGATGACGCGGCGGTACCTTTCTGCAGTAGAAGATGTGGTCCGGTGCTTTGCGTCGGTTGCATGAGCAGACCAGGCGTGCATCACTATGGTCGAATCTCTCGTGATATGCGGCGAAGTCCCCATGAAGCGACCTTGCTGCCAGCAGATGGTGCAAGGCTGCACGCGGGAGCGACAGCTCCGGCGGACAGCCTGTAGTCGCCTTGAGATTGAGTCTTTTGTACTGCTCAGGAGCGGAGGTGGACCACCACGCCTGGAACGCTTCTTTCGGCTTCTGTCTTGCGATTCTTCGTAGGTAAGCCAGCGTCGGTTGAGCGCCTTCGGGCTCGGGGAGCGATGACGCTGCCTTTGCCAGCTTGTCGGCCTGTTCGTTGCCAGGGATGTTGGAGTGCCCTGGCACCCAGCGAACTTGGATGGCTCCATGCGATGTCGTCAGAGCTTGGAACTCGAGAAAGACGTTTTGAGAGGATTCAGAAGGAGTGCCTCGTAGACACGTGGCGGCTGCCAGGTTATCTAGGCAGATGAATATATTCTGTGTTGCTAATTCTCGCAGGTTTAGAGCAGCCTTCAGGCCCTCTAAAGCCCCGGTAGCTTCAGCATCGAAAACCTCAGCAGGTCCGAGGCGACCTGATCCGTCAAAGATGGGGATATTGTTCTGATGGATGGTGAAGCCATAGCTGGCAGCCCCTTCTGAGGAAAGAGAGCCATCCGAGTATACGACCAAGGTGAGCGGGTCGAGAGACTCGACCCAGCGGGAAAAGGCGTCAGCCGATTTCTCTTTAGACGCTGTCTGCAGTGGGGGCAACTGTTCTTGATGGAAGCATCGATAGACGAGTTTCGGCCGCGTGCAGGGTGCAAAGAGTTCGTTTGCACGTCGAAGGCGCGTCCTGAAGCTGCTCTCTGCCTGTATTTGATATCTTCGTTTGATGAGGTCGTGGTAAGTAGGCTGTCGGGGCGGGCGCGTTCGGATCGCCAGAGGATGAGCCTCATCCAGCGATTTGAGTCGTGCGGAGAACCTAAGTCGCCTCGCGTCAAGCAATTGATCGACTGGTGGTATCCCGCTTTCTCTGTGGAGGACGGTGATGGGTGTCGTCTTCCAGACGGGAAGAATGGCCTTCATAGCCTGTTTCATGGCTTTTGTCATTATTTGCACGAGATGCTGGTTACTCGATGGTAGATCTTTCGTAGGATGGGTCCACCGCGGCCTGGTCTTGCCCGGGTACCACGCCTCTGAGCCGTGGAGCAGCACTGGCTCGACACATGCTCTGACGGCGCCTCGCACGGCGCTCGGTAGAGGGCCGTGTACCGTGTTGGTGAGCCCCCGCAAATGATAAGCCACTGCCTTTGCTTTGGCCGCCCACTTTTCGACATGAAGTCGAAAAGATAGTCTGCTATCCAACCAGATACCAAGCCAGCGTAGAGCTGGTTCAGGGTATTTCTCGACATCGCCGTGGCGCACTGCCGGCGCAGTCCTGAGTTTGCTGCGGGAGAAATGCATGACTTCGGTCTTCTTCGTGTCGAAGGACACGCCATTCTCCGCGCCCCATCGCACCATCTCGGCGATGGAACTAGATGCCATGGCAGAAGTCTCGTCTACTGTGTCGCCTATGGACAGGATGGCCGTGTCGTCTGCATAGCCGAAGCGACCCTGAGGGTTCCCTAATCGATAGATTGGCTCAGTGTAGAGCAGAAAGAGGATTGGCGATACCGGCGACCCCTGAGGGAGGCCGCACTGAAGGGGAGAAGAGGGCGTGACTGTGTCTTGGTACCTGACACGCGCCGACCGGCCGCCCATGAAGGAGCCGGCCCAGCGAGCCAGATGATTAGGCCAGCCTTGCTCACGAAGACGCAGGACGAGCCTGTTGCGCATGACGGTGTCGAAAGCACCTTGGACGTCCATTGTGACTAGAGTCGCCACCTTCTTGCGTGCAAACGCTTCTTCAATATCATGGACCAGAGCAGTTACCAAGTCTGTTGCCGACCTCTTGGGGAGCGCCCCAGCTTGCTGCGGATGAAGGACGCTGTAGTGAACGGCTGCCCAGGCTAGGCGGCGCGCGATCAGTCGTTCTAGTCCCTTACCAAGACAGGAGAGCAGTGAGATGGGTCGCCATGCTCGTGGTTCGGTAAGGTCTCTCCGTCCCGGTTTCGCGATCATGACCACCTCCGCCTCCTTGAATGGTTTTGGATGATGGCCTATGGTAAGGCATCTTTCGAAGAGACGCCGGACGTGTGTACCGATGGTATGCCATACTGCTTCAAGAAGTTTGACTGTGATGTTGTCTGACCCTGGGGATGTATTGCCTGTGTGACAAGTCGCATATTGCGCCTCCTCCAGAGAGATTTCGGGAGAGAATGGGATCGATCTAGGTGGGAATACTGGCGTCCATGCGTTTGCGATGTCGTCCTCCGCAGTTCTTCGTTCAAGCGTGGCCTGTCGGAGTGCGTTGGCTTTATCCATCTGGCTTTCGTACACGACGTTATCGACCTGTAGAGGTGGCGGCTGGAAGGCTCCTGGGGACTTTAGCCACCGGACAGCTTTGAAAACGTCGCTACTGCTGGAGAAGCCATCGATGAGGTTACGCCAATAGCGCCTCTTGGCCCGACGGACCACACGATGAAAGCCTCTTTTGGCGATCTGAACGTCCTGGTTGAAGCCGAGTGGGTAGCTTCTTCTGATGGCTCGAAAAGCAGCCGCGGCGTCGGCGCACTCCTCCGTCCACCAGGGAGCCGGGCGTCCGCCTTTCCGCGCGGGCCTCCCAGACGCTTTTGCTGCTGATGTTAGTAGACTCACGAGTGAAGACGCAAGCTCGTCCAGCTCCTCGGGGGTCGAATCTGTGAGGGGGATTCCTGTAGCGCCAAGCTCTACGATCTCGACGAATCGTTTAAGCTCGTCTTCCGTCGTCACTCGAATCTTGCCTGGCTGCACCGGAGTCGATCTGACGTCTGGGAAGGTCAGGCTGAGCGTGAAGTGGTCAGAGCTGGTGGCGAGATGGTCCTCGACGATAGCTTCAGCAAGTGGTAGGTTAGTAAAGGCAAGATCGATTGTGTTGCCGTACGGGTTTGTTGGGATATCTAAAGTGTTGAGAAGGCTGAGGTCATTCTCAGACACCCATCCTGCTATCTCTTGCCCCCGGTTCGTAGTTTGGCCTGTTTGCCAGCTACGATGTCTGGCATTGAAATCGCCAGCTACGAGGCAACGTTCCGGGACAGACCATTGAAATAGCGTGTCTAGGGCGTCCCTCTCGTCGTTCTGACGATAGAAGTTGACTATGGTCATGCCGTTGATCGCGAGCCAGAGAATGTCTCGGGTCTGGAAGGGCCGAATTTGGTCGGCAAGGAGTCTGGGGTCTCGCCGGACATATGTCATCACTCTAGGCCGAGTATCGTTGCTATTCCACATGTCGACCGGCGTGAATGTGTCGTATGCAGGGTGAGTCTTGGTTAGACAGCGGGTCTCTGTGTGAGCCGTCCACGGCTCTTGCAAGAGCACAATGTCATATCGTTCCGAGTCGGCCAGCGCCAGGGCGCAGTCGTGGGCCGGAGGGATCTTGCCGACGTTGGCCTGGAAGATCTTGAGCGGCTTCCTGTCGTTCTTTCGTGTTTGAGAATATCTATTCCCGGTCATGAGGACGAGTGATGAGTACGATTCGGCGCTTTCGCGGTGAGCCTGGTCTGGGCTGTTCGGGTTCTTCCTCTGCTTCATAGCCAGCATGAGGGGTCGTGGCCACCATGATGCACGAGGGTGCTCCTGATACAGCTGGGCTGGGAGCACGATGGTTAGGCTGTTCTTGTGATGTGACATCCACGCTTCGTCGCTCAGCCATGCCCTGCTGCGTTTCCTGATGCGATTCCAGATGCCGTTCTCGATGTCGTTGTCGGTATGTCTCCGCACCTACGGTCCGGACATGCTTTCGTTGCTCTTTAGTGAGTCGGCGGAGCACGCCGTGCACTGTCTTTGGCCGAGCTGGGCACCTACGGAAGTTGGCCTGGTGGGGGCCTAAGCAGTTGATGCACTGTTCTCGTGCGATGCAATCGTCTACAAGATGGCCAGTCTCACCACAGCGTCGGCAAACTGGCTGTCTGTGACAGTTGCGGGCAAAGTGGTAGCCCCAGCACGTCTCACACTGTCTGGGTCGGTCGGTTTTGTCAACAAGCCTGGCTGCGCTGCTGCCGAAAAGAGACCAGAATCTCTTTGTGGGCTTCAGAAAGGACACGAGCAGGGCCTTGGTCAAGGGGTTATCCGAGAATTGTCTTCCGGTACGTACATCAATGGGCTTGATCCCAGTCTGGACTTCTATCTCGTCGCTAACGACGCTGTCACTATCCACCTCATTACCGTAAAAGTCAGTCAGCCTTGCGGGAACGTCTGAGACCACATAGGTGAACCATTCCTTGTTCGTTTCTACTGCTGTAGCTCCCAGTTCAGCGGCCCACTCAGCTTGTTTATCTACCAGAAAGTCGCGTGTGACAGAGTCGGCGGCCAGGACGGCCCATCCCGATCTGACCGGGAACACCTGTCGAATTTTGTCCGAGACGGCGCCGAGTTTTTCCCGGATCAGAGTCCGGATGGCATAGCTACTGTGGGCCCTGGCCGGAGCTCCGGCTTCTAGACGGATGAAGACACGGAGGTCTTGTCGGGGTGGGGCGATAGTCGTCTGTTGCCCTTGGCGATGAGGTGGATCTGTTTGTCGGCGTCCATGTTGTTGTTGTTGTCTGTGGGTCAGACGGTCATGGTCAGTGGGAGGCGCGGCAGCAGCGACGCTGCTGTATGTAGGCTTTGGGGTCGCAGGTCCGGAGCAGGAGAGCTCTCGTTTCCAAAAGCCGAGGAAATCATCGGCAAATTGCTGAGCGAAACGTCGTTGCGGTCCGGTGACGAATTGCTGGGCCGCTTCTTCAAATTTGGCACAAAAGGCCTGGAAAACCCCCAGCTTGATGTTGTACTCTTCCACGTATTCTCGCGCGAGATCGTTGGCTGATTCAACGATAGAGATCGGTCGTTGTTCAAAAATGGATGCGGGACTGGCACGCTCAGCTCCTTCCGTAACTGCGGCGATGGTGGCGGGGTTGAGTGGTGAGGATGGTGTCTGAGCCATCCGCCTGGGACCGGGTGAAACACCAATGGTGCCGTTGACGGCTGCCGGACTGTTCTGCAAGAGGGCTGCACGGGCTCCCCGGTTCAGGTTGACGGGAGTGTGGATCCCCAGATCGAAGGGATCCAAGGCAGCGGGCGGGATCGTCGTAGACGAGGCCATCGCCGCGGTTTGCGACTGCGCAAAGCGCAGATTGGAATGTTTGTTGTGCACTTGTTAAGGATTTAGGTGTAGACAGGGCCACTTTCTTAACACTTGTATGCCAAGAAAGTGTGATGACAAAGGAAGGTGAAGGTCCAGAGAGATACAGAACAACTGATTACCTTAGGGTAGGTTAAAATAAGGAAATGTTTCAATAAACACAAATGACATGATTTGCTTTAGGCCAGCTTCTTTTTTCTTTTACCTTCATGATCAAGTAGTACAGTAAGGTCATTCTTCATGCTATACCTGTATTCTTCTCATGTTAGTAAAAGGATCCTAATATGTAATTGTCTTTACTTGGTTGCGATGTAGTTGAGCAAGCTTACTGTTAATCTTGACAATGTCGTCTACTAAAGGATATGCAGGGTATAGCAAGCCATAGCATTTTCTTATTCGTTCATGAGGACATGACAGGGTTCTTTCCATTTTCAAATGTATCGTATTGGCTACCTCTTGGGCTCGACAAGGTTCTTTTCGTTTTATAATTCCTCTCATTCGCCCGTTTCTAAAGCCACTTATCAGGGAATAAGACTACCAGACGTCAAATCGACCTCGAATTCTATCTTCAATTGACTGTAGCCTCTTCTCTAAATGAATAAATCCTCTAGTGTCTTATGAACAGATCCATTGCATTGAAAGCTATCGATTGATATACTTTTTGTTTTGTGCATCGACGTGGTTGATTTACTGGAAATTTTCAACGTGTTGTTGCATCCGCCCGCCATTTTCGCTAACACTTACACGACGCCGCCCCAACCCGCACCCTCCACGCATTACTGATTTGTAACAGGCTATGCTATTTTCCGAAAGGGGGAAGAGTATGGCCTTGTATCTTGTAGTTATCGGGATTTTCGTTGAAGCAGCTTAACGATGGCCTCATGCCCAATACCGGCAGACCACGAGCAGCAGCTTGACGATAGCCTCGTGCCCATTCTCGGCGGCCCACGATAGCGGCGTCCGACCATCTTTGTCCTTGGACTCGACGTCGGCGCCCTTCTCGAGAAGTAGCTTGACAATGGCACGATGGCCATAGTACGATCCTAGCATGAGATCCGTAAAATATTTGGTAGTCCTCATCATTGTAGTCTCCCAATAAATTTTAAACCATACCGTGTAGCTGTTTGAATCCGGATCACAAATTCTCAGAGCAAAGGGTATAATGGTGGCGTCATCGATGATACCAGCCCCGCGGAAGTGACCGCCCCAATTTTGGGCTGAGTAATCTAAGAAGGCACGTCTATCGGAAGAGTAGCTGCCTTCCCCATTCGCATCTGTCAGTAGACTAACGTCGGAGTTAAAGAAGTTCAGATAGAGCACGCAGGCTTCCGCAAGAACCGCGTGTGCGTGGCGTGTAGTGATGGAGTGATTCCAGCGTAGCCCTGACGGGACAGTAGTAGGAGATGCCAAATCTGCGAGGAGAAACTCGCGAGCAGTTTGATGAAGGAAATAAATCTTGCCATAATGGATTGAGACGAACAATCCACACCAAGATCTGAGACGTGACTTAAAGTCCTCCTCGTCCTCGAGGCCGAGGTCGTGAATAGACTGTGATGTGGCGTCTATATTCACGGCAACCTTCATTTCCGAGAGTGTTAGTGGCCGACTCGCGGCCAAGATAATACTCAAGACTTTCCGAACCATCGGGCGTTCTTCTGACTTGGACTTGTTAAGAATTTGGTCGTATGCCTGATTGACACTCGCAGGAAGCGTTGCAATGGCGGACTGGACCCCCATTGGTGTCTTTATAAAGTCATCTTCCTCCAAGTAGTCGAACACGAGGTATGCCCAGAGATAGGTGCGGTGGGAAATTTTCCGTAGTCTTTTTTCCAGATGGCTCTTGATATTGGGTGAGAGGGGCAGCTGATTGACCCGGTGCGTAATGGCGCGATTCACCTCCTGACTGATGGTTTTCGACTCTTCCTCTCCTGGTATGCGGATATTTGGAAAATCGCCTAACAGGTGGCGGAACTTGGATACGATCTGCTTATACGGGCGGCATGTTAGAAGATACTTCGACTTGCCATGGCCCAACGGGTCGCCGCGGAATTGGCTCTCTATATTCCGCATCAGGTCCGTAAACTCTGATTCGGCACATTCATCCAGGGCATCAAGGACCATGATTACAGGTCCTGCTTGGGGATCTTTTATAGCGTTGCGTAGAACCTTCCAGAGCGATTCTGTAGAGTTGATCAAACCTTGCCCATCCTTACGGAATTGTGGCATGGCATGTTCGATCAGAGACGGCTTCAGAGAGAAGAGCTGGTGAAGCAGTGCACAAAGCGCTTGCCGGACGGTGTTCTGGTCTTGGTCTTTGAAGAAGAAGTAGCAGATAGTTGTCGATCGTGGCAGGCCGTGGTCGATCAGGTACTTTGCCAACACCGACTTTCCACAGCCAGGATCCGCCGTGACTAGCAGGGGGCCAGAGCCCTGTTTCAACCACATCTGGAAGTGCTTGTGCTTGAGGAACCACATGCATGTGCCTTCAACCCTTTCTTCCAATCGGTCTTTATACCACTCGTATGTGACGTCCCTGCTGCTGGTTGTGAGGCGGAACAGCTGGTGACACTTTTGTTTTTCTTCAGACAGCCTTTCCTTGGCTAGATCTTTCTGGGCTTGGAGCTGCTCCTTAGCAATATCACGGTGCTCCTTTGAAACATCCCGGTGCTCTTCTGCAACTTCTTGGAGACCTGTACATAGGGTTAACATGTATTAAAAGTATGATTCTAAGCCTTGGAATTACCGGACAGAATATCGCCGATCTTCTTCTCAGCTTCAACCTTATTTGGAGCTATTCGACAGAGAAGATCTTTCGCATATGCAGCAGCCGCCATTGCTGCATAGCCCTGCCACTCCTTGTTCTTGTGGGAGTCCGAGTAGTCGCATATACCACGAATGGCCAAACAGGGAAAGCGGTTCATCAGCCCGGCAGCTTCCATCTCAAAACACAGAACGTCATTCTCAGCTGCCAGCTTGTACCGAACCAAAACGTCCTTCATTAACTGGTTTGCTGAAGCAATTAGACCGTAGTGAATTGCCGGGTTGTCTTCGTCGTCGGTCCGTGCGGGTCTCAATATCAGGTTTGACGGACTATCACCACAGACTGTGGCACAGGCTGAGTCGTGGGTGATTTCAGCGTTGAACAGCCTGTCGCTGCTTGGCTCTGGTCGCCTGTACTTCTTCCGCAGTCTTGGATTCTTCTCGAGAATGCTGTTGATAGCGTCTTCAAGCTGATGCCCTTTCGTCTCGTACTGAGTCTTGAGCATACTCACTGCGGTCCGTAGGACGGTTGGAGGCTGATTCAAGAATCTCGTATGTTGGAACTTTTGACCCTGTATGGTCTTGCCAAAGTCGTACTGGAACACCCCACCATCCCCAGCGCGAGGAGAGCTAACTACGACATCACCCAAACGAATATCACGCGGAGTTGGTACACCGCCGCCGATCCCGACCATCAGACCGATTCTGAGGTTGGGGAAGCTGTTCAGCATGTTTGTTGCGACGCTTGCTGCGGAATCTGTTCCGTACTCCCCGTCGGGCAAGACGGCGATGACGACATTATGTTTCCCAATCTCGCCAAGGGTATAGGTATTGTTGTCGTTCGTGGACACATATGCCGGCCGTTCGTGCTCTTTATCAAGGAAGACTGTTGCGGCAACGTGTTCCGTGCTTATGGCGCAAATCCAGCCGATAGTGTAGTTGCGAGGATTAGACATGTTCGCTGGCACGATGATCCAGACGCAAGGTGAGCTACGAGGACGATTAGTGTTCGGCCGCCGAGGTTGCTCAGGAAGATCACTGGTCTCAACCAAGACAAATTTGATCCGGGTGCAGACGGCTCTAATCGCCAGCGTGACGACCAACCCAAGAGCGCAATTTATCCCTCCAATCGCGGGTTTCAGTGGGATTGTAGTGTCCCTGCATCAATTGGCTTACATCTGTTCGGTCGCAGAGGTTTCCAGGAAGATCGCTCGTCTCAACTTGGTCAAGGAGCAGGAGGGTTGGATCTGGCGGCAGACAATTGTTCGAATTTGCAGACGGCTACAATCGCCAGCGCCAGGACCAAGGGGATAGCCCAACTGATGTCTCCAATCGCGGGTTTCAGTGGAATTTCAGGATCCAGGGCAAGGTTAAATAATGGAGAGTAAACTCCGAGAGGCACAAAGATTATGAAAAAGACACGAGAATATGGCCATTGCTCTCATACGACAAAGCTGTTGGGCAGACGGAAAGTCGGGCAGGAATGCGTGATCAGATCTGGCGAAGCTACCCCGCCTCGACTGCCAGCGCGTACTTGCAGTTGAAAGAGCACCTCTCGCCCAATAGATATCGTCCCATGCGCCACGTCACAGCAGAATCACACGCGCTTCAAACAGTCATGCTTGATTGCTGGCTCGTAGGCCAAGGGTCTTCGCCACCGCGTATCGCGCCAAATGTGATCTGGTTGAACACCAGGTCGAGTGGTTGCGCCGTGTCATTTTTCTGAACGTATCGAGTCCAATCCATCGCAGACAGCTCTGGTCGCGTCAATTCAGGGACCCGCTTCTCGGCAGCCTGGAGGCTGGCAATTCTCAAGACGGAGGCGAAACCGGAATGCCGCCATGTCGGGTATTCGCCGCCCGTGCTCTCTGTCGCTGACCCGTCCAAGCTAACATTTATGCGAACAGAGTCCCCCATCCTCTGGGTCCTTGAGCGTGAGAACGAGCACGGCGCCGACGCGTCGCGACACGACCACGACCAGCTCCTGTCGCTCTTGCCCGCGTCGTGCCGCACAGAGTCCGGTGACTTGGCTGCTGCTGGTCGTCAAGTCACGCCCTGCGTCGAGAAGGAGCTCGACCTGCAGCGGCTGGTCAGCATTCACAGCTGGCTCTGGGTCACGGGACGGGTTATGCCGCCGCGTCCTCTGCACCACCAGCTCGTTCTCGGTCGGGAGATCGTCATCATGGAGCGTATGGATATACATCTCGTCTCGACAACAGGCCGGGTGTTTCTCAAGCCCATCCCGCGCTTCCTGCTTGAGCCTCAGCTCTGGACGCAATATCTCTCTTGCGGAAGGGGCTGCGGCTGCTCCAGCAAAAAGGACGACGCCCAAGGATGCACCCAGGAGCGCGGGCGAGGCATTCGGCAACATGTGTTCGGCTTCCTGTTCTCCTACGCCGCGCTGATATCCCATGAGAGCGACTTCCGCATCGCTAAGGAGAATCGCTTGCTCCCGCCGGAAATATCGTGACCTGGGTGGAGGATCTTCGTTGAGCTGGCCACCAGTGTTGACTGCTTTAGAGCCTGCTTCGCCTCCATGGAACTCGTGTGGGACAAAGACCCCCACCAGGTTGCAAACCAAAGACGTGCATGTCCGTGTTATTGGTTAGAACTGAGTGTCAGATGTGCAACCCCTTGAAGTCCATCAACTGGTGTAGACATAGCGGGAGGATACGCTGTTGGTGGTATTTCAGTCAGTGTGTCCAACAGCCAAGTTACTTGACTTGGTTGGTTGAGGTGGCGCCATCTAGGCGCACAGGTCCGTACAGTCACAGGCCCGTACACTTAGTCAGCAACACCCACTGTAATGGCGGCCAATACATGGGCACCTAGGTGCCCAAGTAAAGTCGCGCAGGAGACACTCTTTACACTCTTTACAGGCGAAAGAAGGGGCTGGCGCTGCGTGAGCGTTGCATCGCGACAATGGACGCGACCGTCGAGGAGATCCTTGTCGAGGGTGGGGATTCGGTGGCCGCGACGCGTCGCTCATCGAGAGCCGTGAAACCGACCGCGAAAGCCCAGAAAAGTGCGCAGGCAGCCTCAAGTAAGGCCGGAACGTCAAAGAATGCTGGCGCAGAGCAAATGGCACCAGGGGACAATGATCGTGGCAATGCGGTCGAGGGATCGCAGGCCATGGAGAGCGCAGTGAGCGGCAACGAGTCGCTAATCCAGATGATGCTCCGGACGATGCTCCAGGAAACGTCGACCCATATAATGAGCGAGCAGAAGAAGATGCTGCAGAGGCTCTGGGATGCGTTGCTGGAGAACCAGGGATCGGCGACGAAGATGGTGAGCGACCAGCTGGAAATAACTCAACGACTCCAACAGGAGATACAGACGGTCAGGGCCGAGGCAGCCGAGGAACGGAAAAAGGCCGCAGAAACTAGACGCATGCATGAACAGACCGCCGAGGAACTAAAGGCGATACAGGAAACAAACGAGCAACTTAGACAGGCGCAAGAACAAACCACGGAAGAGCTGAAACAAGTGCGAGAACAGTTGCACATCCAGACGTAGCCCGCACTCCACCGATGAGCCAACCCAGCAATGTTCGATCTCTCTCATCTATGCGAACAACATCGTCCGCGTTCAGCGATACTTGGTGCTAATTGAAAATAAATAATTGTCTTGGTGATAAGGCTCTAGTGGCTGGTGATGCTATTTCAGAGCCACATCAAGCAGCTGAAGAGACAGAGGCTGTTGAGGAAGTGATCGAGGTGGGAGGAGTGGAAGAGAATGAGGGCTCAAATTCGGAGGCGGAAGAGTTACCTGTGGCACGCACGCGCGCAGGGCGCGCAGTTAAGAGGCCAAAAGAATATTAAAATACATTCAATTCCGAACTGGAAAACAGCAATCAACTTGTTATTCCTATTTTTGGTGACTCTTTGTGAGGGGGTTGAAAAATAGCAGTTTGTATGGGGTAACTTTTTTTTTACTTACCGGTAGGTGGGTACTGCAATGGTAGCTATTTGTAAACGGCCTGAATGTTGGTACTTTTATCATAGGCAAGAAATGCCTGTGGAGGAAGTACCATAATTTTACTAAATTATAATTGGATGACGTCCCTGTCGATCCCTTGCATGCAATGTATTTGTGCCTTATGACTGTCAAGGAGATACAAGCCATGGAAAACTGGTAAACGGCCCTTTTCTTTGCAGCGCGCGCTTACCAGAAACGAGTGGCAGATACGATCAATCAACTTCTGACTTTCGGGGAAACAGCTGACACCTCCATACTTTCTCGCTAAGACCAATGCTATACCCTGGGTGAGACATGGACTACAAGGTATATCTGCATGTTACTAAGATTGATAGTACCCACTTTGTGCGTTACTAAGGTTAGTAATGTACTTACACATAACATGCTGGTTCTAACTAATATTAAACACCAATGAGATCCGGCTTAGCATTCTAGAGACTTACTATACGAGAACGGAAATAACAAGGCTGGGTAAAGCTGCTTGGAAATATGTACAAAGCAGCTAGGGGTCATTTGTATAAGAAGTGGTTAAAGGTCACATCTTCAAACGCAATCTTTCAACTTTGCATTCATCTATCAACCGTTACAAAACTCACCATGAAGAGCCTTTTTACTGCATTCCTTGCTATCGCAGCCGTACAGGCCACACCAGCTTTCAGCGACCAGCCAAAAGACCTCCACGCCCGTGCTGTCGATCTGAAGGTCCAGTACTACAAGGATGGCGGCTGTATGGACTTTGCTGTACAGTTCAGTCCCGGCACATCCAACAGATGTTACGGATATAGTTACAGCAACACAAACAGCGCAAACATTGTCAGCTGTGGTGGTAACAGTGTTGCTTGCACCTGCTACATGTTTGAGCAGGATAACTGCAAGGGGAATTCCGTCCGAACAGTTGCTCTTTCAGGATCAGGCTCCTCCTGCATCAGGTAACATTCCCTCGTCTGCTGCAGCAGCCCTATACGCCTTAGCACTAACTATGCATAAAATAGTAACTGGGGTAAGGGCTACAAGTCAATGCAGTGCTACACAACCCAGTTGTAGTGTGTATAGCCAGACAGATGACCGACACAGCCCTCTGTAACAGCACGAGGAGGAAGAATTGAATGTCGGTCACAACCTTGAGGTTGGAAGCGGGACTGAGATATGTGCCATGGGACGATGTTGAGACCAGAAGTTAGACGGGCGGTGCTAATGGTCTCACCACGGGAATGGGCAGTGATGATTATCAACAGAGTCGGATTTTAGATCAAACTCAATACAATCAATCTCATAAGAGCAATAACAGGAGACCTTGAGTGCCCATCATATAACACTTGACCTGGCGGGTTTGTTCCAGTGATTTGCACCAAGAGATACCATAGACGCAAAGCGCTCAGCCGAGCCTTCTCTGTCGCCCAATATCTCGCTTGGTCGCGTCTCGTAGTCATCTCTTAAGGATATGGGCTCTGCTTGACACTCGGCGGCGAGTCAAGCCGCAGTTTTCTAACGCTCTGGAGGAGCTCCGAAGGTCAAGTTCGGAATAATGTGCGTCAGAACTACACTGGGCTTGATTCAATATCTCCACAATCAGGCCGAGGTCAAAGTTCGAGATTATGCGAGTGTCATCTGTCGTGATTCCTCCGCTCACGCTGGAACGAGAAGGGCGGTGTCCGGTAATGAATGTCGGATGCGTCAGAGAGAGTACAGGTATGGTCGGCCATAAGAGGTCATGCCTACTGCCGTGCGGTATGCCCAAAAACAGAATGCCAATGCCTTTTTCAATAGTAAGCGGTATCTGGTGGTTGGCGAGGCATGCTTGACTAGCGTGAACGGCTTTGGATACGGCACATGGGGATGGTTGCTCTTTAGCCAACAAAGGAGGCTGCGGCTCGTGCTGTGGACCGTCTCTTCGCAGCGGTCCATGACAACGTCCACTACCTTCAAGATCCTGTCGATCCTAATCTCGTCCTCGCGTGGGCTAGCCAGATCGACGGAGAGGCCAGGGACTCGGGTTGCGCTAGCTAGGAGGTATGGCGACGCATCTGGCCTCCCATGGAGTTGTAGATAAGGTGTTTGGATGAGGCAACGGAGCAGGCTCCGGTCCTGTTCTTGTACGTGGTCTCCCACCTTGTCCTTTCCAACCATGGCCGCTGTTCGGCATACGTCGTCGCAGAACCCGCAGCTGTAGTTTGCGTATTGCCTGCAAGACCAGGACCATCCACAAGCCGGCGATTTCGCTGGTACTCGCGCGCCTTCACAGAATTAATCAAGTCTTGTTGTTCATCGCCAGTCCTGTCTCGACCGCTCAAAACCAGACCACGTATACCGCCGGTCGGACCAGTCGACCATCGCGTTCAACAATCCAGTAGGCTCGAGATGACCCAGAGGCCCATGCTTGCAAATACACGTACTCGAAATATGTCTCAATGTCTGCCCTCCTGGTAGATTTCCGCGGGTGTTGCGGGGCAGATCTTGGCTGTAATGTCGTACGATGAGCGTGAGGTTGATGGTGCGATACTTGCAATACAGACAAGAAAATCCATCGTAAGACCGGAGCCTTTTGTCTTCAGGCGAACCATCTACAAGAGGCGCAGCCTGTTCTGGATTTTTCAGGTTCAGGGTAGCTAATATCTTGCTGAGACCTTTCCGCCGAGATAGAGGAATCTTGTGTTTATCTCTCAGATGATCGGTGGGATGGGAACCATTAGGGGAGATCGCATGTCTGCAGTCCTCGTCGAAGCAGATTAGTAGTTGCGAATCAGGATGAACACATAAAGAGAGCGACTCGAGAAATTGAGAAGGCGACTGTGACTGTTGTACCCCTGCAGTCGGGGCAATAGGTGACGATTCCATGACATTTATCCCTCGCTATACTGTTATCTGGTAATTACTACTGCTTCTATGCATTATTATGTTCTTTTGTTATTTAATGTCTTGAAGCTGGAGCAGAAGGCGAAAGAGTAGAGGAAGGTAGAAGGAACAGGATGAAAGTGGGAAAGGAGAAGCATGAATGTGCACAGATAAAAAGTACCCGTTGGCTCGAGCCGGGGGGGGGGGGGGGGGGGCCAACTAAGCAAGCTTAGTTGGCCACAAAAAGGCGGGACAGTCACAAAACGGTGGGACACCCGTTGGGCCCGATTTTTGGTGTGTTTTGTGGCATTTTCAATGTATCTTTATTCTGAAGGCGTCAAAAGAGGTGAAATTGCTGAATCAATTGAAATGAAGCTTCCTGTGATGATATATCTGCTATTGACTGTAACTGTAAGAGGGAAATAGCTGCAGCGGCGGCAAGCTTGCCTGCCGATTGATGACGCCTTCTCTAGTAAATTAGGTGCTTTCCTGTCCTTCCTGAGGCCTGTGACTGGCTCCTATAGCAGATCTTTCTTCTTCAATGAGGGAAATGAGGGCATCGCGAAATTGGGCTTGGTGTTGAGCCGGGCATGGTGTTGAGGGCACCGTTGGAAGGGGGGACTCGTAGTCAGGCAGGCAAGGCGGCGATGAGGGCATCGCGACTTCCTCTTCCTCCGATAAATCGATGAGGCTATCTTCTTCGTTAAAATCGGCATCAGCTGGCGGTTGCGTAAGTTGAAAATCGACAGAGTCATCGCTGCTGAGAAGGCCGGTTAAATCTGCTGCTGAGAGAGGCTTTGCTGCGAAGCCGGCGTTGCGAATAGCCTCACGAGCTTCCGGGGCAAGCTGGGTATCGATCATAAAGCAATCTTCCTTCTTCTTTAGTTGTGAGGATATCTCCGCTCGTGATGCATCGAGAGAAGCGTATTCTATATCTCTTTTGGTGTGTTCAAGCCACTGTTTAAAGCGCATCTTCTTTTCAACGCCATCGACGATAACCTCCTTCTTTTGCTGCCACTCAGCTTTTATCTCTTCCATCTGCCGGATTGCAAAAGATCGTATATTCCGAAGCTGAGATCTCTGCTCAGCCTTTGCTCCTACTTCAATAAATTCAGCCTGTTGTTCACGAAGCTCTTCCAAGCTTATATTATGAAAATAATCTCCTACCGGTTTTCCTCGCTTTCCACGCTTTCTCTGATGATATCTCTTCTCAATACGCTCCTGACGATCGGCAACGTGCTTTTTCACGATATCTTTAAGCATAATAGCTTCGCTAACAATCTTCTGTACAGCTTCAAGTCCCCGGCGCGTTGGGGAGCTCAGAATATCGTGATAGCGGTTGCTGACATCTCTTGCTGTATCAGAGGCCAAAGGGAAGCGATTTTCCGCCGGTAAAAGCGAAGATAACGCCGGATCGATAGCCTTACGAGTCTTTAACTTCTTCTTCAGCAGATAACTAACCGCTGGCACCTCGGTAGGCGGGAAAATGCCTGACTTTTCGAAGCCGGCGATGATGTGGGCAGCTGTGAAGCCTTCTTCAAAGATCTCCTGATATTGTGAGAATTAGTATGTGAAAAGAGGTATCTTTTGGAGAAGATGTGAGCTGCTAACACATACCTTGAAGGAGCCTGCAAAGTCACGGCGGTTGAATGTCAGATTTCCCTTCCGCAAAGCTTCTCGCAGCCTTTTTTGGTGTGCATTCTTTAACCACTGAAAAACGCCTAGGTCTATCGGTTGAAGTATATGTGTTGAATGAGGAAGAAGGAAAGCAACGAGGATATTGAATTTTATACAATATTCTCTGAAGGCGAAGGAGCCGTGACCGGAGAAGCCGTCGATTATGAGCAACCGCCACACGAGCTCTTCTTCCTCCTTTCCTTCCGTGCCTGGAGGCGTATTATATGGAGTAATAGGGTTGAATTCGCTTTTTAGGTGCTCGTTACACCTAAACCACTGCTCAAAATCCAGCTGACGATGTTGTACAATAGCAGATTTCTCCTAAGACTACCGGTTAAAGTGCTTCGCCCACTCGAGCGTTATCTTGGCGTTGGAAAAAGCTGTTTCTGACTGTGCAAAGCGCATATTAGGATCACCATCGATATCTGACCACTCGATCGTTGGAAAAGCTTTGAAGATAAGCCAAGGAGGAGTAGTTGCTCCTGCGGCGTTGCCCGTACCAATTACCGTACAAGTCTCCCTATCTTCCGGCGAGAATACCTCTGTTGGAGTCTTCTTCTTGGTACGTACGACGAGGCATTGCACGCGCTCTCGCAGTATTCCGACTCTAATTCCGGCTTGATCAGCATTCCAACACTCTGAGGCGCCGATCCCGTATCTGGTGATGACTTCAGAAAGTCGTTTAAACCACTGCTTCGTCTCCTCCACGCCGGCTTCTTCATACTCATAGCGAGCGGCTTCTTTCGACTTCAAAATCGATGTATCAAGCTCGGGATGATCGTCACGGAAGCGACTGTACCACATCTTTGAGACCGGCTGCGCAGCAGCATCACGGCGACTTCTTATTGTATTTGCTGCATCTTCAATCTCGCCTTTAGAGGCCGGAAGACCGGACTTCTGCATCCAAATGATGAAGCATATGATAGCTTCTTCTTCGCCATCCGAAAGGAGTCGCGGCCGGCCCTTATTTGGCTCAGGAACCAGGCTAAAATCCGCTGTTTTGGCTTCTTCAAGCTTCTTGACGATACGCGCAATGGATGACTTGCGGGAGCCCTTGTACTGCCGCTCAGCATCGCGTATTGAAAGAGGCTTCCTTATCACATTAGAAGCATCACGAGAGAGGCCCTTTTGGAGTCGTTGGCGTGAAGAAACCACCGCTTGAGCTGCTCTGATATTTGCATTTAAAGGCATAATGCACTTGGACAAGAGTACTCCTTTTTTGGCTAACTGGCGTCTAGATTTAGGTCGATTTCACATATAAAATCGAGGAAATTCGCGACAGCCGGCGGAGCGGGGTTGTCCCACCCTTTTGTGACTGTCCCGCCTTTTTGTGGCCAACTAAGCTTGCTTAGTTGGCCCCCCCCCCCCGGCTCGAGCCAACGGGTATCGTTTTCGTTGCAGGCAATATTCGAATTATTTACCGCTGGCCGGCCTGGAGTATTCAATCGGGGACCTTATTTACATACCACAGTACGGTTGTCTGTGTGACAAGCGAGATATCCCTACAGGCGAGGGTGATGCCTTCGGTATCTAGATCATTGCATGTTATGCCTCAACCGTTACTATTTGGCTCTGGCTAACTCTATGTAGACCAACCTTGTTGTGTGGACATGAGGGGGCGCGGCCAATCTCTTTTGTGAATTATGAACGATATTGATATTATCCCCTACGCTTCTTCACGTACCAGGATTGCCAAATCGAATAAGGCCTTCGACATTTATAACTAAATAATGCCACTGCCACGTCGCCCATCTCGTCATTCATAGAATTTATAAATGTAATAATAAACTCCCCTATCTTCTCCGTATATTACCACTCCCCCCTTTTCCCCTTTATTTAATGTTTAGAAACGGGTTATCGTTACGAAGCGGCCATCCAGAGTCAGATTCGAGTGACTGATCCATGTCTATAGTAAAAATATATGTTTTAGCGATTGCTAAGATTTACAAGATGCCAAGGATACGATCGGGGGACCCCGCCGCTCGGAAGCGCGTCGATGAGATGGTTCAAACCAATTATAGTTATGTCTCGGGCACCACCTGATCGGCGACAAACCGTAAGCCTGGGCTTACGGAGCCTCCGTAATGCCTTTATTGGCCAACGCAGCGGTCGAGACCATTTCGTTGTGAGGGGCAAGTCCAAACTTTACCGGATCCTGCAGCCAGCGGTCCCTACATGATCACACGATGAGCGATAGATTGTGATCTGTTGTGTGTTGTCTCATACAACTTTTCCGTGACCATACGTATATCCCCATCCATGTACCCTATATCTGGATAGATGCGCCAGCTTCCCTCGAGGGCCGTTGCGGGTTTATGACCTAACGCAGGGCAATATCACCACCAAGATATCGCGAACACCGCAAATGTGGTTCCCCCCTATGCCCATCATCCTCATCACGGATGAGGATCTGACATACCACGGGAAGATACTAAGTGTCAGGTATGAAGAAGGGCGACTTCGAGCAATTCACGCGACGATGTGCATCAGCGAGCACCGAGGCCGGCCAAGGGTAAGGCCCCACTTGATCATGTCAGACTAAAGATAAAGAGGAGATTGCCAACGCCAGCTAGCTCCCCAGCGACACCCTTCGCCCGAGAATCCAGACAAGTCTTTAAGTCCAAAGGTCGGACTATGATAACGGATAGGCTATGGAGTGGGAAAGATTCCCACGGCCGCCATAGAGCTGGGAGAGTCTTGTCCCTATGGAGGATATATGTTGGGCGGGTGGATGGATGCTATCTAGCAGAGATTGGGGAGAATGGATGAGAAAGTCACAGTCAAAGCAGGGAGTCGAGAGTGGTCGAGCCATACGTGAGAAAGGTCGAGATTAGTATGATGCTCGTCTTGGGTTGTTCTTAAGTCGTACACGTCAATACGCCATTCAAAGGTTCCAGGCTATCAGTCCACGGGAATCAACTTAGTCCTTAAACGTAGCTGCCCAGACAAACTCATCTCATTCTCTTCCTCATATTCCTGGTGCGACGCAGATTGAGTTAAGACGCGGCGCGTCATCGCGAGTCATAGCTCACGCCTCATCTTGCTTTCCAGTTTTCAGTGGCCAATCATAACGACCAGATTCGCTCCGAGGACTCCTGTCCAATCACAGTATGGAGAAGGGGGTTATATTTTAGCGAGGCGTGAAGCATCAAGCCACCACCATAATAACCAACAAGTTCTTATTTTCTTCGACCCCCATTGCCGCTGCACTTTGCCGTCGCCGCGTTCCTGTTATCATCGTGAAATGGTCTGCATGTTCCATCGTGTCTTGTCATATAACCGATACTAATGACTGAGAGATGACTTTGCTCTAAAGCCTGAGACAGACACGCGCCCCTCGTAAAGCTCAGGGTTGGGAGTGTAAAGTGGGGTCAGCGTCTGTGTTTTATTCTCCATCATCTTGGCTCGACCAAAGCGACGAGCATACGGTCCGCGTTTAAACGTTACGACATTAATCGCTGTTGTAAGCCACCGACAAGGGTGTAACCGGTATTTCATAAGCACCATTTTTAGCGGGCTTTGGTCTGGAACTGGATTGACTATGAAAAATGATGAAGAAAATGGGATGCAAGGCGCAAATATATATTAAGATATTCTTTGTATTATTGGGCGTGATAATAATACTTTGGAATATCGTCTGGTCTATTTTTCACTTGCCTATCTGCGGTGGTGGACTTTTCACGGATTTTAATAGTGCTCTCTGGCCGGCACTCGAGTTTGACATTGAATATCCGGAAGGATAACCCCGTGCAACATTTACAATTTTGCCTGAATTTAGCAATGTGACATGCAGGTAGTGATAACGCTCTATATTGATTGTGACATTGCGCCACACTTGCGCGTGTATCTCCCTATGAACAATGCCGTTGCCGTCGCCAGCGCAAACTTTCCCTCCCAATCCTTTCCTCGTTCCTTTTAGACGCCCACTCTTTCGAATTCTTTACGGCCACCTGTTTACTAGTCCTCATATAACCCTTGACAAATAAACCTCTGTTACTCCCCTGCTCCTCTTTCTCAGAACAGTCGACAGTTATTCCTTCAGGCGTCGTCGTGGCGCCGCTCGCTCCTGATCACATTACCACTTATTCTTTCAGTCGCTGTCATACCGTCTCCGCCTCAATATTCAACCAGCGCTTGTGGAGTGGCATCCTCGCTTTGGCCACGGCTGCCCTTGATCGTACCCAAAACGTCATCGCTGCCATCCCGGAGCCTACTGCTATTCCACCTCGCCAGTCCAACGGTGCCCACTCGAGATCTTCACTGCTTGGCAGGTCCTCGCCTCGAACCCAAGGCAAATACCACCGCTTAAGAAGTGCATCGAGCCAGCCTCTCTTGTCTAGTCCTAACCTAGGCGGCAAGCTCGTTTCTAAGGTGGTGCTGGCGGACTATCCGCCTTCCCAACCTTACACACGATCTGAACTATCTGTCTCCCGTCTAATCTCCCTCCACAAACAAGATGCATCAGACATCGTCGGGCTTGCTGCGCATGGCGGACGATGACCGCCCCTTCACCAAGGTATGTACCATGGCTCCTGACGTCTGTCTGCACGCCTATCTAACACTTTTCTCTGGTGGGCGGGAGTGCGGCCTGCGTCGAGTCACTTGCGATGGCCGCCACTGCTCCTCTGCTTCCTAAAACCTCGTTCTTTGCTATAACATTGACCTTTAGCTGATTTAGTAACATAATAGGACTTTGAGGATCTGTTCTCCACTCTTATCGTCAGTCTGCTTCCGCTCTCGGCTTACCGCGTCCGGTTGACCAAGATCGAGTATACTTTTCTGTCTGAAGATGCCATCAACAACTTGAGCTCTCTCAAATTCTCCCAGGCCAACCGCATACGTGACCCTAATAATCCTTCTAGCATTATCACCACTACAATTACTAGCACGTTCTCCATGGCCAAGGATGTGGCTCGCTCCACCTGCCAGCGCTTCGTCGAGGCCCGGCTCATCGAATTAGCTGGTGGTAAGTACCAGCAGGTGTATACTATGAAAGGATCCGTCTGGCTGCTAACAACCAAGGGAATCGCCGTGTTGGATTATTTCTGCGCGAGAAATGGCATTTATGAGAAGCAGGTGTCGGAACTTGCTGATCTTGGAGTCATCCAGCTTCTCCACATCGAACGAGACCCACAAACTGACAAGCTTATCCATGACCAAGACACCATCGATGTTATCTTCCGTCGGTTCGTCTCTGCTGGCGGTCCTAACTTTAAGTCTAGTGTGAAACTGGCTGATTCAGACTTGTTGCAGGACTACCGGGATGGTCTTGGTGGTGTAAAGATGGCTGCCGAGCTCATGGTCAACGGAAAGAAATACAGGAATACTTTCACCGGCAAAGCTACAACGGACTGGTTGATGGATTATTCTACCGTTATGGACAAGCGGGAAACCGTTGAGGTTGCCGCTCTCTTCGTCGAGTATGAACTGGTGGAGCCCGTTGCCCAGGACTGGACTTACATGTCCCAGAACCCCGGATGCAATATCTTCCAGCCCACCGAGTATGCCATCTACCAATTGATACAGGGAGGAAGGGACCTTATCAATGGCTCAGGACTACGTGGGCGGGTGTCGGAACGCGAGGGTGGTGCTATTTCTCAGCGGAACGGCATCAATGTGGATTCCAGCACTCAGCGACTTAACGAGATCCTAAACAACCCTGCCGTGCGACTTCTCTTCCGCGAGCAACTCCGGGATACGCATTGTGAGGAGAATCTGTCTTTCTACCAAGATGTACACGAGTTTTTACCGAGATGTAAGGCGGCCACGCGCGCTGCCCAGAAGGCGCGCAACTTGAACGCGATGGACGGCATCAAGGAGATCATGGCTCAGGTGTACGGCATCTATAATGCTTATCTTGCTCCTGGCTCGCCTTGCGAACTCAACATCGATCACCAGCTGCGGAACAGCCTCGCCACTTTGATGACCAAGGTTGTCGACCAGGATATTGCCATGATTTACCCTCTTCAAGAAGCGATGCCGCTATTTGAGGACGCCCAAACTGCCGTGCTGAAATTGATGGCCAGTGTAAGTTCGGCTCAACGCTCACCCCTAAGCCCTAACATACCCGTTCTCAGGGTCGCCGACCAAACCCTAACAGGAAACAGGACTCGGTGCCGAAATTCCTGAGCAGCTCCAAATATGAGCAGCAATTGCGAAACTAATGTCTCCCCTCCTTGGAAAAGTCCTCGAACGGAGCCAGAGCCGATCCAACCGCAAGTAACATGGGCGCTGCCAAAGCCGAATTGCCCAGTAACAGCGCCCCCAACTGCAACCCGATGGAACCAACAGAACCATGACAGGTGGGGATATCAGCTCCGGCTTGCTCAGGACGCATGACGCAAATAACCTCCCAGACACGAACATTACAGACTCCTGACTTGAATTAGCTATCAGGTTGTTCGCCACTTGATCCATATTATACCCCAGAGCCCATCTCATCTCATTACAGGCCCATGGATACGAAGAGACTTGATGCAAACCAGCCTGGATGACTTACTGACCAACAGCATTTAGCGGCCATACCTGGCGATACTAACACCAAACAGCCTTAAGCTGACAGACCATGCTTTAGCTGCTAAAGATAGGAGGCTGGACACTTGGAAAAATTGGCCATCAAGCAGGCCTGTCACACAGAACCAAGCGAGGCTAGAACGGAAAAGACTTGAAGAGAATTGGGGCTTTCTCTTTGCGTAGACTGGATCAATGTGGAGGAATTGTAAATGGCTTAGCGTACCTACTGGCCCTATGAGATTCGTTCTCCCGGGCGTAATGAACTTGTTGAACGGATCGCGTGCGCCTTGATGTCCTTTATTGTATGTTGTCGCACTGGATGTGCTTAAAATGGATTGAAGGTCGGGTCATTCATAATGAGTAGTAGTAGTGAGTTGATTGGTTCTATCTTCTGTGTCGGGTATTCCATCCCACAGGTTTTACTTTAAATCACCCAGCTTGATTACTAAGGGCTGTTGTTCCTGAGGATCATTGAGACCATGCCCGGCCTGCGACATATGGCTACAGCTGTTGCTGAACTTTGTAAATCAAGAACGCGCTCTGGTTGGCCGTGGCAGACTGATCCATGTTCACAAACCCTGTCGCCCAACAACCGTAAAAAAAAAATGACCTCGAAGCAAATTCACCACGCAGCTGCCAATATCGCGAGTTCATATACTGATATTGATATCAATCGATTCGCAAGCATTTCTTTTATATTCTTACCTGTTTTAAACTTACTGTAGCTACTATAGCGCCCGAAACGCTAATCGTCGGCACACGCTCATTTTAATCGTCCCGTCACCCATGTCTTGCTAGCGCCACGAAATTTCCCATACAAATTTAATCGTCGGCAGGCTGTCGACGCAAACAATAATTGTCAGGGCTAAGTAGGTAAATAAATAAATAAATAAATATTAATATGTTTATTATACTATAGTGTGAGCTCTAATTCTATTTTATTTTGCTTTTTATCGTTGCTTATGGTGATGCTGATCCTTGTTATCTGTCTGGGGTTGGAGCTTGGGGTTGATTCCTGGGGAGCTTGGGGTTAGCTTGGGGTTAGCTTGGGGTTAGCTGCCTGTTTGGCTGTTTTTGCTTGTGGTTCTGCGTGAACTGTGGTTCTGCGTGAATGGTCCGTGCCTTTGACTTTTTAGGCCAATCAGCTTACATTAGAATTAACCCCAACCCCGCTTGCCATTGTGGTTCAGCGTGAACCCGCCCGGGACTAGAGACCAGGGGAGTTGTCTAATTCAAGTATAGGGACTGGAAAAGGGTTTTGGGTCAGCCCGGCTGATACTTGCTCCCGAAGACAAACTAGTTTGGCATAAAGCTCGTTCTCAGACATTCGAATCAACTCCCGTTCGGGCTGTATGACATAGGGCATGTAGCCCTTAGAAAATAGAGTAGTTGCTAATTGCCAGCCATCAACAGGATGAAGAATGATGTTGGATGCTGGCAGTGGATGTGCAAGAGTCCCAGTCTGTCGGGACTTGGCATAGTGTCTGATGAGTCCCTGATGTGCGCTAGGCCACCAAATGAACTGATTTTCTTCTTTATCCTTGCGCATAAATCCCCGGCTATGTGGATAAGGGAGAATCCAGTGGCTTCCAAGAAACGACCTTTTCAGGTCTTGCCGCCACTTCCGTGCGCCAGCCTTGCCTCGTGCAGTTTTGATGGCATGGAAACTCTGTTGGAATAGCATGCGATATGGCTTCTCGTTCCATCCTTGCCGTTCAAAATAGTCATCCTTCGATTTCCAAAGCCAAGCAAATAAGACATGAATATCCTTTACCGCCAGTCGATTTCCTTGTGCAAGCTGAAGTGGCTGGTGATCCTTCAGCATGGCGTTATTAACACTATCGTAACACAGAGGAATCTCTCCTGACAATGCAGATTCCAGATATTCTGGCTTCAGAGCTGACTTGACGTGGAAGAAAACGTCTTTGCGAAAGGCACACAGACACAGCTCTCGAAGGTAATTTTCTAGGAGGTCAAGGCACGTGGGAATAGAGCTGAATTCAAGCATCCACTGATAGGCCTTATTCACTCGAATGAAGTCGATCCGTACATCTCGGACTTGGTGGTATCGAGCGCGATATACAGTCTGCATGGATGGGTTGTTGAACATCATATAAGGTGCATAAGGTTGGCGGAAAGTAAGCGTATTCCAGTCGATCTTGTCAAGAAACCAAGCATAACCATACCTCTCCATAGTGAGCTTGAATCCGAGTCCTTCATGGCGACGAAGTCCATTTGGCTGACCTGCATCGGGTTGCTGTCGTACGTCTTGCCAGCAGCCACCGACCTTCTGTATCAATCGGCCTGTATATGAGAATTGGAGACAGCGAAGAAACACGAGCATAATTCTTGTGTGTTCCCAAGTCACAAAATGTGGATCTTGAAAGCTGTATACCATCTCGAACCCTACACAGAACTTATTGATGTTGCACCGCACCCATGTAAGGAGAGTACTGGTCGTGAAACTATAGTATGGGGAACCATCGTCAGTAGGTATAATGAGGCGCTTGTCGTGTAGCTCTCTGGATTTCATCTGGTTGTCAATAGCATAGAAGAGCTCCTTCGAAACACGATGCTCTTCTCGAATGCCGAAAGACTTTTGCATAGATCCTGATATGGCATGGTGGTATCGAAGCTTTGTGTATAGGTATGCCTTGATTAATGCAGTTGGCTGGTGACTAATACCACCTCCAACAAGTTCCCATGTCTTTCTTAGCTTCTTATCAAGGGCAAGCGTTTCGATGGCTGCGTTTGTGAATGGATACACGTTTCCCGCTGCAAATACTTCCTTGACACTGGAGTAGAATTGAGAGTATAAAAGACCAGCAGCTCGGCGTGGAGAGCGCTTTCCAGTCTCTATAGTGAGACTCCCAGTATCCTGAAGCATACTGAATGGATAAAAGACCTGCTTTTGGGTCCCTTTATCATCAGTATACCTATTGCTGACCTGGAAGGCATATGATTCTAAGCAACATCGCCGGTAAAGTAGTGTTTCTGCTCGTTTCTGTGGTGGATCGTTAATAATACCAGCTGCCAGTTGGCTCCAAGGTACAACTTGAGATAGCTGCTGAGGACAAGTTTCTTTCCCAACATCAAAATAGAGGTCTGTTGTAGTATGGCTGTTATCGATTGCGCTGGTCCAATACTGTTCAAATCGCGACATCATCTTCTCCCATGTGACGTCCTTTGTGAGAACCTTCAGGTTCTTTGCTTGAAGGAGAATAATAACATCCCGGAACTGTTGGAATCCTGGTTCTTGAATGGCAGTGGTGATGTTGGCCCAAACATCTGCCAGTGTCTCTGGTGGTAAATAATACACTAATTGTTGTTCCCGTGCCACTGGATGCACACGCTGAGAAAGTCCCTCTATTCCGCGAGCGGTAGAATTGTAACGACTGTGGTCATAGCTCGACGGATAATGCTGGACATGGGCTGTGCTGTAGCATTGATATATTGCAGGAAGCAGAATACCATCCATCCATAGTCGAAAGTCTTCATCCCTGAGTTTACTACACTTCTGCTCCTCTCGATATAGGTTAGGGAATAGAAGATATAAAGATATATCCTCAAATCCAATAACACGACCGAATGTATAGTGAGGAATCTGGTGTACAGGCCGGTGGACTTGATGTTGTTTTCCATTTGTGTCGAGGAACGTGACAGGTATTGATCGAAGGTGGAGATCAGACTGAAGATCAGATACAGTCATTCGGGTAGGAGACCAGTGAATTCCCTTCTTAGCGACAGCAAGGTTACTTGGGAAGGCCACGACGCTGTCGATATCGAAGGTAACCCCAGCACTATCTGAAACCCGCTCATCTTCATCTAAGCAGATATATGGTACCTCCTCTCTGGAGTCAACGCCACAAAAGAGCTGTCTTCTGGATTCAGGGCTTAGTTTTCCAGCCAGATCATCTTTCTGGTGTGCGATAGTCTCGTGATTGAGGATGTCGGGACCTAATTCAGGCGTGAAGTTCAGGTACACGGCAAGGCTGATATGTTCGTTGGTATCTTCCATATGATTGCGTTTAGCTGCCTGGTGGCACTCGTTGCAGCATCCTTGAAATTTGATAAGTTGTTCTGCCAGCTCTTGCGCAAGATGCTCAATTGGATCTGGCTCGCCGTCCCCCACTTCTGGGGAGGTCTCCGGGGTTATATCAGAGACAACATCCTGAACCGGGTCAGGACCCTGGCGATCTGAAACAGCTACCGGATCTTCCGCATAGGTGGAAGTTCTGATATTAGGTATACTCTGTTTATCGATATCTCCGGGTAGCTGAGGATCTGCTGCGAGTAGGGACAGGGAGGACGTAATCGATGGTGATCTGAGAGGCTCATCATGGTCAGGGAATACCCCCTCAGTGGTGGGTTGGAGTGGAGGACTAGGGGGAGGCAGAAAGTTGCTGATGTCTTGTTCTTGTAGCTGTGTAAATGCACTTCTCTGTGAGTTACCTAACTGCTGGATGGGATAGTTATTATTTATGTTATGTTATGTTATGTATATTTTTCGTCCGGGGGGCCGTAGGCCCCGAAAGTCCCCTGCTGGGGCAAAGGACGTGCTGAGCTAGAGAATTGGGTATCTATCTATACGCTAATTACAGAAATACCATTGGCTGCAAGGATGATTAGTCATTCGCGACGCGAAATTAGTCTTCCCTCAGATTCCAATTTTTGCAACCGCATTAGTAGACCAAACACACTCTATCCAGCATATCATCGGCACAAATGGCGCATCCTATCGAGCTTGTTACCCGTCAGCGGGACGACAAGGCGCAGCTGGCATATCGCAGCCGCTTTTGGAGCCTGAAGTCAGGAAGGCTGAGCTCAGCCTGTGCGTGCGGCAGTTTGAGACTGCCTGAAGGTAGCCACGGCCGGATGAGGGGCGTGCCAGCGCCTTTCATCTGGCCGAGAACTGGTAAGAAGATAAAGAAGAAGTAAAGGTGTACAAAAGAGAAGTCGAAGAGAGAGTCGCGAGTGCTTCTCTCGTCGTCATCGCCTAATAGCGAGGGCAAATCTTTCCAAAGAACGCGCTGTCTTTGGATAGGTCGGTGAACTTGGTAAAGTCTTTTCCTACTGCTAGATTGACTGCTGCATTCGGTGAGGGTGCCAGCCTCATCCGATGACGCGGCGGTACCTTTCTGCAGTAGAAGATGTGATCCGGTGCTTTGCGTCGGCCACATGAGCAGACCAGGCGCGCATCGCCGTGGTCGAACCTCTCGTGATACGCGGCGAAGTCCCCGTGGAGGGACCTTGCTGCCAGCAAGTGGTGTAAGGCTGCGCGCGGGAGCGTCAGCTCTGGTGGGCAGCCTGTGGTCGCCTTGAGGTTGAGTCTCTTGTATTGCTCAGGAGCGGAGGTAGACCACCACGTCTCGAATGCTTCTTTTGATTTTTGTCTCGCGATTCTTCGTAGGTAAGCCAGCGTTGGTTGAGCACCTTCAGGTTCGAGGAGAGATGACGCTGCTTTTGCCAGTTTGTCGGCCTGTTCATTGCCAGGGATGTCGGAGTGTCCTGGGATCCAGAGTACTTGCGTGGCTCCGTGCGATGCCGCTAGAGCCTGAAACTCGAGAAAGACGTATTGAGAGGAGTCGGAGGGCGTGCCTCGCAGGCACGTGGCGGCTGCGAGGTTATCTAGACAGATAAAAATGGTTTGCGCTGCTGACCCTTGCAGGTTCAGGGCAGCTTTGAGGCCCTCTAATGCCCCAGTAGCTTCAGCGTCGAAGACCTCGGCAGGCCCAAGGCGACCTGATCCATCGAAGATGGGGACATTGTTTTGATGAATGGTGAAGCCGTAGCTTGCAGCTCCTTCCGAGGATAGAGAGCCATCCGAGTATACGACCAAGGTGAGCGGGTCGAGTCTCTTAATCCAGTGGAGGAAGGCGCCGGTCGATTTCTCTTTTGACGCCATCTGGAGTGGAGGCATCTGTTCTTGATGGAAGCATCGCTGGACGAGTTTTGGCCGCGCGCAGGGCGCCTGGATGGGATAGTGCGAGTTATGAAAATTGCTATAGGGTAAGCCTCTATCTCTAGCCGCTGCTTTCTGCCGTTTGTTCCGTCTGCGTTGAGTGTCTGCTGTCGCTTTGTCCTTGGCTGTTGCATATTTGCGTGGTCGTCCACGTTTTAGTGGTCTCTCCATATTAATTTTAGTATGTGTTATTATATGAGGTGGTAAGAGTTACTTTATGTTGATGCCGGAGATTGTTTCTTGATACCCCCTATGATTATTTTGTTTTGCGGTTGCTACAGCAGCATGTGCTAATCAGTACCCCAGCCCACGAGAATACCTCTTATATGGCGGGCTAGATTAGCTACAGTCAGTATACCTGCAATATAGACATCTACTCTCTTATAACGCAGGGAGTAGAGTATTAGCCGGGGCGGATTCGTATTCTGATGTTCTAACTCATGCAATAACACGGCCGACAAGAAAACTCACACAGACATTGAAGGACAATTAACAGGTCTCCCTTTCGGCTTAGCTTTTTGGAATGCTGCGCTAGGCCCTATATGAATTAGCGGCGATATGCTTCTGAAAATGGATGGATCTTGACCACGAAATTCATGATTGGCTAAGTGACGGCCCCACATATCCAAAAACGGCCACATCTTGACCGCTAAATTCTGATTGGCTGCAAAGCTTGGGGCCGACGACGAGGTCAGCAACTTCCAAGACGAATATACCAACAACAAGCGAGAAGGTCTTATAAGAATATAAATAAGTTGAGTCTAAAGGCTATAGTGTATGTATTTATATAATGGTAATTAGTTTTATACTACATTTAGTGGCCAGTCTGAGTGGGTAAAAAATCGATGTTCTCGGCGAACATCGTCTGGGTCCTTCATCAACTACAGGCCGTTGTCTGATCGAGGTCAGCCCCTGTATCAGCAGAGTTCAGCTATGGACGAGGATAATAATGGACCTCCGGGTCTGACAAACCATGATAGCGAACAAATGAGCGACATCGAGCTGGATTTGATTTGGACCGACAATCAGCAGTACATGGAGTACCAGCCCTTGAAGCCCTGCGGACTTGGCGGCGTTTCCCCAGAGGACCACTTTATGGTGCTTGTCACTACTAAGCGGTCCAAGCAAGATGTCCTCCCATCGACTTCCGAGTCTCAAATTGGGAGGTTGAATAAGAGCACGGAAGGGATCATTCATCGACTAGCCACGATCTCAACCTCTTGTCCCGACCTTGTCAGTTTAAAGACAAAATCAAGCGAAGAACCACCGCCTGTCGAGGTTGAGTATCAGTCCAGGCGCATCAAGAGGCTGGCGCCAGTCCCACTGCCATCTCCTGCCATTTTCTTTCCGCCGTTTAGCGGTGAGAACTCCACGGCCGACGAAGATGACGACGCATCTACAGATATAGCCAATACCGCATCGTCAGAGAAGCATGTGAGCCGACGGGCGAACTCTTACCATTCCGATAGCCATCTTGATGGCCTTAATGTTAGCAATGGTGTTGAGCATGGTGAGGATTCAGACGAAGCGCCTCGAGCGCTTGATGAATAGCAAATGAGGACAACAGTACTCCGGGTGATAGCCAACCCCTGCATCGCTAGCGTGAGAGGGTTAGTAAATAGTATTCTTCACTAGTCCCAGTTTTAAGGCCGAGAAATATACAGATCCAGTACACGCATTCTATGGCTCGCCGGTTTTTGTCAAATCATACCTGGAGCTCTGCCGTGCCTCGCGGTGCTTTGGCGTCATTCAGGAGGTCACCTGTTCTAAGGTTTCCATCCGTGGGCTCGTCTTAAGTGTCACTCGCTTTGCTTTGTGCGCTGGTAAAAAGTCTCTGCTTCACCCACCTAACGGCAGCGGGTTTCTTCTTAGTGGGCAGCTTGAGCTTTTGGTCTTCCTCAAAGACTTAGCTAGGCAGTTCTCGTGCCCGGCGGGTGCGGGTCCGTAGCAGTTCGCGCATTTCGCTCGTTCGGTGCATGGCTGTGGTTGTGATTGGTCCCTGATGTTTGGTTTGCCACAGTTCTCGCAGCGCGGCGTGCGTGTGCAGGGGAGGCTGGAGTGGTAACCTTGGCATCCTGGATTATGCCGTAGTGTCACTGGCCTCTTCTTTTCGATGAGTCGCGAGTATGTGCTTGTCCAAAATAGCCGGGAGGGCGGGACCTCTTCTAGGTAGGAGACGATCCAGGACCCTTTATCGGCCGCCGGGTACGGTTTATGTCTCGGAAGGCCGCACGCTGGTTGTCTTGAGACCTGTTTGGGCGATCACCTCGTCCTGGATGACCTGGCCGATGCCGACCAATTCGCCTAGCATGTTGGTTAGTTTGGTCGGGCAGTTCGGCACGACGTAATTGGACTATTTTGTCGGTAGTTCAACCTCAGTGGTCTCGAGGCAGTGTCCTAATACCTGCTCCTTGGCTAAGATCCTTTGTCGGCTCATTTTGTTTCGAGGCGTATGGCGAAGCCCGTCGCCGTACGCTGGATATCCCGGATGTCGATAAGTGACAGACCCAGCGTCTTCCGGGTAGCCTCGCGCAGGGCGTAGTTGGTGAGAGATTTTGTCCATCCCTAGTGCTCTTCTGGAACTCTGATGAGAATGCGAATATCTTTTGTGGGTTGGGTTTTCTCTCATGATGAAGTATTTCGCCTCACTTGGAAGTTCGTTCCCGCCTGGTCGATGCCTCCATGCCTGTCTCTTCGGGTAAAGTCCCTTGTAGCAGTAGATCTGAGGCGTTGACCATCTGCAAGACCTCGATGGGATCACTGTTCGTCCGTATGCGGTTGAAGATCTCTTGTGCCTCCTCGGTCGACCGTGAGTGTATTATGCCGTATAGCTCGCGCAGCTGTTCCAACTCGTTGATCACCTCGCTAATGCGCATTTCCAGGGCTAATACCTTCTTTTCCTCCTCATCGGAGCGGTAGATGCACTCTGTGGTGGTTTCAATGCAGCGATTGCACATAGGCCTGCCGCCATTGCACTGCACTCGCGTTAATTTGCATGATTTCCTGAATAGAATCAACCACCAAGTTAAGCAAGGTCTTACTCGCGTCTTCTTCTTTCGACAGGATTCACAGGCCGCACGAGTTCCAATTCGGGAGATCTTAGCGAGGCCTGAATGCGAAGATTGAGACTGAGAGCCGGAGGCATCATCTGTTGAACTCGATGCTGGCGTAGTGTTGGGAAGCAGCGGCCGGTACCTACTCGACATAAGAAGCCTGGGCGGGGTTGTAGGCGCCCTGAGAGTTTCCACGTAACGAGAAAGATATTTAGAAGTGATCCTGATTTTGATTTCGCCCCGCAGAGTGAAGTAGCGTTGCCCCCTGAGGTGAAATCATGTTTTTCCAAAGAGAAAAGCAGAGTCTCTGTGACGCAAGTTTCTCCGCGTGGCTTCAGGTGCTCGACAAATGATTCACTTTGATTGGCCAGGTTGCAATATAAGGTCTCCCCGCTACCGGTGGAATTGCTCCGGGGTACATAATGAAGTCACCCTAGTAGTACTGTATATCACATTCCTAGTGATCTAGGCCTTCAGCACTTTGGCGAGTAGATTGCGGTCTAGAACCGCGCCATCACATCGAGAGCTGAACGAGCCAGTTCCGAGTGTAAAGACTGCCTTCATGGTAGAATGTAGTATTGAGCATTGGCAGCTTCCGCTCCAAAATAACATGCTTTGTATCAAGTCTAGGGTGGGGACCGCTAGGTACATGACTCTACCCCGGAAGCAGATGTTGCATCAGAATTAGGCCCTTCAACCAGCCTACAATCAATTTCTGGCTGGTCGAGGGGAAGTATCCACAAGTACCGCAGCTGCCTAAAAGACTGGGGCGCGAACCCGGGGGAGTGGAGACCGGCCGACAGTGCGAGTCAAGCGTACCTTGACCTTGCATAAGCCATTGAAGTACTTCAATTCACTGACTAATTGTTGCCTATTCTTTGTTCACAGTAGGAAAGAGTACGAGCCCTATACTGTGTGGTGATCTTGTCAAACAACAAGAGTTATTGCAGAAGAGGAAATTGTCAGTGCTCAATACTGTCCAATTTTCATATGGTGTCAACTTATGGATCCCGCCTTCTGCCAGCCAGGTCCTATGCATCCCACATTTTGATTTTCCCGAGCAATAAGCCCCTTAGCCCGGCAGGTGGGCAACAGCAGTCCCCGCAAAGACAGGTAGCATGGTGGCTACGGGCTGTACTTTCAAGCCCAAAGATGTGTGCGTATCACCCAGCCTGAACCAGCAGTGCTTAAGCTAAGAATACAAATAGTGCAGAGAGTCACATCCAGCTTATCATTCAGGAGCTGCGTGACATGGACCGCGGGTTGCGCAGCGCCGTCAAGCATCAGCAAATGGCTATGGAGGCGAGCTTGGTTGAATGGAGGCGCAGCGAGTTGTTAATAAATGCGAACAATAAGAAGCTGGTGGAGGAAACAGGGCCGAATAAGTAGACAGATAGATCTCGATCGCAGAGGGCCCTGGTGCTCTACTGGCCATCGATGGAACCTCATAGGATAGCGAATCGCCAGTCATCGCTGGTCATTCAGCCAATAAGACTCAACGGAGGATCCGAAAATATCGAGCCAATCATTGGGCTTGTACGTTGGGAAGCATTGATGTACTTTATGTATCAGGGCCACGTGAATCGCACTGGAGAACAGTACCTGGCAGCCTGGGGCGCAATCTATCTATCCATCATAATTACCTCCTCGTTTTACTTATTTGACGCGATCGAAAGATATCTTGTTCCTCGGCTATAACCATCCCCAGCCAGTATCTAACCCTCAGCAATGTCCAAAAGATACCGTCAGCTACTCCGTATCCCGGATACAGATGACGTAGCATCCAACTCGCACCCTTTTGGATCTTCTTCTACTTCTGGATCCTCGAGTAGCGAGCTATTGAAACGACAACGGATCGGAACACAACTAGCATGCAACGCATGTCGCAAAAGAAAGATTCGAGTAAGCTGCATTAATATCGACTTCATTATTATCTTTATCTCAACGTTGGTAACTAGTGCGACGGAAATAAGCCTCATTGTGAGGCTTGTCGACGACGAGGCGTACAAGAGCCATGTGTCTACGTCGAAAGCCACAGCCAAAGCCAGACGAGCAAAGAAACGGAGCAAATTCTTAACCTCTTCGACGTTATGAAGTCAGGACCCGAGAGCCAGGCCATCCACGTCCTACGAATTCTACGGTCACACCGACCTTGACACAGCCTTCTCAATAATCCAACCGAGAATAAGTCCAACACGACATATTTGTAGCCAAGAGCGGACTCGTGGGCCTACTCGACATTTAGGTTTAGAGTCCGAGCTCATGGCAAGGCATTCATTATCCTTCCCGCGGCTCCAACCCCTCGAGTCTAGTATCTTGAAGTCAGTTGAATCGCGCCGAGGCAAACCCCAGCATTCAGCCTTTCGTTGTCGAATTTCAACTTCCTTCTTTCAGTTTCAGCTGACGCCCTGTAGGGCAGTTCTCAGCACTGGCCGCATATCAGCCACCGACAGCCAGAACGCTGGCTCGCCGTTTGACTTCGAATCCAATCCATTTCAAACCCATCATCCTCGGCAATATCCAACACCGATCTTACGCCCTTGTGACGAGCGATTGGAGAAATTGAACATAAGTTTCTGGACTACCGTGCCTATTCCTTCCGATTTGGCTGCCAAGATTATATTGTTATACTTAGAGACAGATCACCCCCTGCTGGGTACCTTTGATCCGGATCTATTTGTGAATGACTTAATTAACTGTGAAACGAGGTTCTGCAGTCGATTTCTACTTAGTGCTGTCATGTATTGGGGTTGTGTAGGTCGCCTGAACTACTCATAGCAGCATCTGTCTCGCTGACACAAATACAACAGCAAATGTATAGTGCGCTCGATCCGACCGTCAAAGAGTATACGCCTCAGTTCAGTGACGAGACGGAAAAGCGTTGGGCAGAAGACAAGTCGAAGGATTCTCTTTTAACTCTCGCCGGAATACCGTTGCTAGGCTTGGCATATCTGGGTGATGGCAAAGATCATTATGCCTTGACGTATGTGTCAGAAGCAAACTCCATGGGAACACGTATGGGCTTTTTTGGAACCGAACACACTGTTGCAATGCCCAAGGTACGACAAGTAAACTCTGAACTACAAAGTGCAACATCCTATGCCGCCTGGGGCAGCTTCAATTGGGTAGTGTAAGTTGATACGCTGAGAGTAAGCGCCGAATATCCAGAGGCTTAACATCGTCAGGCTTATGGCTCTATTTTACCAACAGCCCGGCCTTTCATACCCTGAACACCCTCCCGTATGGCCCATACCGGGAAATGGCTGGCATGAAACCTCTGAAGGCAGCCCCGAGTCTATCCGCCAAACTTTGCAGTCGACCTACATGGGCGACACATTTCCAGTCCTTTGCCGATTCTGGCGAATAATCCACCAAGTGACTTTGCGATACTATCGCGATCAGCCTTATCCGCGCGAGGGCCTGAGCGATCATATCACACTTGCATTTGCCGAATACAAGTATCGCGAGCTCATAGCTTGGGCAGAAACGCTGCCACCGTCGATGGTGCGCTCAGAACAAAGTCCACATCATGTTCTGATCTTTCAGTATGTTGCAATTCTTTGTTCCTTTCTGAACGAAGTTCTTAAAAGACTTCTAACAGTACGACAGTATCTGGTTTCACGTAGCAATTCTTAGTATCTTGCACCCCTTCACGGTTCGAGCGAGGGACTCTTCGAGGTCTTTACGATTCAAGACATTCCCTTGTAAGAGGAGCTCGCCCGATGCGGCCTATAAAGCGTCTGTAAATCAACTCAAGCGCCTTATTGTGGTATACCGCAAGAATTATATGTCTTCGACTTATACGATGCTATGGCATACAGGCCTGATTCATGTGGCAAACGCTAATCTTGGCGACACAAAGGACCCTGCTTGGCGTTTCTATCTCTTTTTCTGCATTCAATGCTACGGACGTCTACGGCAGGCATACCGTTTTGCAGAAGCCATCGGCCGAAGTTTACTATCAATGGCACTGCAGCAAGGCGATTTACCAGCGAGCGAGGCGCGACACATAATGGAACAGTACGAGGAAAACCGGTTAATCAACCCACCATACGACATCCGGGCCACATTTATGGCGGACTTGAACCTTGCCATGACTAACCCTTCGGAGGCCAGCGTGGAAAGCCTGGCTGACAGGTTTGAGGACATAGCGATATTCCAAGAGTTTACGAATGCGGGGGGCTCAAGCGAGGACGAGCAGATAGAATCAGATGACAATTCTTGGGATACGCTGTGAAAATCTTTTGTGGTGGAGGCACGCGATGTGTTATGGTTGATCAGGTTGAAGCTTCTTGCAATAACTATTAGCTTAGGGTTGATCTCAATAGTCCTGAAGTGGCAGGTTATAGGACTATAGACCCAAGAGTATGGAGTTGGTTGCAACAACACTCAAAATAACCAATCAATACAGCCATTTGTGTGAGCAACAGCTATACTAGCCACTCTGAGCGATCTATCATTTGGTGACACTGACGTGGAATAGACAAAGTAGAGGGCGTATGACTTTATACCTTCTTAGCTGGCCCCGTGGGGAAGCAAGTCGTTGGTTGATAGGTGGGCACGACATGGGCCAAACTGGAAGATTTGCGACATCCGTTTATGTCATCAAGGATTGATATGTTTCTATAAGTATGCGATCAGAGTCGTGAACGGCTTGGAATAAGGGAGTGTACCTCTGGAGCACAAAGGCTCTGGTGATCGAAGATTCCGATGCTTCAACCGTATATCAAACTTCAAGCACTCTGGACAATCTGGGTGCTGAGGCTCTAGTAACCAGAGAGTCAAACAGCTGTTAGCTTCACAAACTGTCTATCACATATCTCGGAACAACTGGGGTGCTAAGGCTGCAGTGACCAAGCAAACCAACGCAGGCGTGGTAACAGAAGCTCTTTCCTATTTTTCACCCATGAACATGTTCTTGAGGTTTTAATGAGGCCACACTCTGTCAGCGGAAACATCTCGCACCAATGGCTCGAGTGGGAGTGTTGAGATCCGTAGTTTTACGGATCAATGGCTGTTCCGATCCATTGGTGGCTGGATGTGAATGTCCTCCTGTTAAATAGATTGTGCTGTTTCAGCGCTAGTCTTTTCTTCTTCAATCAATACAACATGCTCATTTCAACACGAATATCGAAGAGATTTTGATGCTAGCCATCTCCTGTGCAGCTGGTCCTCGCAGAAATTTCAGCATGTCTTGATAGATGTGGCTATTACTGGGAATCACAAGAACAAAATAGACATCAAGTCACCAACTTCATTGAATGCTTCATCTCAGAACCTCCCCTAAGACCAGTCGCAACCCTAATGCCCATTACGGATATATCATGCATCATCCTCAAGTTGCTAACGCTTGTATGTTCGTAAGTTTCAAGGTTCACCATTGTCCCATTTTACCAAGAAGGCAGTAGTACAGTGCACACCCTGAGGTGAGCATCCGGCCAAGCTATTTGGTACTGCAATATATATCGTTAATATGCTGTCCCTCGAGGCCGAAGTCAACTCACATCTTACAGGAGTCCGATCGTAACATCCCCTTTGACTCTAGCATAGACTTCAACCTAATTATCACATCAACCCAATTGTTACATCACCCTTAACTCGTGCATAAATCTCTACCTCGACTTCAAGATCCAGCTCAATTTTGATCTTCAGGCTGCTATCCTTCTCGCCCTCTTTCGCTGGTCGATCTTTGATCCGCGATTCACGAATTGGACCAATTCTTCTACCAGGATTTGTGCGCCGTAGTGCGCCGTCCTCAGTGACCTCTTCTGCCACGGCTGCATTCTGCATCGCAAGTTTGGTAGGTTTGCGGCCTCCTGTTGGGTTGGAAGGGGACTTGGTAAGAGGTAAGTCGCCTTCGGACTCTTCGGCGCTGTTCTCTTGCTGTTCTCTGTACATGCCATTAGTCTCGCGAAGGCAGTGCCGGGAGTTGAAGACCAAGAGTTGTTATGGAGACCTACGCTTGGGACATAGTGGATCGATGTTGATAAGATTTAAAATCAATAGAGCAATATGTATAGTAACAAGGAGGATGGATGGAAAGTTGTGGTATTTTATATGCATTGCGGTACCAGGGACCCTATCCATTTAACGGGCATAAGACTTCGTACAGGTCACGGCAGCGGGGTCGGCTCAATCAGAGCGCTCGTTAGTGACAATACCTTATCCTACACTATCTTCCGCGCAAAGAGCAAGCAGACTGGCAATAAGGCTATAACAGTGTCTTGCCCTAAAGCCCCGTAGGTGCTAAGCTGTTAGAGGCACAACACTGGGGCGGGGTATGGACCGAAGTCTTATGCCAATTGAAGGGATAACAAGACATGGGACCTATCTCTGTAACCTGTATTTAGGAAATATGCTTGTGATATGAACCTACGTATGACACCAAAACTACACGAACAGGCTTGCGATGTGACCTGCGAATGACACCAGAACTCTCCCCATAACCGGTTTATTTGAAAAATAGGCATTTGCTGTGCTGTAGGGAATGGGCATAATGTGTCATAGGATCGTATGTGAATGAAATACGTTTCACTGACGCGATCCCACGTAAAGCTTTTTTTCTTTCTTTTTCCTTTTTCCAACGAACTTCAATTTTAATTCTCCCTGGTCGTAGCAAATAGTAAATTCTGCGAGATAATTTTAAATTCAAGCACTAATCGAGGAATCATGGTCCTAGGAATTCTGACTGCCATAGCAGCTTGTCCTGCGATCATTGTTACTACTGAAGCGATTCGCCAAGGCCAGAGAAAGAATGCCAAAGAACAACACAGGGGCGTGAAATCGAACCTCATCGTTTCTTGCCGCAGTACCTCACCCGCGGGTAGGGACGTCGATGGGTGTGCCATAGTGTTGCGCAACAACAAGGTACGCATTCTGCGAAGCGATCTGGCAACGCAACAAACTGTCCCCTTGACCGCTAATGCAGTTGATAACCAGCTATACATTGCGGTGAACAAGACTGAGGGTCGAGTCAACTGTTCAGGTCATTTATTTGCAGGTTTTATTTCCTCCCCTATCCTGACCAAGACTGGGGTCGCAAGGGAGAGGGCCTGGTGTCTACAATCTACGATGAACCTCCACAGCTAAATTGGATATACGTGGATCAAGAAACTTATGAGGTGAAGTACGGCCCGCGAGTAGAGTCAGAACACCACCTTGCTGGGCCATGGGATTGCACTCGTATTGATAAGAGAATTACCTTGGAGGGCTGGGAGGGCTTCATGGCCGTGGAAGAAGATGAGGGGTCGTGGGCGCTCTATTTTGACCGAGATGACAATGGCTTGGCTGGCAAAAGATCTAAGGAAAGATTTTGGGAGTTGAGCTGACAAGGAAAGAGAAGAGAAAGGGTAAAGGTGAGCACGATTAAGTAGCCGCGGGGCCGGTGGGGCCAAATTTGGAGGCGGGCATCCTCGTCGGCTGGGGAAGTATTGGAAGTAGAAGAGGTAGATAGTGTGTCAGTTGTGTGCGAGGGTATGTAGACCCGCCCCTGCATCATGAAGGCCTTCAAGCTGCGTACACCGAAGTGGCAAGATATTGAAAACGCAAGACCAATAACTGCGCGAGTTGATCCGCATCGCTATTAACGGATGTATACGTGTGCTAGGTCTTATCCTGAAGGCTTGGTTTAGCTTCCTCATTTGGGGAGGAACATGGCGCGGCCACGGCACGAATAGCTTGATGACCCAGTTATATAAGTTGTCGACCGTATAGGCGTCGAGCTCATATTCCTATACCGCATGAAAGAAGAAGAGATATCGCTCCGTCAAACGAGGCGATTCCGGTCTTGTGGAAGGAGAGAGTAATTAGATCAATACGGTTATATAAATGATGAATGTGCCAATAAAATCCCAATGTACTGTACTTTAATAATAGATAACGGCCATATAAAGACATCTAGCTTTGGAAGGGTGTCGAATATGGCTGCTACTATAATGGACGTGGTTGTGCCACCTCTGCAGATCGTCCAAGACACCAAACCTAGTGACGCGGCCTTATGGAATTCTGGAGAACGGCTTATTGTATGCCGGTACCCAACTAACTCTAAGGTATTGCGATAGTGTTGTTTATGTTGCGGAGGGGTGCTTAGTGAAAATATTTATTTAACTTGATTGTTTATTATTGAGATGAGAGTTCTTCTCGGGTTTAAATCTCTAGATGATCTCGTCTGGGACTTTGTACTTTAAATCTAGGACTTTCAGACTAACAATCTGAATCCTGAAGGGAAGGGGAGTCCCCAGTTTTTCCAACAGATAGTCGTTCTCTAAACGAAACCAAAACAACTTGCGGCTAATCGTTCAGGCGAGCGCTATGAGCTTCAGAGCTACAGTGAAAAAAATAGCACCACTGGCATCGCTAGACCCACTCTTTAGCGCATTATGTACTTGAGCCGCTTGACGGAAAACGACTAAGGTAATGGAAGCAGACGCACCCCAAGATGGCGGCCATACCGAGCCATGATGTTCGCCGCCGCCGGCTTATCTGGCTTCATCCCTATTATCCACGGCGTCACCATCTACGGCTACAAGGGGCTCGATGACAGAGTCAGCGTTACCTGTATCGTCATCCATGGCGCCATGTATCTCTTCGGCGCAGTTCTCTATGTGATCGGGCATCCCAATCGTCTCCCATAGTGGTGGTGACTAACTGACTGACTGGGAATGTAGGCTCGATGGCCGGAGAGGAGTTTTCCAGGTGCATTCGGCATATGGGGCAGCTCCCATCAGATCTTCCACATGTTTGTCCTGCCCGCTGCGGCAACGCATTTTTATGGAATGGTGAGGGCGTTTGGCTACCATCACACGGTCTTGGGATCCCAGTGCTTGACCGAATAAATCGAGACCTTTTCGGTTGTGTACCGCTCTCTATGGACGTAAGGTCGTTTATCACTATTTTTCCGTTATACGGGCCATTCCCAAACCCAAGACCCAATATGCGCGCAAGACCACATCCCATCGCTACTGCTGCCCTGGACCCGGAAGCGCCGTCGTCATCGTTCACATCGCCTATACCGGACTGACTCTATGGCATGCGTCATCTGCTCCCCTTCTCAAGACATCATGAGTGCACCGTCACCCTACTCTTCTTGATGCAAACGCTTCTGCGCACCGCTATCAGGACACAAACAGCCTCTAGGAAATTTTAGCAAATAATACTCTAGACGAAGCAATAAAAGCGAACAATGACACTGGGCGACCATATGAAATAGGCCAGGTCTGCACGCAATCTCCGATGAAACGTAGCACCAACTCCGTTGTTTCGCCACCGAAGACTTCCAGCAATGTTCTAGAGTGAGTGTGATCCATGAGAGGAAGATTTGAAACCATATTGCGACTATAGTAATGGCTGAAAGACATTCCATTGTTGACTATGCAGCTGCATCGTTCTGATATGCAGAAACGATTGGGTTGGATCATATCCAAGTTGGAAGGGATTAATGTTATCGGTGACATCGCAAGAATTATAATCAGAAGCCACGAATTTCATAGTCCAGCTACAGGAACCTGGACTTTCTCACAATTTAGTGGCCAACCATGGCTCCCCACGAGCCGTTCCTTTTTCTCTGGCGCGGTGATGGCATCCGTTGGGCACACGGTGTTAGTGTGAAGCTCTTGCGGGGGGAAGAATCGGGCAAGCCGACCTCAGATTGCTGGATGGAGCCCTTCTCCAAGATCTGGCTTGATGACACCTAATGCCAAATTCGCTGATTAGTATCCCCCTAGATGCCGCATCATATGCGCCCCCGGCACCTTGCCTGCATTGCAATTCGGTTTAATATCGCCCGCGGAATTTCGTTCATTGTTGTTGCTATGCTAGGAGGTAAATGCAAGTGATCCACACTTTGTAATGCGACTTATGTTTTATTTAGGAGTACTAAGTAGTTTCGCCTTGAGCCATTCTCACTAGACTTGGGATGTGATCTTAGTTGTTTGCAGAAAACAATTCAGTGAGGAAGGGGTAAAATGTGTGGCAGAAATTTGATTTGATGTGTCTTGGTTTGGTAAGGGATGTCTCGCGTCAAGCAAAACCAGAAAGAAATGAAGGGGTCCAAAGCCATGGAGCTGAAAGGAGGAATGGCGGCTACCGGGGGGGGGGGGGGGGGGGGGCGCGTTGACGCAGTTTCTGGACCGGAGTGTCAGGGCCTTTCAGCTGTGCTACTATACGAATTCAAGGAACGATTAAGTCAGAAAAATTCACCTAAACAGCTAAGCTATGTCGCAACTACAAACCAGTACTGTCACATGCGATGTCTTTCCACCTGCTCCTTGGATGCCCGATAGAGACAGCCATAAGCGAGGACCCAGAACGTCGCGATTCCTGACCCAGACGCAACATTGATTACTGCTGGAAAGGTTGCGCCCCAGGGACGCGAGAAGATGTGAAGCGTTGATACCGCTATCGACAAAGACGTAGAGAACTTTGGTCTTCGTCACTTCGACAGGGATGAGACAGTCATGAGAATAAGGGACGAGTAGATCGTAACCAAGCGCCCGCGCCGTGTAATCATCAATATAGCATGCGCCGTAGGTAATGTCGCCCATAAGTCTCGGGATGCCCGGGCAGAGCTGGACGAGAATGTGGGAGAAGGTGCTAGCAAAGAGGAGTAGGCCTTCATGTAACTACAGTGCAGCTATCTGGGCACCTGAGGAACTGATACGATGGATCATCATGGGGATCCCAACGTTGTAGTTAGCCTGCAGAGGGCGATAGCGGCCTTGAGATTGGGATCTCCGAGGATCTCCTTGGGAGCTTGGTTCCAGAATCTGGGTGCTCTCGAGGTTTAGTAGCAATATTATCAAGAGATGTGGGCTACATGATCCTCACTCATACTTTGGACTCACAAACTCAAGAAAGAAACTGGTAGCCACGAAGCGGTAAGCAAAGCGTGAACAGCACCACTCTCACCCGGCCTCAGCCGCGGTTCGTCGACCCCTGAACGTCTTTTTTGGTTGCTTCAATGGCGCTCCTCTATTCTGTGTCGTTCGTGCCGTCTAAGTTTCGGCGGTGGGGGACGAAGTCGACTGAGCCAGCTAGGCCTCCCTAATATCGGCTATCGTGCCAAGGTCAGTCTGTCGCTGGTCCTCCTCCCTTCTCTTAATATGAAAATATAGAAGAGTAAGAAACAGACAATTCAAGTCATTTTCCCTCTTCCTTAACTTCTTTTCTTATACCAGTCTAGCTTGACTTCGGAATGAATAGTTCGACAGCAATATAAACCAGAATTTCTAGCACTGCACGGCCCGCTTTATGATCACTTGTTGTAGAAAATTTGATGAAATATCGGCCGAGGATTTGACTGAATGGAATTAACTCGGCTACCTATGTTCACACTCTCAGACCTTCTCTTGTGCGTTACAGTTTCCTCTAAGACGACTCCACGAGCATATAAACGATCCATTGAAAACAGGTTGCACTCTCTACGAGCCCTACTTCTGCCTTGCGTGCCCATTATACTATTCCCTATCAAAGTGTCAACAAATTGGCTCCTCAGCTGTCAATTAAGTTTTCCTTGTTCTGCTGCTGACCCCAGGGCCCAGTCTCCCCCCGATCCCTGGCATTGGCCTTCGCATCCTTAGCGGCTCGCTGGTAGAACTCATTGAGGATCTTGGCGGGAATACGGTTGAGCAACTCCTTGGGGTAGATTCGGAGGAGGGCCCATGCGAGATCAAGAGACTCGTAGATGGTTCGCGATTCGTACTGGCCCTGGCTAATGAACTGGCGCTCAAACTTCTCCAAGAACTCCAGAGATAGCTTATCCTCAGCCGACAGAGCCTCCTCGCCGACAACAGCCTTCATGGCCGCTGCATCACGACCGATAGCATACTTGGCATACAGCTGGTTCGACACATCACCGTGGTCCTTGCGGGTCATGCCGTCACCAATGGCAGACTTCATCAGACGGGACAGCGAAGGCAGCACGTTAATGGGAGGGTAGATACCGCGGTTGTCCAGAGCTCGGTCAACAAACACTTGACCCTCAGTAATGTAGCCAGTCAAATCAGGAATTGGGTGAGTGATATCGTCATTGGGCATGGTCAGAATGGGGATCTGGGTGATGGATCCGTTGCGGCCCTTGACACGCCCGGCTCGTTCGTAGATGGTGGACAAGTCAGTATACATGTAGCCGGGGTAACCGCGTCGACCGGGTACTTCTTCTCGAGCGGCTGACACTTCTCGAAGGGCATCGCAGTAGGCAGAGAGGTCTGTGAGAATGACCAAGACGTGCTTCTCGAGCTGGTAGGCGTAGTATTCGGCAGTGGTGAGGGCGAGACGGGGAGTAATGATACGCTCAATACTAAGCGGGGTCAGTCTAGTCTCAATTGAATGATATCATGACGGCTGCGCTTACGTAGGGTCATTCGCGAGGTTTAGGAAGAGAGTAACACGCTCCAAGCTGCCGTTCTCCTCGAAATCGCGAGTGAAAAAACGCGCAGTCTCGTAGTTCACACCCATGGCGCCAAAGACAATGGAAAAGTTCTCCTTGTGACCGTCGTGGACGCCCTTGTTGGTAACACCCTGCTTCTGGATCAGACCAGCCTGACGGCAAATCTGAGCGGCGATTTCGTTATGAGGCAGACCAGAGGCGGAGAAGATGGGGATCTTTTGTCCTCTGGCAATCGAGTTCATGGTGTCGATGGCAGAGATACCGGTCGAGATCATCTCTTCGGGGTATTCCTAGGGTTGTTAGTCAAAGTTTGAACACCAGAGTGCCTGCAGGAAGCCTTACACGAGAGTAGGGATTGATGGGGCTGCCGTTGATGTCGAGGTAGTCCTCGGCCAGCACCTTGGGACCCTTGTCGATAGCTCGTCCAGACCCATCAAAGATACGACCAAGCATGTCCTCAGACACACCGAGCTTCAAGCTCTGGCCGGTGAACTCGACTTTAGTCTATTACGTCTCAGTCCAAATTTCTTATTATGGCACTCATTGTTGCCTACCTTTCTGACATCGATGCCGGAAGTGCCTTCGAAGACCTGTTACACTTATTAATTGCCTTGTTGAAATATATCGCGTTTCGAGGAAGAACCTGAACGACCGCTCGGTCACCTGTTCATCACTGTGAGCCTGTGCCGCGTCATTACCTCCAGGATTTGTTTAATAACCGCACGAACCTCGAGCTTCCAGGACCTGACCCGATCGCTCCGTGCCATCGGGAAGAGTGAGCGTCACGATCTCGTTGTATCGCGGAAATTTGACCTAGTGTTGTCAGCTGGTAAGACATAAGCTAAGCGGATCCTTGAATGCCGACGTACGTTCTCGAGGATGACGAGGGGGCCGTTGACGCCACCGACGGTGTTGTAGCGAATCCTCGGGATGACCGAGTACGACGACGATTCGCGTGGGTCTACCATAATAAGCGCTAGAGCAGAATGAGAGGTAGATGAGGAGGGAGAAGCCGATCCAGAAGATGGAAGATGAAGTTAGGAAACGGGGAGGACGCCTCAAGGTGAGCTAAGGTTGGAGGAGGTTGAGTTAGCTTCACCAAAGTGGAGCACCTTGCGCCAGCTCGAAGACGCACGACCAATAAACTCACAGGGAAGCTGGTACTAAGTCTTCTTTCTCTAGGGTTGCCGAATAAAGCTACTTGTGGTTGTAGCTATCTACTCTTCCCATTTGATCGGAGAATTGTGGAGGTCAGCTGGGCAGATACTGTGCGATGCACAAAATACCATCTCGGTCTTCGGATGAAGGTCGAGGTATAACGGCAAATTAAAAGGGCAGCAGCTTCCCTTGTCAGTTATATGAAACTCAACGGTGCCTGGCCGGACCGGGTGAGGGCGGTATCAACCAAAGGTTTGACGGATTTTCACGGTGGAAATGATGAGAAAGGAGGATTGGCGGGTTTATGCGAAGAGGGAGAGGGTGCGGGGACATATCCCTTCGACTCCAGTAAGCCTTTAGTTAGTCACAGAACCAGCACGCACCTCAGTAACCCCATCTTCCCCTTTTGTTGTCCCTCCCCTTTTTATTATTTTATATTTAGAAACGACTTATCGCTACGTAGCTACTATCCAGAGTCGGATTCGAGTGACTGAGCCACATCCGTAGTAAAAACATATGTTTTAGCGATTGCTAAGATTTACAAGATGCCAAGGACGCGGTCGGAGAACCCCGCCGCTCGGAAGCGCGTCGACGAGATGGCTCGAACCAATGACACTTATGTTTCGGGCACCACCTGGTCGGCGACAAACCTTAAGCCTAGGCTTACGGAGCCTCCGTAACGCCTTCATTGGCCAACGCTGTGGTCGAGACCATTTTTTTGTGTGGGGGGGTGAGTTCAAACTTCACAGGGTCGACTTCCTGAATGCAAAGCCGGAACGCGGTGGCGTTGGAAGACCTAGTTCATTCCTCAAGTTGAAAAGTATGCGAGACCATCTCTCAAAATCGAAAGATGGACTAGACAGATCTACGGTTTGGTCGAAGATGCCCAGTTTCGACAAGATAGCGTCCTGGGGTCTCTCGAGGCCCTCGTTTGGCTGTGTTTCGGAAATTGCATCAACGGTGTCGCTAACTCTAGGACGAAGACTCTCTACAGGATTTCGGGAAGTCGATGTACAATAGGAACCCGCCTGGCCAAGCTCACTCAGGTTCTCATCCTCGCAATGTGTTACGGCAGAGGACGAAGTGTTTTAAGACTGATCCATGTTGGCTTAGTTTTTTTCACTGTGCTACCATCACCCTGAACAAAACCAGCGCAGAGTGTCCAGTAAACTTTTGGCTCAGGGAAAAGAGTTAAATCAATTGGAAGCAGTGGCATGTCAACTTGCTGGGGGAAATTTACTGTGAGTAATGAGAATGCCATGCCTTTAATGTAATATGTAGTATTTGGCAGTACTCCAATCAGGCATACATATCTTGAACATACTCCCGAGACTGGGGGTTTCGGGTAAGCACCTCGCCATCAAATCTTAACCCAGCTCCTCCCCTACCCCCGGAAAGGGAGGCCATATTTGTTGTCATCCCTCAGTGTCGCCATTATTTGCCTGGCAGGACTGGCTCGACAGACTGATACGCACATGCGAATCGGCAAGGCGATACGACAACCTTAGCATGTATTAAAAGTTATTTACAAATCATGGATGTGAGCGCTGCTTGAGCATTCTGAGAACACCCCGTCACGGTGTACGACCACCATATTAACGCCTCTCTCCAAGCAACTTTCATCACGGATATGCGCAGCGCGAACCTTGCAGCAGCCACATCGTAAGGATGATGCATTATCTGTATAGCCCGGCAGCCCTACAAGAAACATCATTAGCGTGAACCTCAATTCTGCATGCCATGTACTACTTGGTGGTGCGGCTGGGCTGCGATTGGACCCTTTGAATTCAGTGGTGCCGTCCGCTTTCGCAAGGTATGATTTCCAGACTCAGTTATCCACTTTCTTAAACTAGAAAGTCTAATTTCGGACCGCTGTCTGACTCCGTATCTAACGAAGCTTGAATATTAGGTGTTTTTTTTTGGGGGGGGGGGGGGGGGGAGGAGGAGGGGGGTTTTTTTTTTGTACAAAAGGAATTAACTCATAATCGCACTCTTCGGCCTGTCGAAACCCATGGTTCCGTAGTATGAAATTTGCCTCGCCTTCTTCATTATCCTCGTCAAAAAAAGGTGTGCTCAATCAACCCAGCATCTAGTGAATCACTGTGATAAGATGAGTTGTCGTTATAAAGCCCATATTTACATCGTAATGAATGGGGGAAAAAACCTGACACTTTGACTAACTATATCTTTGCTACGGGTCCTTCATTCTCTACTTTACTCGCTGGGATTATTCGCATACCCGAGGCTTTGCATACGCCATGGACGGAACCAGCTACTCAAATTCAACAAAGGCAAACGGGTCCGATTCCAGGCTATCGCTTTCGTCCATGCTGGGCGTGATTGCTGCGGTCTTAGTGGCCGTGGTGGCCCTAATGGCCCTTGGCCCGTCAGTGTTTTTTTTTTCCCTAGCTGCTTCTATCTCTACACTGACAATCTAGATGCATATTAACCCGGAGAAGACAACACCTAGGAGCACAAATAGATATTGAGAGTCGGGAAGACGTCCCGAACGGTACAATTAGTCTCCAAAATCTCGAAACCACAAGTCCAGCCCAAAACTACGAATTTCCCCAGGCGTCCAAATCGCAGTCATCCTTGGCTTCGCACACATCAAATTCATTAGAACTCTGGTACATTCTTGATTTTTTCTGTTTTTACTTTTTACTGCTAACTACTTAAATTATTTAGTGCAATATGTCTCGAAATTTTTGAGGATTTGGATACCGTTCGACGTTTGAAATGCGAACATGTCTATCATCGGCAATGCATTGACCCTTGGTTTCAACGGCAGCACTTCAATTGTCCATTGTGTAAGTCAGTATATGTGGCACGGCCGGAACGTAGTCCGGAAGTTCAACAAGCTGAAGTTAACGGGAGGCGTGACTCTGAGGTTACGGGTTCCCAGCTCCAACATGTTGATAGGCTATTCAGTCCAGTTCATGTACTGGCGCCAGTTTGAATTTGGACCTATCCTATATACTATGCAGCCGTATGGCATTTTGTAAGACCTTCTGGTCCCTACCGCGTTAAACATATCACTGATTACATTCGCGAGGATTTCCCCCGTGACTTAGTCATGCAGAAGAAATGGCTAACCCACTGCTCGTCGACTGCGACGCGTGACGCGTCGGCAAGCACTGGGCTTCCAATTTCGTTAAGCGAAAACCAGTGCTCGTGATACGTTTTAATCGTGAATACGATTATCAAAGAGCTACATGCGAAGGTCCCGCCTCTATTCGTGACAGGTTCGCGCTCTTAGAGAATACCATCAGGAAATATGGTATCACCGTAGTTGATATCTACAATTTCGACGAGACTGGATTTCTAATTGGCGTTATTGCAAGCGGTATGGTCGTCACGAGAGCAACAAGGTATGGAAAACCAAAATTAACCCGGTCTGGAAACCGGCAATGGGCTACAGTCATCCAAGGGATCAATGCCGAAGCGTGTCGACCCGGCTCACTATAATGCATATAGAACGATGACGTGCATGATAAGCGAGTTAGCCCACGGGTAATCGAACCATATAGGCGGGGGGGTTCAGGGTTCTGTTACATACCGAGTCGTTGGATCCGAGGCGAACAAGCAGGTGACGTTTCTGTGGAACGTACCCTATGTCGGGCCAAACAAATTCGACTGCTCTTGCGCGATAGACGTTTTCACCGTCAAAGTCTTGGGTGGGCGGGGAAATCAAGCTGTTGTCGTCTTCGTATTCGGTAAGTTGACCGCTAATGGTAATAGCCTTCTATCTGAGAGTCTGACAGCTCCAATAGAACTAGCTCTAAGGGCAGATCCAAGGTTGGATGATGGTGTGTTCGCAGCTGTCCCCAAGTATCCCTAGTGTGTTAAGGCTCCAGTAGGTGGCTTACCCTACAGTTAGATGAGCATAAGATTCAGCTACGTATGCACGATAGCACCCTCACTGCTGCACACCTTCCTTTGTCATCTTACTTTCTTGGCATGCAGATGTTAAGAAAGTAGCCCTAATTACACCAATCTTCTTAACAAGTGCACTACAACACCCACAATCCTGCGCTTCGCGCAGCCCACGGCGGCGGCGATGGCATCCGCCACCTCCTACCCGCCTATTGTCCCGGACCCTTTTGACCTGGGAATCCATACTCCTGCCAATCTCAATCGAGGAGCTAGCACTGCCCTCTTACAAAACAGCCCCGCTGTCGTGAATGGACCTGTTGGGGTCCCGCCCGCCAACGGGAGAACGGCTCAAACGCCGTCTTCGCCTCTCAATGCAATCTCTACTGCTGCGGCTACGGAAGGAGCCCAGATCGCCCATCCTGACTTCTCCCCTGACCCTACCTCGACTGCTGTACAGCAACCAGTCTCCATTTTTGAAGCAGCCACGAACCTCGCACGCGACCATGTGGAGGAGTACAATGCCAAGTTGAAGGTGTTTCAGGCCTTATGCGCTAAATTTGAAGAAGCAGCGAAACAATTCACCATTGGGCCCGAGCGGGAATTCGCCTAAAAGTTTGCCGATAGCTTCCTGGACTCCTGGAATCAGGCGCTTACCGACGCCAAATCTGCTCCGGCGCCTACCTACAGTATCGTCGCGGCCTCGCCTCCGGCTGCAAACAACGCCCTTGCCCACCAACCCCTACACCATCAACAACAACGTCAACAACAACAACAGCCCCCTCATCGCCAGGGACAACCGGCTGCAGGCGCCCCACCCCGAGAGGATCTCCGCGTCTTCATCCGGCTGGACGCCGAATCCTCGGCCAGGACCCATAAGGACTATGCAATCCGGACCCATATATCCCGGAAACTCGAAGTGGATCCACGAAAGATCCCGCGGGTTCTCCAAGTCAGGTCCGGATGGGCCGTCCTTACCGCCGACATAACCACTCGCGACCTCCTTGTGCAGAGACAGACTGAACGGGCAACCGACTTAGGAGCCGCCGCCATAGAGACTAGACAGGAATGGTTTATCTACCTAGTCTCAGATTACCCCTGCAAGCTGACCGACCTCTATGGCAACGAAGCGGATAGCGACGCAGCCGTGGACGAAGAAGTAGAAATCCAGACAAGGCAGAAACCCGTCAACATACGGCCCGTGCGGCACCAACCTGACAACCCCTTACTAACGATAGGCATCGACCCGTCGTCCACGAATATTCAGATCTCAGTATCATCCCATCGTTCTACCTCAACTCGGCGGATCCATACGGTCTGAATCCTTCTCGTGGCCATAATGTCCTGCAATATACCACCTTCGGCCACTACCATATCCACTCTTCGTCCGGGTGAAACCACGCCGCGATCTTCCAGACCAATTACTATTATAGGAACAACTCTAGCTGCGCTGAGTGCGTCAATATTCGAGAGGCCTATGTAAACAAGCAGCTCTAACTGCTCGTGAGTACTCTCACTAATTAATATAGACATATTCGATATCTGATTTACTTCTATCCTGGTATAGATACGAACTCGATATATCTGACCCCGTCTATAGGTACCAGGGTTATAATATCAAACCCCGCTTGTAAAGCACGAGAATAGCCGATCTTTGGAAAGGCGTGTGCGACCGCTAACTTCCCGTATCGATAGGCTGCATATATAAAAGCAACGAGTATTGAGCCATTAAGCCCTGACAGGTCGATAAGCATCTTGATATAGTCGGACTTACTCAGACTACTGATGCAGGCTGTGACGGAATCGAACCACTCTAATCTCGCACCGCAGATGAATCTACGCCCTTTGTGCTGTCTGCGCAGTTGCGGTGGGGCTTGACGCTAGGTATGAAGGTAACCCGACTTCTGTATTAGACTCAGCTTGCATGGTCCGAATCTCAGCCTTCGTGCGGCTCATGTCGAGGACGGTGCCGATGCCTTACGAGGCAAAAACAGGCAGATCCCTACCAGCTGCTGCAGTGTCAATATTCGCGTCGATGGAGTCCGAGAGCAGCATACAGCATATCCCATCGGTTACGGTGTTGACGCTGGTGAGATCGCTGGCCTTGGCCTCGGTGCTGATGATGTCGCCAGGGCTGGCATGCAAACTGATATTGGCCAAAGCGTTGATCCTGTCACTATTGATGATGGAAACGTTAGAGATGGCGTGAATAATCATTCTTGATCAGCACCTATGCTTCTTATAATGCGCGTTTGGTGTCCTCAGAGTTAAGGGAGAAAGGAGCGCGGTAGGTTCTATGTCGGTCTGTAGAATCTTGAGTTGCGAGACACATCTGGCGGAAGAAATGAGCCGAATCTGTATCCGGTCAAGTGTGCCGATTTGTTCGTCATTGACTTGGCCGGTAGGGCAGAGACACGGCTCATGATGGCGGCTTAATGATGCCTTCTCGGGCGGTGCCACCTCGCAAGTTCATCAGATGAGCCAAGATGTCAATCACCCGAAAGACATAAGCCAGTAATATTATGCGCACCAGTGGAGAACGTATTCCCTTTTTACGGGCAATCGGACCCGTCGTCGGTGCTTTGTTGCTTATAGGGATGTAGACATTTCGCGGCCCAATTCCCATTAACGTGCATGATAAGCGAGTGGAGGCGATCCAGCCGTTTATCATAGGCGCGGGCTAATATCAGCTCGCCAACTGGTACCGAGAAAGCAACCTTCCGGGCGATTGGGCTATCGCAACATCTCCCAATGGCTGGACCGATAACGAGATGGGTCTTGAGTGGCTAAAGCACTTCGATCGGTGCATAACCAAACGATCATATAGTCGCTATCGTCTTCTGATCCTCGATGGTCACGAAAGTCACGACTCCGTCGACTTTGAGGCGTATTGCAAGAGAAATAAGAATATCGCACTTTATATGCCGCCTCATTCGTCTCATCTACTTCAGCCTCTTGATGTCGGGTGCTTCAGGCTGCTTAAGAAGGATTATGGTCGAGAACTCGAGCATCTGATCCGATGCTTTATAACCCACGTTTCCAAGATCGAGTTCTTTCCCGCTTTTTATGCCGCATTTCAGGCGGCCATAACAGAATGCAATATCAGGGCAGCTTTCAGAGGAGCCGGTCTTGTTTCTCTTGACCCGGAAAGTGTAGTCTCAAAGCTTGATGTGCAGCTACGGACTCCAACGCCGGTTGAGGAGGAGGCTAGCCACTTTACCCCTTGTGTTTCAAAGGCGCCAAAGACCATATCATATTTAAGGCCGGGTCTCAGTCAGAATATCTCGAAAGACAAATCAGAAGGCATCAAAGCAGCTCTCCAGAGTTAACTTTAGAAGCATTAAAGTCTCTTTCTAAGGGAATAAAGGCAATAATGCATGAGGATGCCTTGTTAGGGTTAAGGTCTAAGGTCTTCGACAAGCGAATGAGATGCTAAGCCGGCGGCAGAGAACAAGAAGGACCCGGCTATAAAAGAGAGGGGTGATGACAGTAGAGTAAGATAGGCGAGTAATTGATCAGATGGGTGTTGATTCGTAAGGGGTGGCCGAATCGTCGAGAAGTGGTGGTTAAGGAAGGTCGGTACGAGCGAAGGAAAGGTTTTGTGGAGCATGGAGCAAGACTGGCATTACACAAGAATATGCTAGATAGTGGTTGCGATGTCTGGGGAAGAATATAGTGAGTTATTTTAATTGATTAGACGGTTTGTTGTGTTTTTATGGCGATTCCTATATTAAGGGCTGAGACTTTTTGTCCACTCACTTGTCTGGTCCACTCGCTTATCATGCACTTTTGGCTATTACACAATACCCGGTTCTGGACTCATACTCCCCTTTTCGAAGAACCGGAAGGTACCTAGACTGGCCGAAGGCTTACCGCTGCTCCCCGTCTGGGGCTTAAGGGGATACATGGCCCCTGGGTCACTACAAGACAGGTCACCATGGTGCTTACTCACGGCAGTGGTCCGAGACAGAGCCAAGAGCGCCAGTAGGGCTTGATGTAGCTCTCTAGACTCGGGTATGGAAGCAACCAGGCACTAGAGCCAATGACCCTGAGCCAATTTGTTCTTCAATATCTATGTATAGGACAGATGCTCCTCCACAGCTTGTATCCCCAAGCTTACGCAGCCATTCTTCCTGCATGGTCTCCTCCATGTTGTAGACTTCTAGTAGTGTTAAAATTAAGGTCACGGCCGCGGTCATAGTCATCAAACTCTGATCGAAAGGACTACTCGGTAGCATTATGTTGCAGCGAGGATCAGCAAGATCATGAGGATCAACAGCTTCGTCAGCTACGCCTGTTCAACTCTGATCTTGACACAGTTTTCGGCCACAGCCAGGGCCCTGGTCAGGGATACAATCCAGCCTTGGCAGCGTAACCTGTGACACCGGCCCGCCAAACTCCTTAAGTCGATAGAGTAAGTTGATGTTTTATTGTCCAAACTGGTAATGTCGGGAAAACCACGGGTCATATCAGACGGACCGTGATTCTCCGAGCAGCATCTCCCCTGTCTAAAGCTAAGGCTATCTATAAAAGCAGCTCGCTTCAGCCAACAACCTAGAAAATACAAGGCTCATTGAAAACCTCATTCTATGCTCAATTTGGTGCACTCTAGCTGGTCGTCACATGTTGTGATGATGGAAGGAGGAATTGAGTGTCAGCACTAGTGCGTGGAAAGAGGGGCCGTGACAATATGCTACAAAGAGGCACTCATCAGCAGAGCAGGTTAAATCCCCAATCTTCCGTCCTGTATCAAATATATCAAGTATTATTTCAAATCCAGTATTTTGCATTTATTTGATTGATTTGTTTGGCAGTTTGTTTGATTGGATTGGATTTATGGGCAGCGCTGCATCCTGGATCTGCGGCTGACGCAAACGGTGCAACCATTTCCTCACTACGCATCATGGCCAATCAGCCCAAATCAAGCTCGGAAAGCACGCAACGACCGAGTTCTCACCAAGCAGCAGTCAGTTATCAATCGTTATCAGTAAAACATGTGACCAAGTTATATCTGGCATACCAAATCCTGTGGCATGGCAGTCCGAATTCAGTACTATGCGACTCGACGCGCCCGACGCGTGGTGCGCACTTGGTGAATCTTCCAACGTGCCGCCTAAGATATGTTAGCGGGTATAGTCGTAGCTCTGTGTTCATCTATGGAAAACGAAGTATCTTTCTGTTGAGATCCATGGTTTAACGGATCAATGGCTATTCCGATCCATTGGTGGCTGGGATGAAGATGTCTTGTCAATAGCTTCCGCTAGTTAGCGCTAGTTTTTTCTTTTTAATTAATACAACACAATATGCTCATTTCAACAGCAAGCACCACTAAATTTCCCATACAAATTTAATCGTCGGCTGCCAGCCGACGCAAACAATAACTGCCAGGGTTGTAGGCGACTGATATAGATAGATAGAGTTCATTACGCCCGGGAGAACGAATCTCATAGTGCCAGTAGGTACGCTAAGCCATTTACGATTCCTCCACATTGATCCGGTCTACGCAAAGAGAAAGCCCCAATTCTCTTCAAGTCTTTTCCGTTCTAGCCTCGCTTGGTTTTGTGTGACAGGCCTGCTTGAAGGCCAATTTTTCCAAGTGTCCAGCATCCTATCTTCAGCAGCTGAAGCATGGTCTGTCAACTTGAGGCTGTTTGGTGTTAGTATCGCCAGGTATGGCCGCTAAATGTTGTGGGTCAGTAAGTGATCCAGGCTGGTTTGCATCAAGTCTCTTCGTATCCATGGGCCTGTAATGAGATGAGATGGGCTCTGGGGTATAATATGGATCAAGTGGCGAACAACCTGATAGCTAATTCAAGTCAGGAGTCTGTAATGTTCGTGTCTGGGAGGTTATTTGCGTCATGCGTCCTGAGCAAGCCGGAGCTGATATCCCCACCTGTCATGGTTCTGTTGGTTCCATCGGGTTGCAGTTGGGGGCGCTGTTACTGGGCAATTCGGCTTTGGCAGCGCCCATGTTACTTGCGGTTGGATCGGCTCTGGCTCCGTTCGAGGACTTTTCCAAGGAGGGGAGACATTAGTTTCGCAATTGCTGCTCATATTTGGAGCTGCTCAGGAATTTCGGCACCGAGTCCTGTTTCCTGTTAGGGTTTGGTCGGCGACCCTGAGAACGGGTATGTTAGGGCTTAGGGGTGAGCGTTGAGCCGAACTTACACTGGCCATCAATTTCAGCACGGCAGTTTGGGCGTCCTCAAATAGCGGCATCGCTTCTTGAAGAGGGTAAATCATGGCAATATCCTGGTCGACAACCTTGGTCATCAAAGTGGCGAGGCTGTTCCGCAGCTGGTGATCGATGTTGAGTTCGCAAGGCGAGCCAGGAGCAAGATAAGCATTATAGATGCCGTACACCTGAGCCATGATCTCCTTGATGCCGTCCATCGCGTTCAAGTTGCGCGCCTTCTGGGCAGCGCGCGTGGCCGCCTTACATCTCGGTAAAAACTCGTGTACATCTTGGTAGAAAGACAGATTCTCCTCACAATGCGTATCCCGGAGTTGCTCGCGGAAGAGAAGTCGCACGGCAGGGTTGTTTAGGATCTCGTTAAGTCGCTGAGTGCTGGAATCCACATTGATGCCGTTCCGCTGAGAAATAGCACCACCCTCGCGTTCCGACACCCGCCCACGTAGTCCTGAGCCATTGATAAGGTCCCTTCCTCCCTGTATCAATTGGTAGATGGCATACTCGGTGGGCTGGAAGATATTGCATCCGGGGTTCTGGGACATGTAAGTCCAGTCCTGGGCAACGGGCTCCACCAGTTCATACTCGACGAAGAGAGCGGCAACCTCAACGGTTTCCCGCTTGTCCATAACGGTAGAATAATCCATCAACCAGTCCGTTGTAGCTTTGCCGGTGAAAGTATTCCTGTATTTCTTTCCGTTGACCATGAGCTCGGCAGCCATCTTTACACCACCAAGACCATCCCGGTAGTCCTGCAACAAGTCTGAATCAGCCAGTTTCACACTAGACTTAAAGTTAGGACCGCCAGCAGAGACGAACCGACGGAAGATAACATCGATGGTGTCTTGGTCATGGATAAGCTTGTCAGTTTGTGGGTCTCGTTCGATGTGGAGAAGCTGGATGACTCCAAGATCAGCAAGTTCCGACACCTGCTTCTCATAAATGCCATTTCTCGCGCAGAAATAATCCAACACGGCGATTCCCTTGGTTGTTAGCAGCCAGACGGATCCTTTCATAGTATACACCTGCTGGTACTTACCACCAGCTAATTCGATGAGCCGGGCCTCGACGAAGCGCTGGCAGGTGGAGCGAGCCACATCCTTGGCCATGGAGAACGTGCTAGTAATTGTAGTGGTGATAATGCTAGAAGGATTATTAGGGTCACGTATGCGGTTGGCCTGGGAGAATTTGAGAGAGCTCAAGTTGTTGATGGCATCTTCAGACAGAAAAGTATACTCGATCTTGGTCAACCGGACGCGGTAAGCCGAGAGCGGAAGCAGACTGACGATAAGAGTGGAGAACAGATCCTCAAAGTCCTATTATGTTACTAAATCAGCTAAAGGTCAATGTTATAGCAAAGAACGAGGTTTTAGGAAGCAGAGGAGCAGTGGCGGCCATCGCAAGTGACTCGACGCAGGCCGCACTCCCGCCCACCAGAGAAAAGTGTTAGATAGGCGTGCAGACAGACGTCAGGAGCCATGGTACATACCTTGGTGAAGGGGCGGTCATCGTCCGCCATGCGCAGCAAGCCCGACGATGTCTGATGCATCTTGTTTGTGGAGGGAGATTAGACGGGAGACAGATAGTTCAGATCGTGTGTAAGGTTGGGAAGGCGGATAGTCCGCCAGCACCACCTTAGAAACGAGCTTGCCGCCTAGGTTAGGACTAGACAAGAGAGGCTGGCTCGATGCACTTCTTAAGCGGTGGTATTTGCCTTGGGTTCGAGGCGAGGACCTGCCAAGCAGTGAAGATCTCGAGTGGGCACCGTTGGACTGGCGAGGTGGAATAGCAGTAGGCTCCGGGATGGCAGCGATGACGTTTTGGGTACGATCAAGGGCAGCCGTGGCCAAAGCGAGGATGCCACTCCACAAGCGCTGGTTGAATATTGAGGCGGAGACGGTATGACAGCGACTGAAAGAATAAGTGGTAATGTGATCAGGAGCGAGCGGCGCCACGACGACGCCTGAAGGAATAACTGTCGACTGTTCTGAGAAAGAGGAGCAGGGGAGTAACAGAGGTTTATTTGTCAAGGGTTATATGAGGACTAGTAAACAGGTGGCCGTAAAGAATTCGAAAGAGTGGGCGTCTAAAAGGAACGAGGAAAGGATTGGGAGGGAAAGTTTGCGCTGGCGACGGCAACGGCATTGTTCATAGGGAGATACACGCGCAAGTGTGGCGCAATGTCACAATCAATATAGAGCGTTATCACTACCTGCATGTCACATTGCTAAATTCAGGCAAAATTGTAAATGTTGCACGGGGTTATCCTTCCGGATATTCAATGTCAAACTCGAGTGCCGGCCAGAGAGCACTATTAAAATCCGTGAAAAGTCCACCACCGCAGATAGGCAAGTGAAAAATAGACCAGACGATATTCCAAAGTATTATTATCACGCCCAATAATACAAAGAATATCTTAATATATATTTGCGCCTTGCATCCCATTTTCTTCATCATTTTTCATAGTCAATCCAGTTCCAGACCAAAGCCCGCTAAAAATGGTGCTTATGAAATACCGGTTACACCCTTGTCGGTGGCTTACAACAGCGATTAATGTCGTAACGTTTAAACGCGGACCGTATGCTCGTCGCTTTGGTCGAGCCAAGATGATGGAGAATAAAACACAGACGCTGACCCCACTTTACACTCCCAACCCTGAGCTTTACGAGGGGCGCGTGTCTGTCTCAGGCTTTAGAGCAAAGTCATCTCTCAGTCATTAGTATCGGTTATATGACAAGACACGATGGAACATGCAGACCATTTCACGATGATAACAGGAACGCGGCGACGGCAAAGTGCAGCGGCAATGGGGGTCGAAGAAAATAAGAACTTGTTGGTTATTATGGTGGTGGCTTGATGCTTCACGCCTCGCTAAAATATAACCCCCTTCTCCATACTGTGATTGGACAGGAGTCCTCGGAGCGAATCTGGTCGTTATGATTGGCCACTGAAAACTGGAAAGCAAGATGAGGCGTGAGCTATGACTCGCGATGACGCGCCGCGTCTTAACTCAATCTGCGTCGCACCAGGAATATGAGGAAGAGAATGAGATGAGTTTGTCTGGGCAGCTACGTTTAAGGACTAAGTTGATTCCCGTGGACTGATAGCCTGGAACCTTTGAATGGCGTATTGACGTGTACGACTTAAGAACAACCCAAGACGAGCATCATACTAATCTCGACCTTTCTCACGTATGGCTCGACCACTCTCGACTCCCTGCTTTGACTGTGACTTTCTCATCCATTCTCCCCAATCTCTGCTAGATAGCATCCATCCACCCGCCCAACATATATCCTCCATAGGGACAAGACTCTCCCAGCTCTATGGCGGCCGTGGGAATCTTTCCCACTCCATAGCCTATCCGTTATCATAGTCCGACCTTTGGACTTAAAGACTTGTCTGGATTCTCGGGCGAAGGGTGTCGCTGGGGAGCTAGCTGGCGTTGGCAATCTCCTCTTTATCTTTAGTCTGACATGATCAAGTGGGGCCTTACCCTTGGCCGGCCTCGGTGCTCGCTGATGCACATCGTCGCGTGAATTGCTCGAAGTCGCCCTTCTTCATACCTGACACTTAGTATCTTCCCGTGGTATGTCAGATCCTCATCCGTGATGAGGATGATGGGCATAGGGGGGAACCACATTTGCGGTGTTCGCGATATCTTGGTGGTGATATTGCCCTGCGTTAGGTCATAAACCCGCAACGGCCCTCGAGGGAAGCTGGCGCATCTATCCAGATATAGATTAAGGGTCAGGATGGAGGGACATGCGTATAGTCACAGAGAAGTTTTGTGAGACAACACTCAACACATGACGATCCATCGATCATCGTGTGATCATGTATGTAGGGACCCCTGGCTGCAGGATGTCCTGTGAAGTTTGAACTCGCCCCTCACAACGAAATGGTCTCGACCGCTGTGTTGGCCAATCAAGGCATTACGGAGGCTCCGTAAGCCCAGGCTTAAGGCTTATTGCCGATCAGGTGGTGCCCGAGACATAAGTGTCATTGGTTTAAGCAAGCCATCTCATCAACGGGCTTCCGAGTGCTGGGGTTCCCCAATTGAATACTTTGAGCCGGTCAGCGGCAAATAATTCGAATGCCTGCAACGAAAAGGATGACGGGTCTGATGGGATATGCCGCTGATATGAGATGATTTAAAATTGGGGTCTCTAGAGCTGCCAGTCCAAAATGAGACAAACCCTCGGCCTCGGCCCATTTTAATCGCTATTACAAGTACCCTTCAACGTGTGGTTAAATCTCAAGCGGGTAACTGCTCTATCGTTAGACCAATTTTAGAGACAACTAATAATGCTTATCGAAGGAGGGTTCTTCCTTTCAAATCTGATACTAAACGCATTTGCCAACGCGGCGAAAAAGCATGCATACTAAGGTACCTGCAGTTTTGAGGTTTCTCACTAGAGGCTTACCGCAGTCGAAAATGTTTATCTCCGCACCCTCCCTCGTCGCCCCAGCCCGCTGATTTTCCTTCCTCATCATTCCTACTTTGAAAATCCATCAACTATTTGATCAAAAACACCTTCACCCGAACCCACAAGATCCCACAATTTCAGACAACTAGTAAAGGGAGCCAGTGGCCTCTTAATTTGCTATTACAACTACCAATTCTTCCCAAGATCAAGATGGCTTTTTTTGCGTCCGACGGTATCTGCCCAGCCGATCTCTATCAATTCTTGGACCAGCTGGGAGGGATGGACAGCTACAACATCAAGCAGCCTTCCCCAGCAACCCTAGAGAGAGAATCACTACTAAATTCGCGACAGCGCTGCAACAGCGCATACATCAGCACTCAAAGAGGTCCTAGTGTTAATCTACGTACCGCGTCGCACAAGCCGAAGAAGCGGTTAACAAAGAAGATGGCTTATAAGAAGCCGTCTTCCTCAGAAGCATTAAAACAGCCACACGAGAACCATAACTTGGCTGAGAAGCGATACCGGAGCCGGCTGAAGAACCATTTCGAAAGTCTGCTCGCCATATTACCAAGGCCACCCTCTAAAGATGGCAATAACCGTGATAGCTGCGACCATAGCTTTAGCAGAGCCGAAGTGCTAGCCCTTGCGCGAGAGCGCATCGTGTCGCTCGAGGAGGGCTTTGAGGCGATGGCTAAGGAGCGGGACCAGCTATTGAGAGATATCGCTCTAATGTACGAGTTCCCACATCAAAAGTGAAGGATCCCTAGTTGGCTAAGAGCTATATATATTGTCTGGTAATATTTCTATAATATTTCTACAGTTATTTATGGCTCTAAATCTTATCACGCTTGGCTAACAGACCTAAGCACGCGTGTATTGTGCCCAGGCGTTATTCATTTACTCGTAGTTATAAAACCATAATGAGGCTGACAGCCGTCCTCCTAGGTTTCAGCGACCTCCTACCGCCTATTTGTCGCAATATGACGACGTTATGGGTGATTCGGTGTTAATAGTCACAAACGTCTCTACCACTAATCCTCAAAACCCGACCCTGATTAGCCACCATAATGGCCAAAATCGGCCACTAACTCCGCAAACATGTGGTAGCTGGTTGGTGAAGGTGTGTCGGTCTGCTACTAACTGTAGTGAATAGCATATCCTGTGTTTGATTGTGAGATCCAGTTGTGGTTATCTGATGGCTAGTCCGTTCTGCAATGTGGTTGTGATGACGAATAGGTGGATTGGACAAGGGTCTTTTGGCGCGCGAAGTTGCTATTTTGCGTAACAGATTTTGGGGGGACAGAAACTTTCGCTTGGGGTTCCCGAATCTAGAACTATACCTAAGTATTGGAGTACAGTACTGTATTCTTAGGCATCTATGTGAAGAATGAAAATCTGTGTATTTTCCCAGACATATATATCCTAACTTTGCTACGCCTAGGGCAACTCCCTCTAGACGCATGTAAGTATGAATGACAGAATAAGCTATGCTCTGCCAAACAAGTGTGACCGAATAAATGAAAACTTGCGCTCCTGGTTTGGATATGGTTCCTTATTAATGTTGAAGTAACCATCCCCATTCCTGTGTGTCTTTGACGGAGTATTACCTGGATAAGTCATGTGTTCTATTGGCGGGTCCTTTGCAACGGTCGAGACACTTAGCCTGTCTGCAGCAGCGGTCGCTTGTAACATAGGCCATCGTCTGAAACAGAGCCCGAAGGCCCTAGCAAGTTTCCTTGGGGCGACTCTAAATAACCAAAACTGGAGATATGTGAAGGCAGCTATGTTCGTAGAAGCAGGAAATTTGCGGGCGGGAAATAAGGTTAAAGATACTGCGGTTGTCTAAGTGTATGGACTTGGCTGATCTTTCTAGCTCGCGGGCTACTGCGCGGTACGGCAGAAGACTATGATGGGAGAGACCAGCTCGGTCCGAGCGTGGTAGTCCAAAGATCTGAGATGAGACACATCACAGAGGATCGAATCAGGCACGAACCCACCGCTCCGTTCAGTATCGACAACCTGCATTTTTAGCCACTTTTCGCAAACCCGCTCCATCAAGGTCTGTTCGTTGAACCTATTGCCATTACCAGCACCGCTTCCAATCGTTGTTGGCGGTGGAAAAGCACGTCACGGACACACGTCAGTGAGCGAGCGCAATGACCCGGGCATTAAAATCGTCATAGTCGCGTACCGTTTCACTTGTTCTAGAGTCAGAAACAGATATTGGTGGCTTTGTAACAACGTGAGTGCCTTTACCTATTTGACTCTCCACCTCGACGAATCTCCTGGCAAGACTGTGGCCTGTATTAGTACCGGGCATATTCATGCTCTCTTTGGAAAATGGAGGGAAAAGTTGTGGCGACGAAAGTCAGGTGCAATGCCTGGCCTAGTGTCGGTGATATCGATATTGATTATTCTGTTTGTTGGTGCTGCAGGGTCTGGACGCACCTGATATGCCGCGACCTTGATGAAACCTTGTCTAGTGAATTTAAAGGCATTGCTGCATAGAATTAAAATAATCCGTCGCACCACGCCTGCTGGAATTTCGAATGTCTCGTCTACCGCAGGATCAAGTCCAGCATCACAAGGGTGGCTTTGGAAAATTGACGCGCATGCCTGTTTCTCCCTTTGTCTAACCTCTCTTCGTTCATTGCCTCTAGTGCGACGAGTTGGGTGTAGGGATGATCCTCTACCTCGTCAAAGGGCAGCGTCGCAGTATAGATTGCTACTGATACGTATGTCCGGCGTAAATACAATTGATAGCTTCTTAGACGGGCGTATCCAGATTAAGGCGCGATGTGAGATGCATTAACTTATACCGTCTGTAAGTGAAGTATTCTGGGAGGATGTTCCAGTTGTCTAATCTAGGACATGGCAACGCCACACCGCATATAATCTACCTTTCGTAGCTTGCGCTTAGCTTTATGTTTAGGAGCATAGTTGTTTAACAATAATTCCAACGGTTTACTCCTCTATTAATATCGTTAATTCTATAACTTCATGCTTGTTATTCTATGACCTCCGAACTGTGCCAAAAAGGTTTCAGGGATGCTGCGAAGCATTGTCGAGCAGAGTCAACGTGCAACAAGAGCAGTGCCCGTGTGCCAGTGTGAAGGTTCACCAAGGCAAAAGGCTTGTAGGATGTGGAGTGTCTGTCTACTCTAGGAACTCTTGACATTTCGGTGAGATGCCTTTCGGTGAGACGCCGAAGCAGACCATTAACCAAACCTCAAGCGTATAGCCATGGCGAAACCCGGCTATCGCGACAATACCACAACGATCTATACTAGATACTACAACACCAGTCGTAATAACTAGACGCGGTTGCCGGATCTAATAACATAAACCAGTGCTCTAAGCCAAAACTGCAAGGCACAGACTTGATCCATGATTGTCATTTTCTTGTGATATAGCGATACCTTCCTTCACGAATGATAAGGATCGAAACTTGTTACGCTATGAATTTATATAGTCAGTCCACGGTTCGGCGAGCTTCGGTACAAGAGGCTGTGGTTCCATTTCCTCTCGCCGGTGGTCATTCCACTGGACACAGACTTTGTTCAAAGCATGATGCGTATGGCGAATCGCCTCCGACTCTCTTATACAATTAATGGCGAGGAATAACCCTACCCCTTCGTTCCACCCTTCGCCCTGTCTTTAGCATTATGTACTCGCTCCCTAAGACCAATGTGTTCGCTGACTCTGGGACCTCTGAGGGATGTTATTGTCCTCAAAGGCGGAGGACGGAATTCCTCCCACTTCTCATCATCTTTCTTTGCCTGTTCCATATCCTTTTCATCAACCTTTTTGTCCCTTTTCCTCTTGCATAAGAGGAGGAAAGAGATGAGTTTGGCACATGGCCATGCGGCAGCCACTCCAATTCTCTCGGCCCACGAATCAGGAAACTTACGGATGACGGCACCCCAGGGGACAGAGATGACTCCAAGCCCAATGGATAAGCCCCACTCTTTTCCATTTAGAGGAACGATCTTGAAGGCTTGACCACCAACGAAAATGATGAGCACCTGCCCACCAACCATGATAACATTTATAATCATAAAGAACCAGTTGCGTGTAATGCCTTCAAAGATGTTGAGTCGATTATCCAGCCGTCGATTGTTGAACTCATTGAAGATCTGAAGCCACACAAATGTATTGAAGACCAGTGTGTTCAACCTTTTTTGTTCTTGCTCCTCCTTCAAATTATATCCAAGCAGCAAGTCACCTCCGAAGTAGAGAGCGAATGAAATGGCCAACTGGCATATCGCCTGGCCAATAATCATCTTCCACATCCGAGAAGTTATGAGTGGGGCGGACTTCCTGTCAGGCTTCCGGTCCAGAACGCTGCGAGTTGGAGGATCTGTGGCCAGAGCCAGAGCTGCGAAGGTGTCCATGATGAGGTTGATCCAGAGCAGTTGAACGGCATTGAGAACTGATTGCTCCCGATCCGAGTACACAGCCGAGACAAAGGTCAAAACGACAGCTGTAATGTTGACAGTAAGTTGAAACTAGAGCCAAGAATTAGCATGGATGAGTTGCATTAACATGGGCATTAAATACGTACCTGTAAGAACTTCTTGACGCTGTCATTAACGGCGCGGCCCCACAGTAGAGCCTTCACAATGGATGCAAAATTGTCGTCCATGAGGATGATATCAGCTGCCTCCTTGGCTACTTCCGTACCGGCAATACCCATGGCAAATCCAACATCAGCCAGCTTCAAAGCCGGAGCATCGTTCGTGCCGTCACCGGTAGCTGCCACCGTTTCTCCAAGGCTCTTGAGAGTCTCTACCAAAATTCGCTTATCCTCCGGGCTAGATCGAGCGAGAACCTGTAAGTATGGTACAATGTCCTTGAGCTCCTCGCTACTTTTTCGCCGGAATTCTGGCCCTTCCATGACAACCCCCCCTTCTTCAGGACGGTAAATGCCGCACTCCCTCGCAATAGCACTCCCCGTTAAAATGTTATCTCCCGTCACCATGCGGACAACAACACCCGCCCGTCGACAATCGTTGAGGGCATCGATGACTGTAGGTCGTAGAGGGTCCTTAATGCCGAAGATGGCGAGCAAAGTCATGCTGTGATGTATTTTGCTAAAGTTAGCAAGGCTTGGATCGTCTTCCGATGCAGAGCCTTCTGGAGGCCACGAGTCGAAATCACGATAAGTAGAGCCGATGGTTCTGAGGGTCTGGCCAGCATAAGACGTAATGGTCTGTTTCAAAGCCTTGTGATGCGCGCTTGTAAGCTCAACTGTGGACCACTCCCGAGAACCAACGTGCGTGGCAACCCTGGTACACTTTTCGAGTACAATCTCGGAGGCTCCCTTGACGTATGCCCTGAACTTTCCGGTAGGCAGCTTGATAACCGACGCCATGAACTTCTCCGCCGAGTCGAATGGCACTTGTTGTACAATGATGGCGTTTTTCCTTTCTTCCTGCACTGGCCCAGCACCTAGTTCATCTCGGACGAACATTAACAACGCACCCTCGGTCTTGGAGCCGATGAATGCTGTCTTTCCATCTTGGATGCCTTCAAAAGCTGAGGAATTAACCGCATTTGACTGAATGATCAACCGTTTAATCTCGCAATCCAAGGACTGCACGAACTCCTCAGCAGACACTTTTGGAATGAGTTCAGAAGTGGACAACTCTGACAATAACTCATCGGCGTTGTCTGCCACGTTCCCAATGCTGCTTGGAATAGATTCTGCACCATCAAAGCTGATGTCTGCCCCCAGGGTCGTAGCTACGACCGTCATCTTATTCTGTGTGAGAGTTCCGGTCTTGTCAGAGCAAATAGTGGTGGCGTTGCCCATGGTTTCGCAAGCTTTCAAGATTCGAACCAGGTTGTGGTCTTTCATCATTCTAGTCGTGGCAAATGCAAGAGCCAAGGTAACAGCGAGTGGAAGGCCTTCGGGTACAGCTACCACGACGACAGTCACGCTGACAACGAAGAGTTCCAAGAACTGCGCACCTTTCTTGTCTGGGCTGTCTTTGTTGGATGGAAGCTGAGCGAGAAACTTGATGAAGAGAACAATGAACAATAGCAGTGCCGCTCCTCCGCCAAATATGGCAATACGATCAGCTAGACCGTTAAGCTTCTTCTGCAAAGGCGTGTCTTCCTGTGAAGTTCGAAGGGACATGGCGATGCGGCCATACGCAGAATTGACACCAACTGCCGTAACAAGAAAGTTACCGAATCCTTCCTGAACTTTGCTACCGGAGATGATGAAAGGGTCAAGCTTATCCACGTTGATATTGTCAAGTCTCCTCTGGGCCAGATCTTCGATGGGAGCATAGACATCAATTGCAGGCGTCTTCTTCATCAAATCCGATTCACCTGTCACAGAGGACTCGTCGCACTTCACCCCATGGCCTTTGATGAAGATTCCGTCAACTGGGACGATGTCTCCGACAGAAAGAAGAGCAACGTCACCCACAAGCACATTGAAGATGGAGATCTCGATGGGCTTTCCAGATCGGACAACATTGATGTATCGATCGTCGTGCTTCTTGTTCAGCTGATTGAATTGCCGCTGCATGTTCCCTAAAAGATGATTAGTAAATTTCCCTGCATGCAGCATGTGTAAGCTCGCTTACAGTCATTTAGAGTTCCTACTATAACCACGATAGCGATGGCAACCAGGATTGCGACGCCCTCAATCCACTCAACACCTACCTCGCCTTCCTCATGCGCACCTCCAAAGGTCTGATAGAGGCCAAGAGCAAGGGAGACTACAGTCGCAATAGTCAGGAGGATCAGGACTTTGTCGTTGTAGGTCTGCCACGCTAGCTGCAAGAGTGTTTTTTTTTTTTTTGTCGGGAAGTCGATTCTCGGAAAAAATGCGTCTGCGGTCTAAGAAGCCACTAGCCTTGGTGTCGTACGTGGCAGGTGGAATATTCGTCAGAGTCTTTGGTTCAGGCAATTTATCGCCAGCAGTGCCGTACTTGGGAGCATCTCTGGCCGCAACATCCTCATAGGCCACTGACTCGTCGAAAGTCGTTTCGTGGACGCTTAATCCAGCATTCCTATCACTCTTGAGCCCCTTTTCTAAGCCCACGAGGCCACCTAGCGCGTAGAATGCATTGTGACACTTGGGATTCAACATCCTTGACAAATGCCCTGGCGAAAATGCGAACGTATTGTCCTCAGTCTTGAACATATCTTCAGTGCCCGGATCAGGCGTAAGGGCATCCGCTAGATTCAAGGTGAAGCCCTTGGAGCCGTGTCCTGGTTGCGTTGCCATATTGTCTCGGTGTATCGCATATTTGTTCTCTCCATCTTCGATTTGTACTGTTTCCTCGCCAGTCTGATTACAAGCACGTTGGGTCAGCAAGATCTCTGTATATTGTCGGGGGCGGTGCACATAGACCACGTCCTTCGACATGTCGACGTCTGTTCACTTACTGATACCATTGTAGACAGAACCAACAAAACTTTGTACGTCTTATGGGCAAGGGAGGGGTGTGCTCTTCTAATGAACAGTTTATACGGTTGTTCAGAAAAAAGTTCAGACTGGGGACAAATGTCGCATTATAACACAATGCACCTTAATAGCGATCCCAACAAATGGCATGGTGAAAGCGTGTATTAAAACTTGGTATAAACATTCTGGGAAGCCTAGAAATACCAATGTGTCATTTGACATGTCTTGTTGAGGCGAATCAAAATCTAAGTCCATACGGACCGTCACACAGCCCCCTGTCAAACTGTAACTGCAGTTACCAGGACCGATGGGGCACCACAGATTCGATGGCTGCTTTGCGTGCTGCACACACTTCTTAGGCAAGTGTTTTTTGTGACGCCATAGTGTGGCAGGAATGTCGAATCGCCGACTGCACGCCATGGTGGACTCCCGAAATTAACTTTCCTGGGGCGCACCATTCACCCGCTTCCCCTTCACTCACAGATTTTCTGGATTATTCGGCTACCGGAAATATAAATCGGTCTGCGAGGACGCAGCCTAAATGCTGCAGATATGACATTTCATTTGAACTGCTAGCTTACCAAATTGCTACTATCAACCATTCTAGAACGCTATCGTCGAACTTCTATTTGCGTCTAATACAACAGTTGCTGGACTGTGCTTGTAAGGATTTCCAGCCTCCATAGACTGGAAAGCTACGCCCAAGACGATACGCCGCGGCGGACCGCACCTCTACAGCACGTCAATTATTTTTCTCGGGAATTGACAGAGGAGGATGTCTGGTTATCACGGAAGTTGGTCATGTCCCAGCGAGGCATATGTGAGAAAAACGCGAGGCTAGAGAATGCATCGTGGCGACCCTGGGTGAAAACGAGGCAACGGCTACAGACCACGCCACCCGAAAGTATCCAATGGTACTTTTACAAAGAAAAAACCACACAATGCCATAAACTCTGTTGACACAGAACAGACTGAAAGCCAGCGACATAACCCATCTATACGGACCATTGGCAAGAAAAATAGCGAACCTGCCGCTATCGCCTAATTGCTCGGACGGTATTTTTACACGGCTGATTATAAAGCGAAGCATGTCTAACATCGTGCTCCTAGGCAATGTATACACACCTTGCCCCGGTAGAATAACCACCAGTTCCTGGGCGCCTGGGGCTTCCGATCCAGCCCTTACCCCCAAACAGTCGAAGGAGGCTCTTACTGCCCGTCTAATAGAACTGGCTAAGGTTGACCCTATTATGTTATTCATGAAAGGCATACCCAAATCGCCCGTGTGTCATTTTAGTCGGCGGATCGTTCGTATCCTGAACGATCGCGGCATCGTGTATGATTCCTTCAATGTATTGACCGACGAGGATGTTCGACAGGGGCTGAAGGAATTTGCTGACTGGCTCACGTTCCCCCAGTTATGCGAATAGTTGGACATTGAAGAATATAAGGCCCGAGAGACTGGTCCCGGCCAGGCGTAGTCGACGAGCTACCTTCGGTAGAGCTGGGAATGAAAGCCCCGAGACCGGGTGGTAGACATGAAAGCGTGTCTTGCGGTGTGCATGGTTGTCTAGTATGCCATACAGGTATGGTTCGGTCGTGAGGCAGATGCGCTGTGCTAGTATGCAATCGGCCAGTCTGTTGTTCAGGTGAGGGTACTTGAACTCGCGTATATCCGGATCTGATGAATTCGCTCGGAAATCCGAGACCAAGTGACCTCCTATGCAACCTGATGAGATCGCTATCCATTATTCTAGGCACAGCGCATTGATTCTTTTGTTGACGTTTGTTTGTAGATAATGAGGGAGGCTGGATGCTAGGTAGGCATGTCGTGTTTCTGCTCGTCGACGTTGACTCATCATCTCCGTTCGCCATTTCGTTTTTTGGGTTGGGTGGTATCTTCGACTTTGGTCATCGTCTTCGACTCGAACCCTTCAGAAATAGCGTTTTCGATATTGGAAGCTGAGATCGAAACGATTTCTGCTGAAGGTATGCGAGAATTGATGCTGCTAGGTTGTATGCCGCTGATGATGTCAACGGGCCCAGGCAAATCAGAGGCTGTAAGGCTCCTGCGTCCCTAAGGCTCCTGCGTCCCTAAGGCTCCTGCGTCCCTAAGGCTCCTGCGTCCCTAAGGCTCCTGCGTCCCTAAGGCTCCTGCGTCCCTAAGGCTCCTGCGTCCCTAAGGCTCCTGCGTCCCTAAGGCTCCTGCGTCCCTAAGGCTCCTGCGTCCCTAAGGCTCCTGCGTCCCTAAGGCTCCTGCGTCCCTAAGGCTCCTGCGTCCCTAAGGCTCCTGCGTCCCTAAGGCTCCTGCGTCCCTAAGGCTCCTGCGTCCCTAAGGCTCCTGCGTCCCTAAGGCTCCTGCGTCCCTAAGGCTCCTGCGTCCCTAAGGCTCCTGCGTCCCTAAGGCTCCTGCGTCCCTAAGGCTCCTGCGTCCCTAAGGCTCCTGCGTCCCTATCAATTCTTCATTAGTGCCTATCAATTCTTCATTAGTGCCTATCAATTGTCAAAAACAAATGCCAAGAATTGTGTCCGATGGACTCCCGCATGTGACTCCCATGTCTTTCGGTGTCGCTGATTGGTGAGCTATGACGGTGAATTGGCTCAAGAATGACGTATTCTACTTTTTGGTGTCATTTGATTTTTAGTGTGAGGTGGTGGTGCTCGTTCATATTTAAGACATATCATAACTTTTAATGAAGTGTAGCCTTGTTTGAAGTTTCTAGGTGAAGGCTGGCCGTGTGAATGAACGATTAATTTACAAAGCATCGAACCTCGGAAAGAAATCAACCCGGCTGAGTAAAGGTTCAGTGAGCCTTCACGGGTTCACAATGCCGCTCTTCAACAATAGAGATCCCAGCGAAGACGTCCGCCAAAATGGCGTCGGACCAGAACCCGAAGAAGGGGAGCAATCTGCGCCAGATGAGCACACACGTCTACTCCCGAATCGCGTCAACTCGACTCAAGGCTTATTTGCACCCGATGATCCAGCTGTTTCGCCGTATAACCTATGGAGCATTCGGGCCTTGAGATATCTCACTATTGTCTTCACCCTTGTGACCTTCATCTGGTGGGTTCTACTGCTAATGTCTACGTTTGCCACACCTCCGGGATTCCAGCGTCCAGGTAGTGGATGGCTAGCCTATAACTATGCCAGTTTGACACTTGCAAACCTGCTCTTTACGCTTGTGTTCTTTGGTGTGCCTTCGAAATCAGTCAGGATGTTGGTAATCTTCATTTCGGTAGGTTTCCCCCTTCTCATCCCATGCTAATGTTGACCAAGCAACGCTAATCTAACCGATAGGGTGTTCTAACTCTCGATATGATCCTTCTCCTAGCTGTGCACAAGATTCGATATGAGGAAAACTGGGTTGGAACTATCAGCGTCATGTGGGCTCTCTTGATGAGCCTGTGGACTCTGTTCACGGATCGCATGGTGAAATGGGGCAAGGCCGAAGAGGAGGAGCGCTTGACCGGACGCGCCGAGACGAGACGTACACTCTTTGAATGGTTCGAGGTGATGCTTTCGACCATTGCGTACACCATCATGTCAATGGCCCTGTTCCTCATCACCTTGACCATCATTCTCCGAGATCTTGACGCAGGCGTGGCACCGCCAGGAAAGCTTTACTGGGTCGATGATGGCAAGTATCGCATCCATGTGTACTGCCATGGTAACAAGACGGATTCAGGAGGCAATGAGCTGCCTACGGTGCTGTTTGAAGGCGGTGAGTCGACGGTTGAGCGAGACTTTTGGTCGTTCGCGGATAGTGCTGTCAACAATGGCTCTATTTCTCGATACTGTTTCGCAGACCGTCCTGGATACGGCTGGTCAGACACTTCTCCCTCACCATCCTCAGCCGGATTCGTGACTGATGTGGTGAGCGAGGCATTGGCCCAGGCAGGTGAGAGGGGGCATTGGGTTTTGGCCAGCGCCGGAATCGGTTCAATCTACTCGCGAGTCTTCTCGTCCCACAATGGCGATCGGGTGAAGGGCCTACTCTTGATCGATCCCCTACACGAGGACTTGCTTGACCAAGTCGGAGCCCCAGGGCGAGGATTCCTACTCTGGCTACACGGCGTCATCTCCCCGCTAGGCCTGGATCGACTACCAGGAGCTATTTTTCGAGGACGAACGAGCCGGGATCGCGTGTACGGGCGATCAGCGCAGCAGGGAGGCAAGTTCATCTTTGCCAAGCTGCAAGAGAATTTCGTGGCGATATCGTTTACACGAAGAGATGCGAAGAACAGTCGGCAGATCCAGGACAAGGATACGCCGCTTGTGGTGATCACCTCAGGATTACATGTCAAGCAGAGCAGTACGTGGGAGAAGAAGCAGCGAGATTTGACTAGGCTGACGGATAAGTTGAAGAGCTGGGATATTATAGATGGGGCGCCGCATGAGGTTTGGAAGACGTTTGAGGGAAGGGAAACGATTGAGAAGCGACTTAAGGAGTTAGTGCATGGATGAGAGGCCGAGGATATGACATTGGATGGAGAAGGGTTACGATGAGGCTGTCACGTCCAACACCTGAAAGACAATATTTTCGTCTTGAGACTGATAAAAATGCCCCCCCACCGCTAAGTAAGTTCCAAACTATCAGAGGGAGCTGGTGAGTCGAAAGATGGTGAGGACGGTAAGAAAGGGGAACTAGGTACCTGGGGGTTGGTGGAGAGGGTCATGTTTGTCTGTGCCTTTTTACTTTATTTTTTATTTTACCTTTGCATGAGATATTATTAGTAGCCCTGGTAACGTATGTCTGTACGGGCGGGAAAGCTTCGTTTCTATGGGGTCTTGAGGAGATTTCTTTTGAACTTTTTCGTGCTTTATGTTTCTGTTGGCTTCTTCCTGCCACATATTACTAAATCGGTAGGATGATAGGAGAGAAAAGATAGTGATACTGGGCCAAAATGGTATAGAGATTACCTGGAGACCGTGGAACAAGGCGATTATCTCGTCCATAAAGTAGCGTTTTAAACCCCTTGGGTTTTTCTCCTATCTCTTTGAGCGGCATAAGGCTCCGGCAGGTCACTCGCCCCACATTGCTTACTAACAACACTAGTACCTGCGGGGTACGTGAAGTTCTCGTCAGACAGCTTCTTCATTCAACACAGCCAAAATCATCAAAATCCTCATACAAATTGACCCTAACGCGTCTTAATTAAAACGATGAGCTCCCAAGAGATACCTGATTATATAGATGATCACAGCTTTGATACCCCGCCTTTGAGGGCGGCTGATGACCCCACCGGCGTGCCTAATTTTCCGCCCGAAGAGGGCTGCGGTGATGATTTTCAACCTTTTAACCTAGAATATCGTGATTTCAAGATCAACCCTCTACCCAAGGAACCACTTGAATTATTCCAGCTTTTCGTACCTATTTCCCTTGTACAGTCATGGATTAAATACACCAACAGCTGGGTCACTCACTTACTTGAAAATGGCATTATTGACAACTGGAATACCCCCCTTTCCAAACAGTCCCGCATTCTCAAGTGGGAAGGCATCTCTACTGCAACAGCTTATGTATGGCTTGGGGTCCTTATTTACCTAGGAATTCATAGGGAAATATCGATCAAAGACCATTGGAAGACCCCTAGCCTAGGAGATCAGCGCCCTCTTCACTCAATCATCAAGTTCATGCCGTTACGGAAGTTCGAGCTGATCACGAGGTATTTCCGCACTTTTGACTACACCAAGCTCGATGTGAGGGATGAGAGCGACCTTCCAAAGACCTTCCAAGCGGCTGAAGAGTGGTCTAATCACATACAAAGCGTGTCTATCGAGCTCTATTCTCCAGGGACTAACTTCACTGTAGATGAGTGTATGATCCCTTTTACAGGCAGATCAAAAGAGACAACAGTCGTCAAGAATAAACCCACGCCCGTGGGGTTCAAAGTCTGGGTTATCGCCCAACAGGGCTTCTTTCTGCAGTGGCTTTGGCACGTGAAGGCATCACCATATAAGGCTGTTATAGTCGAGCTACCTACACCAACGCCGTATGGCAAGAAGGGAAAGCTACGGACCGAGATTCCTCTCAACAATACACAAAGCGTCGTGGTTCACCTACTAAAAAGGCTGTCAACGCAGACACATCACGTCTTCACGGATAACCTCTTCTCGTCGCCGCAGCTCTTCCGCCTTCTTCGGCAGCTTGGCCACGGTGCCACAGGCACGGCACGCCCTAACTGCGGCATCACCACCGAGATGAAGCATATAAAAGAGACCGGAAAAGCTCCTGACGGCATAGCTTTGCAATATAATAAGGTATATTTGATCCCGACACAAGATAAACAGGTATGGACAGCTTTACCTGTATTTCCCTTACTAATTTGTCCTTTTCCTTTCTCCTTAGGTCATCCAAATCGCTTGGAAAGATAGCAGCATCGTGCTCTTCCTTTCAACTGTGCTTAGCGGAGCCCCTCACGAGCGCACACCAAAAAAGAGGAAAAAGCCCGCCAAAAGAGGCACAAAGGCAGAGTCACAGCGCCTGCAGCAGGTCTTCAATGGTGATAGCTTCAAGATAATCCCTATTCCTACTGTTGCCGCTCAGTATAACGATGAAATGAATCACGTTGACCGCGGCGATCAGATACGGTCTTATACAACATATCAGCACCGATTCCGGCGCGGTCCTTGGCAAGCGTTGCTTTGGTCTTTCCTCCTTGAAGTCGCACTTGCGAATAGCTTCATTTTACAGAAGAAAACACGGCAGCCTCGTTGGAAGCCCTATAGCACGCTTAAAGCTTGGAAGGAGTGCATTTATAATGCCATTTTCAACAGATACGCAACTGAAAGTCACATAAGGAAGAGAGGCCGTACAGGAATGGAAGAAGACATCGAGGATACAGAAGCACGGCAAATTCACCTACAAAGAGATATCAATCATGTCCATCGGGGCATACATTCAAGCTGCCTAGCTTGCAAAGGCTTCCGGCAGGGTCAGGCCCGACCCTTTAAAAGGAAGAAGGAAAAAGGAGGTTATCTACAGCCGATATCAGGAAATGAACGAAGGGTGCAGACCGTGTACGGCTGCAAAGTATGTGATGTAGCTATTTGTAACACGGCTGACTGCTGGTACTTCTATCACACGCAAATTTAGGTGTGTGAGAATGTACTTCAAGTAGCGCTCATTTTGATAGGTCCTACACCCCTGTCGTGACCCCGCCGGAGCTTTATGCCGCCTGAAGAGATAAGGGTTTTCCCTAGGGATATATAGTTCTAGGTTGCAGCTACCGGCAATCTGAGAGGATATAAGCTTCCTATTCTTATACAAAAGGTCAATTAGTCACGTGCCCTATCACATGCATTTAATTAATTAAGTTATAACTTCTAAGTTAACTTAACGTGTATGATAAGCGAGTGAGCCAGACAAGCAAGTGAGCCAAAAATCCCTCACCTTACAACATTATAATTCAATCAGCTATATCTCAACCAACAAATATGCCACAGTCCTCAAATGAAGCTAGAATCCTTCTTGCCCTTCAGGCCCTTCAAGATAACCCTAAACTTACAGTCCGACGGGCGGCAAATATCTACAATGTCAACCGTAGTACCTTAGGTCGCCGCCAGCATGGCATTCTTTCAACGCGTGATACTCCCACAAAGTCACGGAAACTATCTGATCAGGAAGAGCAGATAGTAGTCCAATTCATTTTAGACCTAGATTTGCGAGGTTTTCCCTCGCGACTATCATATGTGGAAGATATAGCTAATTCTATACTTGCCAACCGCAACGCGCCATACGTCGGCAAGCGCTGGGCTTATAACTTCGTCAAGCGACAACCAGAGCTAAAGACACGTCTATCTCGGAGGTATGACTATCAGAGAGCTAAATGCGAAGATCCGACTATTATTCGTGGCTGGTTTCGGCTTGTAGAGAATACAATCGCGAAATACGGTATCCGATCAGATGATATCTGGAACTTTGATGAGACCGGCTTTATGATGGGCGTAATTGAGCCCGGAACAGTCGTCACAAGCTCTTACAGGCAAGGAAGACCAAAGCAAGTACAGCCTGGAAACCGCGAATGGATTACTGTGATCGAGGGGATCAATGCGGACGGTCAATCGATCCCGCCGTTTATCATTGGTGCAGGCAAGGATCACCTTGCCAATTGGTACCAAGAATGCGACCTCCCCGGCGATTGGGTTATTGCATTGAGCGAAAATGGATGGACTAATAATAAGCTGGGTCTCGAGTGGCTAAAGCACTTTGATCGGGCTACAGCTAAGCGAACGAACAGTCGCTATCGCCTCTTGATCCTTGATGGTCACGAAAGTCACCACTCCGTCGAATTCGAGAAATATTGCAAAGAGAACAAGATTATCACGCTCTGTATGCCTGCTCATGCCTCTCATCTACTTCAGCCTCTTGACGTAGGGTGCTTTGGGCCGCTGAAAAAGGCATATGGTCGAGAAATAGAGCATCTGATCAGATGCAATATAACCTATATTAAGAAGACTGAGTTCTTTCCTGCCTTTTACGCCGCCCACCAAGCTGCTATTACAGAAAGCAATATCAAGGGAGGTTTCAGAGGAGCTGGGCTTGCTCCCTTTAACCCAGAAAATGTCATCTCGAAGCTTGATGTGCAGCTACGGACTCCGACGCCTCCCGTAGAGGTCATAATACCATCGACCCCTTGGACTGCAAGGACCCCAAAGACAGTGCTAGAGGCCCAATCGCATTCTAAGTATCTGCAAGGAAGGATCAGAAATCATAAGAGCAGCTCCCCTGAGTCAATAATTGAAGCCGTAAAGCATTTTGAGAAGGCAACAACTGTTCTTATGCATAAGATGGTCTTACTAGATGATAGGGTTCGACAACTTGAACAAGAGAATAAGACAGTAGGGCGACGCCGGAGGGGAAAAAGGACTAAGGTACAGAAAGAAGGGCCTTTAACTATAGGGGAAGCATTACAAGCAATTGATCAGATAGATATTGATGCGCAGCTAACAGCTGAATCCTCGAGAGGTGGTCGCGGAAGGTCACAAGGAGCAAAGGTTCGGCAGTGTAGTATTTGCGGAAAGACCGGGCATAATGCAAGGACCTGTCAGGAGGCAATTGAGGTCAATAGGGAATAGTATAACAATTAATTTTAATTGATCAGATAGATTGTGGTGTTTTTATTGCGAATTTAATTTGGAAGGTTAAGATATGTGGCTCACTCGCTTGTCTGGCTCACTCGCTTATCAAGCACGTTATCGTATACGTTATATGTTTAGGTAACTCTGCGGGATGGAATACCCCGCACGAAAACAACAACAAGTCGAGACATTTACTGCTGCTCATCATATTCACTTTAACCTTTTAAGCACGCTCAGTGCGATAGATACAATCCAATCCAATCCAACCAAATCAAATCAAATCAGCTATTGCCCCCATGAAAATTCACGACCTATTACTCTTTCAAACGCAACCAACATTGGGATAGATATATCACAATTCTACAACTCCGCACCTCTAAAATATTGCTTAGGCGTGGTCTGTACTATACTGGTACGGATAATGAACACCTCCACAGAGCACCAAAATGAAATTGCCAAGTTGGTTCAGCAACACGGAGCAGTTCCTCCACCCTGGTTCATGTTTCCAAAAGTCCATCCGTACGACATATGCTGGCGCATGGGTGCTGGCGAATCTTATATTATGATCTATTCCACTTGGTGGGAGCAACAAAAAGAGCAACTTGACGAGAAGCAGCGAATTGAGTATTTTCGCAGATGGCCGCCTCCACCCGAATGGCTCATTTGGATGATAGAAGCAATCTGGGATCTTAACCCTAAGGACTTTGAGGATGATGATGATTACTCGCCTTACTTCAGACGCACCGAAGCGCTTGGTTTCGGGTCTGAGGATGATTATAAGAATGCTATGCGTGATGAGGCAGAGACAATAGGAAGCAACGAGACGCCGTAAGAGAAGCATTCATGCAAGCTATCTGAGACTTCAAAATTTGCCTACTAGCCTTCAGTACCTCATGTAGGAGTCCTAGACTCTTCTGGATAGTTGTAAACACATTATAACTACGCCTTTCATCCCATGTTACATTCACAGATAGATCGGCCGAAGCCAGTCAAAAGCAAGGCACTTGGGATTAAGTTCTCTATTGTTGCTCACAAGCGAAGTTTGAGCAAGATTAAACAAGAGGACGACAGCGAGCCGTGGATTATCTCAGGCTACTCTCGGCGGGGGTTGGTTTGGGGACGCAGAACAAAAGATCTGAGTCACCGATCCGCCGGACCTCCGGTAAATCAGGTGTCTTTGAGTGGGCGTGGAAGTTGATGCGGCCGCGGGCCTTTGTCCCGCGAAATGGACGCGACCGTTGAGGAGATCTTGGTCCAGGTTGGAGATTCCGTCACCGCGACGCATCGGTCCTCGAGACCCGCAAAACCGACGGCGAGATTGCAGGAAAAGCTGCAGGCGGCCGCGAAGAAGACCGAATCAGTAAAGAATAATGGCTCGGATCAGCCGGGAGAAGGCGAGAATGCAGGCGAGAATGTAGTCATAATGTTCTGGTTGGCACATGGTCAGATAAGACGGAGCTAGGCACGTGGTTTGAGTACTCTTTTCCTCTTATGTTGCTTTGTCAGGTTACTTACAGTTGTGACTTTAGTCGTTATAAAGAATTAGGCGGTGATGATGATGGTGATAGGTATATGGAGGGTTCGGTCCAATTAAAATACGCCAAATCAAGGGTACATAATTCTTCACCTAAAGTATATGATGATAGAAGTCCCAGCAATTTTGATTGTTACAAATCGCAACATCGCTTAACCTGCACCCGTACACAGCCTACCCGCCTCGCCCGTGATACCTTCTCTTGTTGCCACTGACCTCTCCTAGAGGAACGTTTTTCAGGCGTTTTGCCCTTGACTGCCCCTGCCGAAGGCCCTTACAAGTTAGGCAATCTAATTTTACCTTCCGGTTGATATGATTGACCTGGCGATTGACCTTTATATGATTGCAGCAGCTTGAAGACGGCCTTGTGCCCACTCTCGGCGGCATACGACAGCGGCGCCTGACCAGTCCTGGCCTTTGACTCAATACTGGCTCCCTCCTAAAGGCCATATGTATTGTATTGTACAAGTGGAAAGACAAAGTAAAAAGAACCATTTGCTATTTCGGTACTGGTTCAACCAGCCCGTTCTGGCTCCCATCCAGACTGACCATCAGGTTGCTATTTTGGATAAACTCCTTTTGCCCAGCACCGACACTGGAATGAGCATTAGCCCCCTTGTCTCCTTCGCCGCCAGTCATTTGTGGGCGAGTATCACCTGCAGTGGCACGGCTCATGAAGGACTTGACGCGGAGAGTTAAGGGCTTGAAGAATGGCAGGCAGGAGCAAGAAATGGCAGACGTCAACTCGCCGAGAGACCAGAGCGCAGGGGTGACGTTCCACCAAGTCATGTCGGCGTCCATCTTGAGCCATCGCATCCGTGCGATGGAAATGCCCACAGTCCTATGTGCTTTCTGTTAGTGACTTCCACTGATGGGATTTGCTTCTTATTGCTTAACTGACAGGAATCCGAGACTAAAAACGAATAACAAGTAGGCTTTCTGTCGGCGTGGCAACTGGAGTCGCCACAGAGCCGGAATTGGCAGCGTCAGGATGAATAGGTCGCCGATCGAGTTGAAAACGCCGTTGAACCACCACATTATGGTTGTGTGTGGAACGCACTTCGCGTCAACGTTTGGGTCCCAGAAGCCTGCAAGAGGAATGCACATAACAAAGACGAAGATACAAACGCCACCGCCCCAGAGTACAATCAGTACCATTGCTCCAATGCAGTATGGCCGTAGTTTGGAGGCAGAGAGGAGCCGGTAGTAGTTGATTAGAAATGACATCTTGATGAAGAATAGTGATAGCATGTAGAAGAATACGGACACCCAAAAACACTGGGTTCGAGGTTAGACGCGACTTTGCTTGGAGGAATACGGCCTGCGCTTACCCTTAGGTAGAGAATCTGATCTTTACTAGAAACTGTGGAAATATGCCTTCCAAGACCAAATCGAGTCACTGATGCTGGTTAATTGTTGTTTTCTGATGATAGGGTCGTAGTGGGACAAACTTGATGTTATCGCAATACCACAAGCTATCATGGTCAACTTGCGAAAATTGTTAGTACTGGCACTTTTATTTCCTTCGGCGAGTTCCGTCAACCTACCAAAGACGCGATAGCGGCCATGTCGTCAAGTCTAAACTGCTTCACCATGGCTCGGCTCACGACGCGCAACACCACCATAAGCGTGGATGTGGCCAAGAGAAAGGTGGCGACGCCAATAACCATGGACACTTTGCTATCATCAGAATCCCGAAGGACAGACTCGTCGCCGGCCATGAGGTTTCAATAACGTAACGTAAACGCGACGGATCGCCAAAACATGCGTGCTGATGCGGGAGGACGATCCGGGCAAGACGGACATGGAGCTTGGAAGTAAAGAACGGGGCCAAGTGGGATTTGGGGGAAGCCAGAGGAGTTACCCGAGCTGTCGGGGCCTCAACTGGGACAGTAAGCCCCCTATGAAAGCTCAAATTAGGGCTGACGAATTCGTCATGGGCTGATTGGAATGCTGGGACGTGGCTACTTGTCTAGTCATTCGCTTGGAAACGCCACATTTTTTCCCAATGGTTGAGTAGGACGCTGCAGGCAAATAATCAAATCCATGGTAGAAAAGGAAGACCATGGCCATGGGAGAAGATTGGAGCATATTAACAGCCACAACTAGAAATAATAACACGAAACCCATTGATTTGACAGACAACAATTCAGCTGGTGAGTGTAAGGTGCTGAACACTTGGGGAAGTTGGCCATTAAGCACGTCCGCCAGACAACAACAAAAGCAAAAACACAGCAATTTAGGGGAAGCAAGAGAAATGGGGCTTTTCACTCGACATCGTTTAACAAACAAATCGCTCCGCTTAAAGAGCTCATGCTAAGCTTATACAATTACTATCTTAGAAACCTCTTGTTATATAAATTTTAGTATAAAACAGCCTGCATTTCTGCCTCACTATCATCACTGTCTACTAATCGCTTGAAGATAGCCGCTGAGGATGGATTCGTCTCTACCCACTGACGGTATTGAAGATGGACTGGACAAAGGCGAAGGTAATGAGGCTGGGGGGCTTGGCGTTGACGAGGAAGAACAGTTTCTGTGCTGAGGTGATTGACTGTTATGCTGAGTAGAGCCGGTCGATGACGGTCGCGCTAGGATCGATAGGTCTGGCACGGCGTCGTTGGCGAGCCTGAAGTTCTCGGATATGTCACTGTCGTCTCCATCTTCTACATAAGCAGTAAGATCGCGTGGAGATGACGAGAAGAGTATTGGTTCAGCCCCGGACTCGGGGTCAGGCTCGCCATCTGGTCCGCAGCCCGGTCCAGGCTGAGCCTCATTGGCAGAAATAGGTGAGGCTGGGTCATCATGCAAAGTAAGGCCCGAGAATTCGGCTGTAGGCGGAAGTTCTTGAGTGATATCGTCGCGTTCGCTCACGTAAGAGGTCAGGTAGAATTCAAAAATCACCAGTGTCATAGCAGACTACTGCGGGTTCTCTACAGCACTTTAGATAAAATACTCCAGCTTTTTTCAGCAGTAGTACCCAGCCACAAGCTTCATCCAGTCGAACAACCAACCCCCTCGCCGTTCTTTTAAGCTTTTAAATCCGGTCAAAGTTATCGGGCACCTGAATCTCTCTATGGGGGGGCTCTGTTCGAGCTAAGAATTGCCGGAGTATGGAATTAGGCTGGATCACGTCATCCATCTCTCTTTGTCTTGTTTCGAAATGACTGCGGATATCATATTGCTGGCCATCGTTGCGAAGCATTTCGCGGATCCATATTGCTTGCTGAAGAATTGTTTGGTCAAGTCTAGGTACAGTTTCAATGGCGTTAATTAGGGCCATGACATTATGACGAGAAGGCAACAGAATCGTGGGTTGATTAGGGCTGATCGGCGATCGAGTCGATATGGCAGAAATTGGAAGGCAGAACGGGTCTCCACGCTGTCCGTCTCCCATCGATGACTCATAAAACCTCCAAGGTTCTACGTGTACCCAATTATCCTTGTGGCTCCATTTAAGTCCAACAAGAGCCATCAAGCAGTCAATGACCTCTTTACAGACTCCGTTCCTTTCTTTTAATCTAGCCTGGCATAATTGGTTATTGTGGCTGATTAGCCGTGTCCATAGCTGTATGAGACTGGTAGAATACCTTTGGAACACCATGGCGTCGATTGGTTTTGATATCGCGGTCGGGGGGTGTAGGGGTTCTGGTGTCGATAACAATCGGTTAAGGCCCGTGACATAGGAGCGGTGCATTCAGGCGGCGAGAAATAAGGAGCCCAAAACTGTATTCGGAAAAAGGTTGCTCTTTAATGCTCAATTCCTGGTCTACGGTCAACAGCAACATCTTTGGTTGCATCACTATTGAAAGTAACCATGATGTAATAGCCAATGATGCGGCTGAACTGTTCATCAAATAAGCCCGCGTGGTCCTCAATCATGCCCCATAATCGCTTGACTCGGTGATAGAGTTCAAGGAAGTAGAGGCCGTACCAGAATGAGGTTTTCGGGCGTTTGAAAAGACGATTGAACACAGAATTCGACCAGCTGTCGTCCGGGGGTAGATACTTCCGCGTTCCCATCCATAAGGGGACGTCTTCTGGCTTATCGTCTACTTCAGAATTGGCGCGTGTTCGGACGTAAGTAGTCCAAGCTTCATCGTAAATCTCCCATATTGTCTGTGCCGTAACGAGACAGCCTGTTTGTCGGGCCGACTCCTCTTAGCTTTGTTCTAATCGTTCAAGGCGGGGTAGAACACGTTGCCCGAATTCTTTACGCATGTCCTCCCATTTCAGCTTTAGTTTGGAAAGCATATGCTGGTGGTAAGCCCGAGCAACTTCTTCAGTAGCTAGACGAAGGACTCTTTCTACTAACTCTTCTGCTGTGTGACGACGCCCATGTTCGAATTCGGAACGGGCGTGCTCAAGTAACTGTCGGAGGCATACTTTGATCGCGACTTTGGACACAGTAAAACGCTGGATACTTATTTGAGATACGAGGCCGCGCTGGAAAGGATTTCGAGGGATATAAAGCTGGACGAGAACCTCTAAGGCAATATGTCCGCCATACTAATCGAGACTCGAGGGAGGAATCCACAGCATTCCAGAGTCCTCGATAGCCATGTCAAGTCCAAGGCCCCGTCGCTCTAGCAAAAGTCGGATATTGGGTTTTCGACGAGTCTGAACCGTCCACTGCGGCAGCCAAATCCAATTGTCATATGAGAAACGTTCTTTACTTGCGAGTGCATAAGTGAGAAGTCGACAGAAGAGCTGAGCAGTATAGAAAGCGAGAATCAAGGCAGGGGGCGAGATAGTAGTACGAAGAGACGCCTCCTGAAACAAGTGATCGAGAGGGAGGATAAATCTTGCAGCCTGGGTGAACACATAATCATTCATGTCTCTGGTGGAGACTACCCAGAATGGATCGTGTTCTCCATCGCTTGACGCATCTAACACCTTGAAAGACCGATTGCCAACATGGGGGCTTCTGTTCGGCTCGAAATAGCCTCGATGCCACATTCTAAGAATCACATCGAGTCGAAAAGTCATTTCCTTTCGAACACCGTAATTTCCAAGGGCTGTCGAATTCGAAGTAGCTCTTAAGTGCCATTTGTTAGCCTCCCAGGCTTTTAAAAGAGCACCGCGACGAATTTGCGTAGTATTCGAGGCTTGCCGCCGGCCTCGATTGTTCGCGGAAAGATCGCTCAACATACCCTCACTCAAAGCGAGGAGTGGAAGAAAACCTGACCCGAATATTTCATAATCACTGAACATGACAGAAAACAGCTCTTTATGGCAACTATAGGCCTTGGCGCGAATGACCCCTGGCCTGCGCTCGTGGGGATGGCCTGGGTTGGTGGCTCGAGTACGCTTCGCCTTAACTTGATAGTCCCCGATATCACGCAGTAAGAACTTCTGGAATTTTACAGCATCCGAACGAGACTCGGGTGCGATTCTGGAAATTTGCTCATGCAGATAAGAATGGCATTGACTCTTCCATAGAACAGTGAAAGGTCCCCGCCTGGCAGTACTATGGGGTGGATCACTCGCAACATAATCGCGGGCTCCAATATCGATCCAACAGGAGTGAATGTCCAGGTGTGCAGGATCAAGAGCCTGAAGGACTGAGCTCTCGAAATCGTCTAAGGATGCGTTGAGTGTTGCTTTCCCGAAAGTATTCTTCAAGTCGTGAGACTGAAAAAGTAACTAAGGACCCTTGAAGTATGGCACAGTTTCTCCGCTCTTGGTTGTGAGCTGGAATTCGTCTGCTTTGCTGACTACCAGAGTCCATAAAAGAGGAAGGTCTTCCGCTGGGATCGTATATTGCAGATGGACTGCCCTGTTGACATCATCAGGCCTCCATCGATTATTTCCTGGTTTTTCTTGGAACGAACGAGACTTCGCATACGCTATGTCGTACGTTCGTGGTATTTCCTGGCGGCAAGGATCGGATATGGCCTCACAAGCTGCCGGGATGATGATGTGATCATAAAGATCTTTTTGACGCTCAAGGGACAGAGCATTCCGAGTGGCTGAGGTTGGATCAGGGGCCGCACAAGGGAAAAAGAGAAAGACCGAAAAATGTACACTATGTGTGTTAAAAGCACCAAACTTGATATGCCTTGTTTTGGCCAGGTCCAGTCCATGAGGTTGAATCACCTGGTCGCATGACAGGTTTAGGGCGAGAGAGGGTAGAAAAGATAGGCGGAAGTTGTTGGGAGGTCGAATTGCTTGCAGACCTGTAGCCCCAAGCCAAATGCTGTCAATATCCTATTGTCTACACAGAACCAACTCTGGTTCGTTCTCGGGGAGAAGTTGCATCTGCGATTTGCGAAACGAAAGCGGCTGGTCAGGCTTGCTTGACAGGAAGTCCCTCCATTGTCAGAAAAAGCTGCCAGGATCATAAGATCCAGCTTCACCAAAAACCGTCGGTAGAGGAGGAAGGCAGCTTTGTAGGTACTGTACGCTCTCTCGGAGAGAACAAGTATGTTCTGGCTCATTGACCTCGAAATCATTTTCACTTGATCCAAGTGTTCCTGTCAGTATATAACATTCAATAACCCGTTAAGAGATACGATAAGACGTACATTTACACTTAGAATGGAAGAAAATTCGGAAAGCCTGGTCGTACGCAGTCTCATGCGAGTCGAAAAAATCAGACCTTAACTCGTTGTCTTGATGCCGGAGGGTCTCAATGAAGCTATCGAGCGTCTCATTGCGGTTTCCATCGACATCGGAGGCAATGAGCCCAGAGGCATATTGTGAAGAGCCGGCGCGTGAGCACTCCGGGTGCATCTGTGGATCTGTCTCGACACGATATATTGACGCTGGAGGGCCTGGGGCCCTAGCGATGGACTGAGAATGATGATTGCCGATTATCGCTCCTGAATTGGATTCTCTCAAGGGATCCAAGGCTAGTCCATCCGTACAGGCGACAGAGGGTAGTGTTGGTGGAATCCGTAGTCGATGCAATCGGTTGCGGTATCTCTGAACACGGAGTCGTGTACGCGCTCGGGTAGACTCTGGCGTGCATCCTCGGGGAGTACACGTTTCGGGAGAAACTCGCTGGCCTGCAGACCGAAGTCTTAGCGTTGGTGACGCGCTGACGTATGCTGCGAACTGTCCTGCATCATGCCTCGTTTCTTTCGGCTGGCCCGTGAGTGAAGGAACTGCCTGACCATCGGTGCTATCAGAGGCCGTTGGATAAGACGGCGGATGTTCATCAACCCATACTGAAGGCCTAGCTTCTGCACGCACGTTTATAGCCAAGGCGGGAGCGGAAGGTACTGTCTGGCGCGCTGGCAAAGTAATTGCAGTGCCAGTATGCATCAGACCGTTACGCGACCCGTCCTCAGGTGGCACCTGACCATGGGAAGAGTTGATCACGCGAAAACCAGGGTAAGCAGGGCACTCCTGACGAACCAGGCTTCGGTGTTTCTGCTGTTGTCGACGGCGCCGATTCCTAGCCCGCTCGCTTTCGCTTTCGACCTTGTATGGGTTTGTGAAGGCTCGACGACCCATACTTAACGAAGAACTTGCTTCCTTTGACTTGATCATTCATCTTTTCCGCCGTGATTGCAGCTCCCTTCTTTATTTCAATTGCGATGCTGACTCTCCGAATAAGTCTAATTACGTGTTTAAGTTAAATTAAAAATAACGGCAGTTGCGAATCACACAACTCGTAGGAGGAGTTATCACATTTTATACAAGGGTGGCGATTGGTGCCGAACACGACGCGAGAATACGGATTAACTTTGTTTGCGATCCAGCGCCCATCATCAATTTGTTATGTTCAGGACGTCGCAAGTGGGTACTCGCAGGGGTATTCGCTTTTAAACAAGCGTTCATTGGTTCATGAGCAAATAGCAGGGATGTCGTGCATTTTAAACGATTGCTGATTGGTTGCTGTGAAGCAGGGGAGAGAGCCCGCTTGAATAGCTGCTTACCCTATATACACTTTATGGTCAACTTTTTGGCTGTTACAGGTCGCCTCGGATAGAAAAAATGCATTTTCTTCGATTAAATCAACTTATAGAAGTTTTTACTACAGCGTGGTATATTTTTTGGTCCGCGCATCACTACGGTTGGAAGGTGTTGCGTCGAGATCTGCTTTTTTGCTCTGTTTGAACGCACAGGTCAACCCTGATCCAACCATCATAGATATATATATATATATATGACCCGGAGTTCCGGAGGTGAACTATAACTCTGACCGGAACCCCGAAATCAAAGTTTGCGCCAAGCTCCCCTGTCCTAGCAGCAACGGGCCAGTCGCCTCTTCAAATTGCATGACGTCAGTTCACGCTCGCCTATCCATACTTATAGCATTACCCCCGCTGAAGGAAGCTCCGAAAACTTCAAACACCACTTCACTCAGCGTACTCGTCCAGACCATCAACTCCATGGGTCCCCGCGTCATTCCGGAGCCAGGCAATGTGCCAAACGTGTCTCAGGATGCGCAACAAGCTTATTGGGCTCTCCAGTCTGGTGGAGTCATCATCGCCTCAACCGATGTAGGCTACGCGCTTATGGCAAGCACGCAAGATGGAGTCCAGAGGATCTTCGCCGCTAAAGGCCGTCAACAGGGCCACAACATCGGTATCATTGGGACGTACCAGCAGCATCGGCAAATGCATATATTACCCGAGTCCAAGTTTGAACTTACACGTGTCTTGACGGAAGATATGGGGATGATGGTTGGAATCATCGCCAAATACGATTCCAAGAATCTTCACCCGCGTTTGGCAGCCCTAGATAATACCACACTCTCTCAGGTCACAAAGGGAGATACGATCAGCATCGCCGTTACAGAGGGGCCTTTCTTGCGAGAGCTTGGCAGGCTTTGCGATGACGATCCACAGGGCATGCTGATGTTCGGGACTTCCGCAAACGTTACGGGGCAGGGACAGCGATTCCGCATTGAAGACGTTGAACCGGCCGTGCTTGCCTGCGCCGACTTGGTCGTGGATTACGGTCTGCAGAAGTGGCATATGTATGATCGGGGTGGTGTCAACTTTGACGCCGAGAAGATGCAGGTCTTGAGAATGGGAGCCGGGTATGAAGTATTCAGAGACAGGATCTTGAGATGGTTCCCTCAACTGTTGGAAGAAGCAGGTGGCAGTCTTGAAGAGGATCCGGAGCATGGGGTCGGGTTACCACGCCCGCCTACCAGAACAGGGTAACGTTGGCAACGACTTTCGGCTCACGAGAACGATCCCCTCTGCCGCCACCTACAAGTCCGGCGGGAACTCATACTCGTGCCGTTCAAGGCAGTGCAGCACCGGCCATTTTAAAAGGAGACTGAGGGCGTTGACATAGTGTGCATCGGCGCCAGAGTAATCACTTTAGGCCTAGCGCCGAGACCACGTACAGAATGCTATGTACAGAATGATATCATGATGACTCAAGATTACAATCGACAGCTGTGTATGTCCTGGACCTAATTAGCAAGGGAGCATGGCAAGCTCAAGGCGGCCAGTCAGCTGCACCAGCGACGTCCACATTCCGCTCCGGGTAATACATAGCATGACAGCGCAAGTGCTAGTAGTAGCACGTATCAGAAGTACGACCATCATCTGATTAGGTTCGAGACATGTCAGTGCTATAACATCGCCGACGAAATTACCTACAGCTCCGTCAATGCAGCACCGCGAGAACAAGGATGATGATTGCTCACCCATCACGGCAACAAAGATCGGGGTAGGCTAAATACGATGGCCGTGTTCTATACGTCGAATTGTGCCTCGTTTCTTAGAGAGTTGGGCTCGCATAAATAACCTTTTTGAATTGAGCGATCAGTCCGCTATCCCATTTGGACTTGGTGATGCTTGAGCTCCCCCCACCTGTCATATATTTAGGTGAAATTATGTGTGTATTGATGATTATACCAGTCGATGCATGAGAATTATTTGAGGTCTAAGAACCCAACGACAAGATGCGCTAAGTCGTGCAGCTCTTTATACACAAATGAAAGTGGTTGCCTGTTTTAGGCAGTAGCATCTGCTCTAGTTGGACTAGGGCTTGATATGCGACACTTCAATCTTTCAGCACATATTCAACACCATCATTTCGTGGCCGGAAGGCTGACTTTTGTCGCGCTTTCAACGTGCTAACGTAGTATTTTATTTGCCCGGGCCCGTGCACCGTGACTAAATGCCCGCGTGCATGCACCCCTTTTCTGAATATCTTGCCATTGGGGGAGTTTCCTTCGTACAGGGTAGGGCATATGTAATTAGCGGCACTATAAATGGGAATCTCCATGATGGGAATCACCATAATGTATTTCTAGCCCTGCTGCCAGAGTGTATACCCGCTCCAGCAACGTCGAGCACGCTTGGCTCCCGCATCACCTTCTGCCATACCGGCCCCTTTATCGAATCTAAGTCTACCTGTTGGCCGCCACCACCCTTGCGAAAGAATCACTTCCTGCACAAAATCTCACCGTGCAACAGCCCAAACCACGCATCCCCATCCTCCCTAAACTTATCCCATCCCTGCTGTACCTCCTCCAGCTCCTCTACAGTCGAGAAGCCCTCCTCCACCGCCATTGTCGCAAACCCCGATGACCTCGCCCGCTGTCCCATCGACCCGCCCCAATACTCGCGCTCATCGTCGCTGCTAAAGCACCACGACCCGGCGCTCCTGGAGATGTCGCCCTTGGCGAACCCTGATTGTTCCGCCCAGACGTGGATGTGGCTGCCGGGATGGGGATTGCCGCCCTTGGCGGCAGCCATCTTGGCCGTGACTCTGTACCACTTGTCGAGCGTGCTCGACTCAGGATACCAGGTCATAGAGGCGGATTCTCGGCAGGCAACCAGTCCGCCGGGTTTGGTCACGCGACGCATCTCCTTTAGTGCTTTAATAGGGTCAGCAATATGCTGGAGGACCTGATGGGCGTGGACGACATCAAATGCATCATCGTTGAACGGGAGAGAGTGGATGTCGCCGACATCGAATGAGACATTGTTGACTCCCTGCGATGCGGCGAGGGCACGGGCTCCGTCAAGCGGATCTGGCACGTATTCAATTCCGGCAACGTGGCCCTGCGGGACGAGGCGGGCGAGGTCGATGGTGATGGAGCCTGGGCCACACCCGACGTCGAGGATCTTCATATCCGGGCGAAGGTGAGGGATGAGGTAGTTGGCCGAGTTGGCCACGGTGCGCCAGCTGTGTGTGCGCAGGACGGACGAGGAGTGGTCCGTCGAGTAAACTGACCGATTCAATGCCATTCTGTTTAGTGCTTTAACTTCGTCCCATGTGTCTGAAGAGTGGGTGGTATGTGAGGACAGGGCTGATTTAAATAAACCTCGCCGGACAACCCCACCCGGAGTTCCGACGCGGTGCTGCGATCAGGTGGAGCAGGGTCGGGACGGCCGACATGGTTCTAGGGACAATCAATATCCGTGAAGGTGCACGCAGACTGCAAACAGCATCATGCCAAACTCGTCGGCACCTTGCACCCACCGGTCGATCCTCTGTCGACGGCCGGTTGATCCCGTATCCGGCGATCGCCACAGCTCGGAGATCTTTAGCGGCCCATCCGGCCATAGCGACAGATGCCGTGCGTACTCACGCTCCCATTCCTGCCTACTCCTTGCCTCCCAGACTCGCTTCGAATCAGGCGCGTACACTTCCTGTAGTTCCTCTGCGAGGAAGTTGGGAAAGTTGCTATCGGCATTGTACACGCTGCTGAGGAGGTAAAACGTAAACATGGCCCTCCGCTTGACCGAAGCGACGATCCACGACTCCCATGAGGGGCGGGTGCCGTTTAGTTCGGAGTGCAAGACGAGGCCCCCCTGAGCGGTCCGGAAAGCCATCTCTTCAAGTGTGACCATGGTGGCGTTATTGACAAGGGGACTACTGGAGATGGGAGAGAAGTACGCCATGATGGAGTAGGCGAGGTATGCCTGGAAAGCGATCAAAGTATCAACGTTTCCGGCATTCGGGTCCTGAATTATCAGTGACTGTGACATTGTGGGATAACATGGACTCACATGCTGCGCCAGCCTGTCCATCTCCCGCCCAACCGTCTCCGCGACGATACCCTCGCTTCCATCTGCGCGATGATGCCACAAGCGGACCAAGCTGTAGCAGTTTGCTAGGGCTGTCGGGGTGCCGTCCGACAGTTGCATGGGATGAATCATTGGGGGGACGTCGTCTCCGGCCATCTGCTTGGGGTACGTTCGCAGTACGCAGCTCATGTACTGCAGCGTGTATGGGTGAAACGCTTTGGGCACTCGATCCCCGACATCGAGAAATGGCCGCAACCACCGGTCGCGAACTTGATCTGCATCAGCAAGCGGTACAAGGTCCAGGTGTGAGAAGTTCAACGAGATCAGATGGCAAGTCTGGGGTGTTACGTCCTGCGTCGGGGCCGGAGTTTGACGTGTCACACACGGTTCCACATAGTCTGCTTCTGCCAGACCCGTAAAGATCGGCGACAGAGATGCGGATGTTGCGTTGCTCGTCGGCGCGACGACATGTCGAGGCGCGGCCGGTGATGAAGGACCATCGGCCGTTGCGTATCGGCAGGGGCGATTCGATGCAACGCATCGCGCGCACGACGGACGTTCAAGGTCGCAACGGACCTTGGACCTTGCACACGGCAGACACGACTTTTTGCGCGACGGAGTAGGCCTCTGTGTCCGTGTCGGGGCCATCGTGTTGAGAATGGTTGAAATTCCGATTGATGGCGGGGTTAAGTTGCCACCTCTTCGGAATTCCGGGTACAAAATGTCGTTGTGATCCACATTGTCACGGGACTCCGACTCATACGGTAGACCGAGAAAGCTTTGTCAAATTAAGTGGTTCGGAACTCCTCCGTAAGGTCGTAAGCCCGTTCGCGCTAT